GTGAACATTTGGAGCATATGGAAACCAGCCATACATGCACTGTTTACTGGTAGCCATTATGACAGCTGAAGGAGGATCATGAGGTTATCCCTATATTGAGATCTCTCCCAGCCAAGGAACGGTTGGCCACACCCCCAGGGTCTACAACCCCTACTTTTCTCGAACAGTATGGGTTCTTTTACGCCCCACAAGAACCATATAAGTGAAAGTGCTGTGAGATGTGACCTGACCGTTTTTATCATTATTCGAGCAGACTAGAAAGTCTAACCGCTTGCAGATGTCATTACAAAGGCAGCACTTTCTTCTCACTTATTTAAAGACCCTGAGTGTTGGTCCAGCCGGGGTTCGAACCCCACATCATAAAAGTCCAGATGAAGATACACTTTTCCTTATGTTATTTGTGCTGCATCAACAAGTGTGTTAATAGCATGCTGCATTTAGATAACAGCGAGATTTGTAATTATTTCTTTGATCGCAATTCACAAGCTATTTATTAAGCCAAATAGTTGGTCAGTATCCAACATATTCTTACAGACCATCAGGTAGCCGTTATCTCATAACTTAACGGCTTTAATCATAGGCGACCCAAGCTCACGTTAAGAATGTGGAATGTAAGTTTACTTTCTCGCAAGAGAGTCCGTGTCACGTTACAGGCGACCGTTGAGACGTTGTATGAGAAATAAAATACTAGGGTCTGCAAACGCTAGATATCATTATATTTTCCCTCTTTTCTATGAAATACATACATACATACATTTATTTAATAAGTAGGTTTGTAATAAGCAACTGTACAGCTGATGTGGACCTAGTACTACTAAGTCTAGATTAGAGAGCAAAGATTTACAATACAATTATCTAAGATAAAAAGACTAATCAAATAATTTAAAAATATGTAAATTCAGTGTTCTTATTGTAAGTTACTGAGCATTCCTTTTGAAAACTGATGTCCCTAATGTAGGTCTTGATCGATTTTAACTTTCTTTTAAAAGAGTGAGGGTTTTCAAGCTGTTTGATAATGTCAGGTAAAGAGTTCCAGGCAATTGCAGCTCTGTGTTTAAATGAGTGACGACCCTGTTCGGTTCTTGGCCTAGATACAACAACATTTAACGATTTCCTAAGACTATAAGAAGAAGCGTTCTTAAAAACTAAACTATTTATATCACCTAACTCTAAATCATAAAAAGCTCTATGTGTTATATTTAGAATACAAGAGCAATATAAAATATTTTAATGGCATCCAACTTGCATTTATGAGTACTGTTTCGTCTTCCACGTCTCTTGATAGTTTGTGGATAAGTCTCGCTGCTCTGAGGTGGATTAGTTCTAGACCTTTCATCAAATAATCTGAGCAAGAGCCCCACACGGCCATACCATATAATACGCTTAGGATTACTGTTTTGTAATAAATTGTTTCCAGTGTGGCTTTTGGTAAAAAGCTTATGCCTCTTAACATTTTAACTTTAGAGCTGTATGAGGTAGAGACCGACTTTACATGGTAAAATATATAAAGGAGACTTACCTTTGATGTATTCCTATGTTTTTTGGTGTCACTTTTTTAGCAGTTACTGTGTGACCCCTGTCACTCCCTTCATAAAACGAAGACAAGGGAGGGACAAGGAAGTGACAGGGGTCACACAATAACAGCTATAAAGTTGACTAAATTGATGAATTCACACCAAAAACATAGAAATACATCAAAGGTAAATCTCCTTCATTTATTTCAAAGAAAAAAGGAAAATATAATGATATTTAGCGTTCGCACACCTCAGCACAACGTCTCAACGTTCGCTTGTAACGCGACACCGATTCTCTTGTGATAAAGTAAATTTATATATTGCTCAGTATAGTAGAAATTTTCTGATTACGTAAGATATTATCGCAAACAAAGACAATGAAGATTGAAATATGAAAACCACCAGCGAAATGGATTGCTGAAATAATTGCCCTGATGTACGTAGCGCCTTTTGGTGTCAGTCAATGCATTTGGTACCAGTTACGCACTTGAAATGAGGTTAAAATCTTCACATTATCCACTGTTTAATATCCAACCAGACATCAAATCTAACACGCCACACCAAAGTAGAGCAATATCACATCCGTGTCACCAGTATTATGCACGGAATGCCAAAACTGCGGTGCCACTGTTATACAGCATCCTGGCTCTAATTCAAACTCCATATCATCTTTACAAGTCTCCTCGCTGGACCCTACGATGAATTTTCCTTGGCCTTTCAAACAGTAGAAAGTTTCGTACTTCGACGGGTGTACATGTCTCTCGACCGAAGATCCCGGTGGTATGATACCCTGAGAAAATCCAGTCATATGTGGCACCAAATCAGGTCCCACTAGTGATCTTTTTCTTACTGGTGACTCTGTAGGACCGTGTGATAAGCCAATCTCGGGCTGTTCACTGAGTCTGCTGTAGTAAATTCCTTTCGCCGGAAACCCTTGCTTTGTCGCCGCCATCTTTGACTTCAGTTACACAAATAGCCTGACGTTGACAGATTAATGATTCGTACACAAAGTAAGGGTTAGGGTGAGGGTAAGTAAGGTCTCGTAAGGGCTGGGGTTAGGGTCGTTAGGGTTTGGGTTTGGGTTGTTGCTCGCAAATCCTCGTTTGTGTAGGGGTTAAAGTGATGCACTGCAGAGCCGATGATCTGAGATCGAATCCTACGCGTGCCATCTTGAATTTTTTTTCCTTAAAAATTGAAGAGACTTAGACTTTTATGAACAGAAATTTCTGAGACAGAGAAATTTCGTGTGAGAAAAGTGAAATGTCTTGTTAGAGCCACTGAGAGGAAAATGTTAGTTTGGCGGATGGAAACAAGTGACGACCGGCAGGGGTTCGAAACAGCAACGAACCAAACTCATCCCCAGGGTCCTCTCGGCGCTAGAAAGTGTGATGTTTTGGGGCACCCTTCTTTCAACAAGAAATTTCGGTTTGAAAGTTAGGAAACTCCACGTTCCCAAAAGCCTGCGTGTTTGTTCTTAGCCTGTTCCAGGCGTTCAGATAGTGGGGAGCGGTGCGAAGTAAAAAGGAGCGCGAAAAAATAAAAGCGAGTCCCCCTCTTCTTTTCATCGCTTTTTTTACTTCGCACCGCTCTCCACCATCTGAACGCTTGGAACAGGCTAATTTGTTCCTAGAAAAAATACACCAAAAAACCGCCAGCTACGCACATGTTACGCAGGATACGTGCCCAATGGAACGGTACATTCCGGTTGCTCTGACCCAACCCAAGCCACCACGCATTTGGTTGTTATTCTTGTAAGCCCTTGGCCTTGTAAGCGGGATGAAGAAGAGCGGTACTGGGGACAGCAATTTTGTCAAATGGAAAGGGACATTTCGGTCCGACCGACCAAAATGAGCCGACCGGTCAAAGTGAACCACCTGTAAAGGAGCAAAGGTGGTCCCAAATATTCCGGTCGGACCGAACCGAAATCGTTCCATTTGATTTCTAACCGAAATTTCAGGAATCTTGGGCTGAATGAAAAGCGCTCTTTCTGGGCGCTTTCCATTCAACCAAAACTTTCGAAAAATTGGAAACAGCGGCAAATGATACAGAAATTTCCCGGGAAAAGTTTCCATAAATTCCGGGAACTGTTGAATTCCCGAAATGCGAACTATTCAACCGAAAATTCTAAAAATTCCAGGCGTTAAGTGGGATGGCAAGAAAACTTCGCGAGAAAAATTTTTCGAAAATCTGGCTATACCGCGCGAAGTTGACCCCTTATTTGGAAATTTTGGAAAATGCTGTTCCATTCGCTACTGGAAGTTGTGGAACATTCAAAGCTGACGTTTTGGATGAAGGGAAAGCGCCCAAAAAGTTCATGAAAACAAGCCTAGCCTCTCGTCATGTGACTCCAAATTTGCACCGTGATTAGGTAATTGCTTGTTTTGGTTTGCCGTTCAAAACGTTTCTTGAAATGGGACAGCTCAGGACTGATAACGCAACTGTTTGGAGCAAGAATAATCTAAGATCAGCAAAGAAAAGTCTGGAAGAAATAGAATAGCGCGGCTTTTCCTTCTCACTTCTTCCGCGCCACTTTCTGCAACCGATACTATCAGGATAATTTATTACACAATATGAGCCAAGGCTTGAAGTTAACTTTTTAGTGCACTAACAAAGTTTTGCTAGTAAGAATTTTTTCCACGAGCAAACTGGTGAGACCACTAGCAAATTCTTTCCCTTTGTTTGGGAGACATGGATGATTCTAACTCGCGAACTTTTGCTCGTGGATATTTTTTTTCACTCGCAGATTATCAAAATCACTCGCATTTTGCGAATTTGCGAGCGTTAATTTCGAGCCCTGCAGTGAGCACCAAATGGTGAACTCAGGACTTGTGAGAAATGGGTACTTTCACGAAACTGAACGTCCACTACAGTTCAAACCAAAAGGGTGAGTTTTGTATTTACACTGAGAACCGAAAAGCAATACGACAGTATGTTACAAAATTTAAGTTCTTTTAGACTTTTCAGATCGGCAGATCGGCAAGCCATAAACTCTTTATACAACAATTATTTTCACTTTTATCTGTGTTAAAAAAGACTATCATTTTAAATTGCTTCTTTTCTTAAACTGAAAGGTCACAGACACTGATGTATTCTTTGACAAATTGCCAAATACAAACGGCACCTGACTCTATGAGATAATCAGAATAATAAACGTTAATTTGTTTCCTGTGGTTATCATCATGCTTCAACTAACTTCTTACAAATTCTGCAGACTGATCTCCATACGTTTCCTTAACGAATTGGTTGAGAGAATTTGATAAAAGATCAAAGCATTTCCCTTTGGTCATAACCTCTTCTCATTAGGGGAAAACTCAGTGATGTTGGTCACTCTTGGGTCGTAACGTCTTAAATGGTAGGTTGGTTACGTCAGTTCAGGCACCAGTTATGACGTGTCTACATGGAGCTTAAACTGATCAAATGGTGGAGAGAACAAAACAACTAAAAAAGCCATAGGTTTTCTTCGGTCTGCACTACTTGAGGCTCTTCCTCCACTTTGTTTTTCTGGTACATATCTCAAACTTTCATATCACCAATCAGGACTATTTGCTGCATCTTCAAATACCTGGAACCAAAGAACTATCGTGAGGAAACATAAATAATAACTTAACTTCCAAAGTTTTCGGGCCCACAACGTTGAAAAACGAGATTTTTAATATCTAACTGTGCTTTGTCAACGCAACACTGGCAAATGACAAATCAGCAACGTATTTGAAAGTAACTTTGCCTCTATTTAACATAAGTAATAACAGCATAAGATCAAGTTATTTTAATAAACTTGACTATTATATACCGCACATTCATGTAACGATTCGCGGTGGAGTTCCATCCGCGAGGAAATAGTGTCAACGTAAAACCATCTGCCTGAAATTTTGGCATAAAATAGCCTTTTAGACTATAATTAACAGGCGTTATTAGCCGACTGTAAGGTGTGAGAGAGGGGTGCCGAATACCGTATGCTTCCCGTTTCGTCTTGGCTGGGTGAAACAGCAGCTCAAGGCAGAGATGTGCTTACAACAAACAGAAGTCGACCCTCCTAATTTGTAACTGAATTTAATTTTAGAGGTTTTTCCAATTGTTGTTCCTTTTGCTTATTAGTTAGGGCTCATTTTCAGGCATGGCAGTGTACTTAGTCTTTGCAGATATCCTGTTGTCCATGTGAAAAAACATTACCTCAAGCAGGTTTCTCGGGCCAGCTGCATTCTTAGTCAAGAACTCGTCTCCGTCAAACAAACGACCTCTTCTACTGGCCGATGGAGGGGTGTACTTTTGATGTTCGGGGCTACTAGTGTGAAACGGTGGAGTGATCCTGGACAGAAAAAACAAACATTGCACTGATTTTAAACTTGAACACACAAAAACAGCACAATGCAGTTTCAGGGCAACCCCACTTTACTGTTACCCATTTGTAATGGACAGTTTCATTTATGCCTAGTCCCCTGACTAAAAGCTATGGATTTTCTTTTAAAGTAGCCCGAATACAAACAACTAACACTTAGGTAACCCAAGTGAAACAACATAATACAAACTTAACCTTAATTTAATAAGGCCCCAAGAGACTCCTGATCTAATATAAAACTCTCCCTATCATTCACAAAACATTCACTACACAATTGGAAACAGAATCAAGCAGCTCATCAGAAATCAAGCAGGGCCTTATTCTAGGCACTCTTTCAAAGCAAAAAGGTTCTTTCTTTTTTTTCTGGCAACGGAGTGCACTAGGTTAGTCAGAAACTGAGTACTTTGTGCAATACCTACCTCCCTTTTTCTGAACACATTTGGGGAGATATCCTTAAATGATCCATGTGGCTGCAAGGTGTCAAATTAACAGGCGAGCTGCAGTAGCCATCGCTAGAAAAAAAGTAATCATCTCTCTCAACACTGCATGAATATTTTTATATCATCAAACTTCAACACATCAGTTCCCCATGAAAAAAAATTATTGATCATCATAAAATAATATAATACAAAGTTTGAGACCATCGATTAGCAATTTTCATATTGATGTAATGACCCTTGACAACTGAGCATATGAGAAATCATTTAGTTACTGTGAAAGACTGCTCTCTATTTTTCCTTTGATACTTCTAATATGACATTAGCAAACCTTTATACTTGTACATACCCATGCCAAGGAGGCTTTGGAATGGAATGTGTTAACATTTCTTCAAATGATATACTGCAGTTAGGAGTGCTGCTGCTATCATACAAGGAGGTATTACATGACTCTAGAAACAAAATAACAACATCTAAAACAAATTCTCCACACATTTATCAGAAAATCAAACCAGACTAAAATAATGCAGGTGTTTTACCATCCGAAGAAAAGCTGTTGTCTTCATGGAACGATGTGTCTGTTTTTGATAATGATTTACCCACCAAATGTAATCCTGATAAAAAAGGAAAGAAGAGAAAAAAAAATCACACAGTCTCTTTAATACAGGACACTTGGAAGTCAAATTCAATTGAAATAAAGTGGAACTTTAGTAAGCTACCTCTCAAAATGTGCAGACTTGTGGGTTGCTTACGGGAGGCAGTTGAACATGGAGGTTGGACTGTAAATCTAATAACTTTTTTTGCCATCCTAGTGGCAAGTTTTGTTAAAAACATAATAACCTAGATTGAGTATTCCAACCCTACTTCTTAGAATATGAGCATTCAACTTTGAGTTTTACATTAAAAAATGAGTAAGCAGATATTCTTACCTCCAAGTGAATTATAGGGCCATAGTAAAACCATCCATAACCAAAGTAAAACAGCATACACCACTGAATACATTTTAAATGCCAATTGCTTCTATATAAGAAAGAAAAAAGAAAAGAGAGATTATTGTCATGACAAGTAAGAAGGATGGGCTTCTTACCAGTCCGAAATATAAAAACTTCTGTCCAAATATCTTTATGAGATACCTTCAGTCAAAAGGAAAGACACTCAAAATTAACCTGATTCCCTCAAAGTCAAACTTATGATTAGCAACCAAAAACTCAAAAATATTAATATACGTTATTCCCCATGACATATTTATGCTATATGGAAAACTTGGTTTTACTTTACCATTGAGCAATAAACGTAAACTCTCTGCCTTCTCTTCCATGCCTGTGTCACTGTTTGTTCTGCTAATATTTCATCTACTGTTGGCCTAAAAGTAAGATTTGATAACAATCTATAAATTATTATTTATTACCAATTGAATAGGAAGTACTCTAACAGCAATTAAAATTATTGCATCATAGACATTAGAGCGATTTAGAGTCACATTTATGGCAAACGGCAAACACAAATTTGTACCATGTGACCAAGTTTTCCCTTTACTTCTCTTTTACTGTTCTTTACTCCTACAAAAAAATGGTTGTTTCACATTATTTTCATCCATAAGAATTGCTTCGGACTGTTTTATCTGATCATTTTCTATCAGTCTGAGAATTTTCAACTTGAATCTACCTTTGCTGTTTGCCATAAGCATGAGTCTTAATCTGTCTATTATTTTACTGTAACAAACCTATGCTGTGGTAAAGGGTTCATCATCCACATAATAAGCCTCCGAAGGTCTGGGGACATACCTATAGTGATACAATACAAAATATACATGTAAATCATTTTATAAATGCAATCAAAAATTTGTAGCAATAAGCAGGTCTTCACTGACATCACTGTTAACATTTTTTAACCCATAGAAGGCATCACTGTATGCACAAATGAAAGTCAAAAGTTGTTGGGCAATTTTCAGCTTTTTGCAAGCAATAACAAAGGGAATACCAGTGGTGGAAACCTCGAAATTGCTGGGTTGCAAAACGAAAATGAGCCCATATATCCTTTGTAACGTTTCAAGTTTTTCAAAGTTAATTTCTTCAAAATTATTTGGTATATCAGCCTCAAATTTACACAGACAATTGAAATTGTTATGCTCTTTTGATATTCAGAGAGTTAATTTTATTAGCTTGATAAGAGAATGAAAAGCATATGCTAATGAGGCAAAAATGTAAACAAAGATTTGCGACAGAATTTTAAACCATATTTGCCAGGAAAACAAAAACTGAAATGTTGATTGAAAATTCAAATGGTTAAGTACAATCCATCATCCCAGAGAAAAGTTTCCAGAATGAAGAGAATTCTCAGATGCATCCCTCTTTTTCCAGTCCCAGCTGGAAGGACTGGAAAATTTCTGCACAGAAATTAGTGACCAGAGACTTAACTCTATTATTACGTGAGATCAAACCTTGTGTAAACACATCAGGAAGCTGTCCGTTCCTAAGTTGATGCCATGCGTATCCACCTCTAGGTAAATCAAGATCACTGGCCAACTCCAGTAGAGTTATTCCTAAGCTGCAGATAGAGATATTAAATAAATACATAAATAAATAAATAAATAAATAAAAACACCATTATACAAACAAAACAGTAGAAATGGATATCGGTAAGTTGTCTAAACTTCAGGAAAAGTTACTGTCTTTACAATGCAGAAGTCAATTTGGCATGCACAAACATGTAGACGTGTACGCAAACAGCAGCTTTGAAAAAATTAATTGCATAAAAACCCACCTGAATATGTCAGCACTTTTAGTAAAGTGTCCTTGCATTAACTCCGGAGCGAGATATTTTGGGTCTCCCTCTAAAGCTTGAGCTGTATCACACTAGGAATACACAGTCACAAAAACAAAATATTATTTTCGATCAAGACTTATAGTAATGGAGAAAAAAGCGAACACAGCCAATTGAAACCAATGTTTACAATTGTAGGTTTCCACATAACATCTGTTAAGAAACTAAAATTACTCTAATTACACACACACACATGTACACACAAGACTAATGAATAAATGTCAACTTTTACATTAGTTTTCCTAACTTCTGCCAAAAACATAAGCACGCAACCAAGGCCCAAGGGAAACAGCTACTTTTGTACCTAGAAAATCTCAACATTTCCCAAGGCAAAGCCATGGGAAACATTGAGAACTTTGGGAAACAAAATTTAAACCTTGTTTCCCAAGGGACCAGCCATAAGGTACATGTAATTATTTTGATTTAAAGCCCACTACGAAAAAAGAATATTTACCTGCGGGCAAATTACCATCTGATCTTCAAAGCAAAAGACATTTTTTACGACATTTTTAAGGCATTGTAAGATCAGTCCAAACTAACTTTAAAAAGGTGCATATGTGTAACTTGATTATGACCCAAGATAGTACATCAGTACATCAGTTGTTTGAAGGCCGATCAGTGCTAACCCAGGGTTAAATTTTAATCTGGGTTTCTTTTTCTTTTGTTTAAAAGCATTTTCTCGCATAATTTTCCCTATTCTTTTTAGAGCATCCAATCAGCAAATTGCAGACCAAAGGAATAAAACTGAATATGCTTTTTAAGCTTTTATATCTGAATTCAAATTTTGCATTAACCCTGGGTTATCTTAACCGCGCTTTGAACAACCCAGCCCAGCCCTATTGCAAGAAGCTTCACCGTACTATACCCACCTTTGAAAGCTCTAACACCAAACCAAAATCTCCTATTTTACACAATCCATCAAGGCCAATAAAAATGTTTGCTGGTTTGATATCCATATGGACCATGTTATTATCATGAAGATGTTTGAGACCCTGGAAAACAGTACAGAAAAAAGGGAGAACCATCAATGCTTTCCAGAAAGAACTACTGCAAATTATAACAAATGAGAGATTGTTTTATTGTTTTGGAAAACCCACAAACTCACACCTCACTTGGAAGTTAAAGTTAAACATACTTACAAGGCTTAGGTCAACAAGAAATTCCCACACTACAGTTTCACTTGCTGAATCATTATTCTCTAGGTAGTCCTTGAGACTAAAAAAAAATCAAATAATTATCAATTGACAAAAGCATTCTTTATAACTGGAGGTGTCAGTTAAATTGCCATGCATATAAGCTGATCACTGGACTCCAACCTTTGCCAGTAACGGCAGTAATTAATGGTGAAAACAATGAAACTGATGGTCATGATCATACGATATTTCTGAACATGACACATTTATCCACTCATTTAAGAGGAAATCCATCTTCTCAAGATAAAGTACACATTTACATGTATACAGTAGAAATAACTACCTCATTTCACATAACTCTGTTTGTATATAGAGGTGTTGCCTGCAAGACAAAATTGATAGAAAAAGAAAAATACACAATAGGGCCATTTATATGAGGAAAAATAAGACACGAACTGTACCATTTATATGAGCATGTCTTATCTAATAAGACGCGTCTTAGCTAAGCCGCGTCTTATTTTAGACGAAATGTGCCGTTTATATGGAAAGTTCGCGTCTTATTTAAGACGCGTCTTATGTAAGACGCGCCTTATTTTTCCTCGTATAAATGGCCCTATTGCCTTAATGGAATACCTTAGTTCATGTATCTGACTTCATAATACTGGTCTAATCTGTAACTGGTAATTCCTTGTGAGGGGGCACCCTATTGCTGCAGTAGATCACCTAGTGTATTCAACTCTAGTTTCACAAGACTAGAAATCATACTTACAATCCCAGGAGGGAGGGACACTTGGGGTATATAATAATAGGGAGTTACGAATATACATGTAGGTCATGTCCAGTACCCCCCCAAAAAAGTCCAGTGGTCCAGATCCTGGTCGTGGAAAAGAGCTATAAGAATAAACTGCTTTTTAAAAAAAGAGACTCCATGCCAGTGTAACATAGTTTGTGTCTGTAAACAAACTGACACAATGTATGAGAACCTCATGATCATGGGTTACTCATTAAGATTTTTGAAAAGTCTGCACCAAAGTCTTTTACCCAACAAAAGTTACTGTAAAGTTTCATGACCAAAAAAGTCCTTGGACTTCAAATATCAAACTCAAAAAAGAGGATTGAACCTCCCCATAACTTCAGTATTATACCTGAGAACCCCAACAAACATACATACATACATACATACATACATGTTTTATTTATATGGAGTCTTATACAATAAATAGTATATCAACTATTTCCAAATAACTAAAATTACAAACAACAAAAAATTCCTAACCATATATGGCTAATAAGTTATTAATTAATTAAGTGCTAGAGTATTTATTTTTTGCCGTCTTCCCCTTTCCTTTTTCAAAGCATTCGAATATATGTTTTGCCATTACATAACCCCCCCCCCCCCCTGCCCCCCCGCTCCAAAAAAAGAGCTTGCAATAGCACAGCTTACTGTTATTGGTAGAAGCCAGGAGAGGATTCACCTCATTTTGATCAAACCTATAATTACTTGTTGCCCTCGTGCTAGTTAACAAGTATTTTTCTGTAAGCAAGGAGGTTTGTGTGCAAAACAAGGTTGACCACTCTATGGACAGAGTACATGTCAAGTGAAAAACTTATGTAAAAAAAAGTCTCTAATAAGCCACTAACCTTTCTTCCCAAGCTTTAATAAACTGAACACAGTTTGGATGATGTTTTAGTATCTCATGTTTGTTGACCTCCTCTAGTTTATATTTCCTGTAAGCAAAACACAGATCATTTAATCTTGAGAAATTCGAGTGTTCAAGAGTTTGAATAGAAGGAAGCAAAATATATTTGGGTGGCAACCAATACCTGTCCGCATCACCACGAAATTTATCCCTTGACTTTTTTATTGCATAGAGACAGCCATCTTCCTTGCTCCTCACTTTATAAACCTATTAATTTTTTTAAAGACAAATGACATTTCGTCAGTCAATCGCCAAATAGTTTGTCTAACAGTGACACTGGTTTCACACCTGGCTATCCAAGTTTCAAACAGATTGCACAAATCCATTAAAAGGTCTTGGAGTTAGATAGATGTGGTAGAAATAAACTTACTTCTCCAAATGAGCCTGCTCCAAGTCTACTGATTACTTCAAAACACTGTGGAATCAAGAGACAAAAGTAAAAATAATCTAGTTTTATTGTACATCGCTGAGGGTCTCAATGTTATCAATATTAGGCTGATTTACCAACAGAACAGGAATGTCAGCTGACCATGGGAAGGCGCCTGGAAAGTGATAACCATGACTTCCGGTGCCCAATTTACCGCACTGTCATTGTTCAAGCCAGTTGTTTTGATTTGCGTACACTGTCATCAACAGATGTTCCTGTTCGGTTGCTAAATCAGCTGATTGTTTGGATTAGGGTGCAAGCAAATATGATACACTCAATTATTGCTAAAATCTTCTCTTTACAAACCTGTTCAAAATAAAGATCCTTTGATTTTTCATTATAGTGAGGGCTTTTTATCTCTAATTTGTCAAGTCAAGGATTTTATTGGCATTTTAGCGAATCGAATCTAAACCTACTGCTTAAATAAAATAAAGTAAGACTCAAAGACTCATCTACTGAAATAAAAGAATTAAAGGGGCTACATCACACTATTTGCTATCTGTTTGAAAAGATAAAATGTGTCTTGGCAGTGCACCAAGTGAATTCTTAAAACAATAGTCCAGTCTTGTTATTTAAGACTATATTTAAGCAATGAAACCGTTTCATATTTTCTTTTGTTACAGATGGCAAGGATGGACAAGGATTTACAATTGAAAACGTTGTGCTAATGTTTTTAAGTTTTAGTGCTATGCCTGCAAAAACCACAAAAAATATTATAGTCAGTGCTCACTGGTGAGATTTGCTTAGTATCTTCTTCATAACCTTTGACTACAGTAGCATTTTGTGTACGGGTGAATAGGGCTGTTCCTACGAGCCTGAGGTAGGGATTTGCTGCAGCTAATATGAGCATGAACCCCAGCTATTTTCATAGGAAACAAAAAGGAAATCAAGCCAGAAGAGATTCCTAGCTGCTCAATTTCTCACTGACTAATCAAAGCAATTTCCCATAGGTGATCTTTACATTAATTCTCACAAACATTTCTTGATTTATGTACTGATATTGTGAGGAGAAAATTGATGTTGATCACCCTTGATGCTTGGAGGGTTAACATATTCAATAGGCCTTTTGCATTCGTTGATCATGTGATCAACTTTCAGCAGGGCTGTCATTAAGAGCCAGGGACCAGGGATTTCCCCCAGCTACTATGAGTGTGGTCCCTGGCTACTTTTATTGGAAAACAGAAGAAAAATAGAACCAAAAGAAATCCCCAGCTGTTTGATTCCCCGCCCTCTTGTTGGATTTACCCGACAACTTGAAATTATCTTAGTGACAACCCCCGTGTTTCAGCAAACATGAAAACAGTTCGCTTTTGAAAAATTTTGTTAGCAAGAGCTGAAAGAGCATATTAAAATTAGGTAACCTGTAAATTTCCAACCATATAAATCCTTCTAATTTTCAGTAGCCATTGCAATCGCCACTTTTGAGGTATACAGCTAAAAATTTACAGGTTGCCTAATTTTAATATGCTTTTTCAGCTCGTGATACCAAAATTTTTCAAAAGCGAGTGGTTGATCACGTGATTAACTAATGCAAAAGGCCTATCAAAATAATTGTGAATTATTTTTATTTGTGAGCAAGAAAAGGTTGAACACGGTCAGGGAGCTGAGCTGCCAACATGAACCGCGGCAACGTTGAATCTTAAACATTTTTCAGTGCCGCTTTCATAACTAGTCTTCTTTAATTGGACCCATGGGCATTTTTAATTTGGAGTGAAATTTTTCGCTCAATCGTAAGACATGAACCAATAACAAGTGCATGCAATCACAATGAACAATAAGCTTAACTGGTTTATGTTTAAGTGATAATACGACTGATTATTGCTTGCCGAAGCCATAAATGAAAAAGACAAGACTGAAGACGAAATAATCATAACATAACATTGAAATAAAACAATTCCCTGAAAAAACATCCTTAATTAAGCTTAAATTAAGTGTTCACAGCTTTCTGTTGCTCACTATTTTGATAGGAAAATTAAATGAAGACTTTTTGATAGATGGGAAAACGAAGGCGCCTCCAAAAGCTTGCGTAAAGCCAAAAATTATGCAATCAGAGGTCACAGTTTTCAACTGCACACACTTTTCTGTAAAAGATTTAAAGGATACTATTTCCATTTTCTCGAAAACTGACTTGCAGTGCTCCTACTGAGTTTCTTCTCGTATGTTTAAAAACTCTACTTATCGGAGGCGCGGATTTCACAGGAGCTCGTGGAGGTAAACAATCTTCCTCGACTACCCTCCTCTGCTGGTTGACTTTCTTCGTCTTTCGGTGGCTAAAAGTTGCCTCGTTGACAATGTTTGGTATAGGGCGAGGGCTCTTAAAAGTTCCTTCCATGTCAAATGTTCTTAACCAATACGAAAATACGACCTCCACCAGCGATAAATTGTAAAAACGATCACAACCATTGCTCGATTGTTTTTGTTCGGCCAAGATGGCCGCCCCCAACAAAGTAACAAAGTACAAAATTTGGCGCCAAATATAAATATGCACATAAATTTGCAAATGATTAGTTACCAGGCCTTACGCTGCAGAAAAAATCGTAGGGCAACTTTTAATAATTGATGGCAACGCGTAGTTACTAAAGTTTATTATTTTTTATTTTCTCGACTATTGAAGTAATTCCTTCCTCTGGACCCCACTCTCCTTTGCAGGCGCTCGGGCCAGAGTCACGCAATGCTTCCCGCCCCCATGGGTGCGAGGAGCATTGCGTGACTCCAATCCGACCTACCGTAGCCTGCGATCATACCCCTCCTTTACTAGCTTCCAGTTCCAGTTCCAGTTCCAGTTAGTTATCCTCCAATGAGCACTCTTGTTACTACGCATACACGGTCAATCAATGCAGCAATACCAAAATAAAACCGAATTCTGCCTCGAATAGACCCCACTGCTCCTCCCAGTATAACCCTATTCTCTATTAAAGGTACCCTTCATCTTAAGGGTTGAAAGTTATATTTCACGATGAAAACTCCGCCTTTTAGAATACATTCATTCCGGGTAAGTTGTATCTGACTGCTGCGACGGAACAGAGTTGCAAAAGCGCTGCAAAATGGTAGAGAAATGACTGGTCGAATTCTTGGACAGAACTTCGAAAACGGGCTTTCAAGATCACCGAAGGCTCAGCTTTGGAATTCGATTTTCTTGAAATGCGATCAGATAAATGGGCACAACTAGTCCATTGACTTACACAAGACACATCAGTCTTTCAATACCAAAGATTTATTGCTCATTCAAGTACTAATCATATCCATATCACACCCAACGGACCCAGGTAACAAGGCCGTTATTAGAAATCAGTACAAGATAATCAAATGATACGATATGTGTATAACCGCATGAAATAAACCCATGTTCCACACTTGTGACTTATTGAATCCTACTCTATTCAATGTCGAAATACAATTTGGTTGTCTGTGAGTAATAATACGAAAGGTAAAAAAGTTCCCAAGAAATTACTATTGGACCAAAAATAACATTTGTAATTTCACCTCTACATGTTACATTGTAGATTGTCTTATCTTAACATACTACAGTTTTCTTAAAAATACTAAACGGTTTTCTTAAAATAACACTAAATTTATATCTCAATACAAAATACATATTCGGATAAGTTGTATCGCATTATCAATTTTTAACAATATTTTACTAGAATCTGACATGATCTAACAAACTTAAGGCTGATTTTAGCTTCTTTTCGTCTCGTATGATGTCTCGTCCCACAACTTTGATGATGGAAACTGTCAGAGCTCTTAGCAATAAGTAATAGTCTATAGAATTTAGAACGATTTGTAGTTTCTTGTCCCATTATCCCATTTTAACGGAGCCGTAAGAAGGGCAGAATAGGGTGGCCCTTGCACCCTGGTAAATGTTGATAAATACTCATAGCTCAGATATAAAGAACTAAATAAGAATGATAAAACAGGTATTTCTAACACAGTAAATTCTCTGGATTATTTATGCTGGTGCTAAAAGCAGGGCGGTACGACAGGGTATATACACCTGAAAAAGAGAAGAGGAAGTGATAAGAAAGTGAGCATCAGGCTACGTTATCTCGTAGCCAGAAATTGTGTTGAAGAAGCCGGTGTCACAGTGTTATGGGCATCCCCGCGTTTTGGGCATCCACATTACCAAAACCCTAGTGATGTGGGCATCCCCTGTAACCCCTACCCAAATCGCTAACGTAATATGAGAAGAGGAAGCTCATGTCACTAGGGTTTTAGGAATGGGGATGCCCAAAACGCGGGGATGTCTAATCACCGTAACACCGGCTTCGTCGACAAGAGATCTGGTTACCAGATTACAGGCCACGAACTATCGAAATTAATGGCAGCAATGAAATCCTCGCTTGTCCGTGACGAAAAAAACAATCTTCATTTTATCTATTTGCATAAGATGGTCAAGGTAGTAAAATAGCTGTAAACTCATCCACAAGTGACAAAGAAAAGTTAACCTGCCTGGCATATTCCAAAACACCAGCTTGACCAGGGAAAAGTGAGGAAAAGAAGCAAACTTTTATCACAATTTTTCATCTTAGCTCAGCATCATGGAGAAAAAATTGTCAAAGAAAAGCTGTTATGATCATGGTGCTGTACTCACCAACAGCGAGAAGGGTCTTTCATGCCATGGCTGACTGTCTACAAAGTATTCGCAATTAGGGTCCACACGGCCTTGGCCTCCGAACTCTCTTGCATCTGAATTCAAAGCTACTTTGTATCTGAGCATTACCGTTAAGTTGCAATCATCAGAAAATCCCCTTAGTCAATTCGCAATATGAGGAGACATGACTCAGTTCCTTAACACTTAAGGCGCTCTCCAAAAGTCAGAGCTAGCCGGCTTGATCATTCAGTTAAAAAAAAAAAAAAAAAAAAACAGCCATCAAACCCGTCCCTATTATTCAGGAATTGACTGATTTGACTGGACAGTTTCGATAAAAAGTAAAATTCTCATTACGGCGGGAATGGTCAGGCCTGCAAGTTCTGACAAGTGGAAAGCACAAGCAGAACAAGCGTACCCGCGGCGGGTGTGGAGAGCGAGACAAGCGCGACGAATAAAGGAGCGAAAAAAAGAAAGAATTTCGTCTCTTTCTATAAGCAGAGTTCTGTTAAAACAAGCAACTAAGAAGAAAAATGAGGACCCCAAAATCTTTCATTTTTCCTCCTAGTTCCTTCTTTTCTTTCGCTCTCAACGTTTTTGCGCCCTCATTCCGCGCACGTCTCGCGCTTCACCATCCCTTTCCTTGCCTGAACAACGCGAAAAATAAGGTTTGTTCATCAGGCTATGTGGGCGTTCGCAACAGGAGGGGAGAAATCTGGCGTGAGAGTGGCGATCATTTTCAGTCTTGCATCCTGTGCTATGGCTATAACTTTCTAGCCTGGCGGATTTCGTAGTTGCAGCACTAGGATTTTTCGTTGAGAATATGCCAAGATAAAGTTGAAGTTGAAGGTCTAAATTCGGTTCTTGTCGAGAAATTCTCTGAGTAACCTTCGCCACTGACTGAAAATATAATCCTTTCTCGGTGTTCTACATCTTCGACAACGACCGCACAAAAATATTAATCCTCTACCTATTACCTGTATAATCTACAGTGGCATTTCGTTATATCGGGCTTCATAGAAAATACTAATTTACGGGAGAAATATACAAAGTATACTGGTTTGAATCAAGGATACTTTCCAGCGATGCTGGCGCCGATCCTGTAGTCAGCAAAACTCTTGTTTATGTGGAAGTTAAAGATCCATATCAAGTCGCCCCTTTCAAACACAATCATTTTGTCGTCCTCATGATGCAAGCTCACGTATGCCTAAAAAGAAACACGCAAAAAAAAAAATGATTGAGGTCAACTTTGAATTTAACTATAACAATGGCCTGTGTAATGTGCGGTTTCGTTGAAGCACAATGACGGAAACTGAATTCGCGGGGAGGATGAAAGGAGAGAGAAAAGGGAAGAGAGGGAACCAAATCAGTTGAGAAATTGGAATTCTATGACAATCTTTGCCGCTGGTGGCCTCGGCATAAAGGCCGAGGACGAGTCGGTATGCGGCCCACCCGAAGCATCTCCGTCGCACTCAATCACCGCACGCGAGGAAAAACCTCTGATAGCCAGTGTAGATGACTGTGGGCTCGGTAGCCTGAGTTGAAGGTTCTGCAGAGTTATTTTGCCGATTAAAAACCGCGCGATTTTTAAAGTCTGCTCCATTTGCTCGTAGTCCAGATTACTTGTGTTTAATCAGTGAGTGATCTTCCAAGTCTGCCTATCTAATAAGCACGCTTGCACAGACGGAACAGTTCAGTGACAAAAATTAATTTCTAACTAATGGCTTTCCTTAGCGATTACGTCATACTTGCTGGCCATTATAAATTTCTACGCCCACAATTGCCACTAAATTCGTAGAATACTTCACCGAAAATTTCAAATGAAACGCTTTTCTTTCTTCCCATTCATTTGCAAAAATGATGGTCAAGCGAGTGAAATTGCTCTCATGACCTTTTCGCCAATTCCTCTCCAGTGAGCAAACACAAACTAAAGAGGTTGAGACTTGAGGTGACAATGTCATAAAAATTCCCGTATTGTATCACCCCAAGACTATGTTCATGCTATGTCAGATAACTATTGCGCAGGCAAGAAAGCTATATAGGATAGGGCTTTTGTTCACAGGTCACATGAGAACAGTGATTTCGAGCGAAGCTACGCCGCGCCGATCTTGAAAGTGGATCGTAACATATCGGAAAGCTTTCTGTGCCACTCTCTGGCGCAGTGTTCGCTATACTTTTTCATGCCGACATTAAAAGCTATCCGATAAAATATAGACATCACCCAAGCCTTAAGTTGGTGCCATTGTTCACAGGAAACCGAGAACTGTCTCTTAATTAAGTCGCCTCCCAAAACTCACCTGAGGCTTCTCTAACCAGTGATATTTCTCCTCTAGGTGGTGCATGGCTCCATCAAACTCGTTCAGAAACCTGTATCGCAGCAAGTGATCGTCCACGAGTTGCCATTGTCGTCTGGCGTAGTGATAGCTACGGTTATTTCCTTCTCTAGGAAAGTCCAGCCATTCTGGGTGTCCAAATTCATTGCCAATAAAGTTAAGGTATCCTTCTCCTCCGAGGCCATACGTCACCAGTCTGCCAAGCAAAAAAATTAAATGTGAGGGACGGAGGGAGGGAGGGAGGGGCCTCGGGTGCCCGTGCAATCCCTTTCCTATCTCCCGGGGGAACTTTCCTTGGACAAATGTTCGCGAGATTGGAATTCAGAACTTTATGTAGGGAAAAATTTGTGCAGCAATAGCGAACACTCACGCTGACGTTACCTATGGATATTCATGTGCCAACCAGAAGCGTATTGATTCTTGAAACAAAAGATTCTTTTATTTTATTCGTTACACATTTGATAACAAAAACAATGTTTGTAGACAGTGGGTATGGCTATAATTGACTAGTTAGAGCTGGCATCGCCCTGGATACTTTGTCATGAACACGAAAACGGTTAAGTAAAAACGTAATGCACATACGTTCAGATTTCTAAAAGGGGGTAATGAAGGAGAATCCTCTATTGTAATGATGCATAATACAAGCAACCGGGGACTACATTTTTGGACTATTCAACGGTATGCAACACTGGCTAAAATATTTAGTCGTGAGTGATCGTGATACCACGACAGACCACTTAGACTGACGACGAATGACGAGGGTCGTCAATCGTCGGCACTGGTCGTGAAGAGACGAATGACAACTAAATCCAAGTTCGCCTACGTTGAATTTGTTGATATCTACCTGATCATCTTGTGCAGTGTCAGTCCTCTCTCAATGATGGGCGTCAGTGGGGTGGTTTCTGACATAAACCAATACATCTCCTTGTCCATTAACCAGAATGCAATGGTCTTGTCACCCACAAGGGCCTGGTCATGTGACTCAGCGTAAGCAATGGTTTTTTCACCATGGCGACGGTTTATCAGGGTCCACACAATATCCCACATGCGCCAATCCTCATCTTTCTTTTCTTTCAGAATCTGGGGTAATTACGTACATTATCACGAATTTTTGCAAGTGCAGTCACTAAAGTGCAATGTTACTGATGTAAATTGAAAGAACCACGTACAAGCTTAAAGCCAAGTACGGTAATTCGAGGCGCTACAGCTGACCTATCACCCCCGCTGCCAAGCCTTCATTAACGTACACGTTTATAAGAAGGACACCCATAGACGACCCCCCCCCACCCCAATACCGTTCTTCATTAATTTCAAGTCACCTTCAGGATGATCATGAGTTATTCAATCGTCAAGGTTGGTTTTTCCCCATCGGTTTTGTAAAAAGATATATCGAGACTAACATGCTGTAACACTGGTTGTGACTTCAGAGTCTCTATCAGCAATGATAAGAACTAACGTTTTCCAAAATCAAACTAAAAAACAAAAATCCACCAGTGTAATAGGGCTCGACTTCACTTTTTATGAAATAGCTGCCGCGTCAGAGTATTTATATAAAAGAGGTTGCATCACTTTTCATGTAAACTCTGAAAGCACTGTTTATACCTTGATCCATAGGTCCGGTATGGCCATACCAAGACGATAATCAAAGCCTGTTCCACCTTCTGCAATTGGACGACATAAGCCTGGCATTCCTGACACCTCCTATAAACCATTAACCAAACCGAGTTAGTACTAGTGGATTACATTTTACTGTCACATGGCATCCGCGAAAAACAGGTCATAAAAAGGAAATCATAGATGGCTAAATCTGCTATATGTATACGAAAATGGAATTTGAAATATCGTAACACCGAATCGTCTTAAAAATAACTACCCACCAGTCCAACCTAGGATAGAAGACCTAATATTTCTTTCCTTACACCCATCACCTAATAGATCCAGTGAGTCTTATCTAACCACCCGGAAGGTGATGTTCGCCTCCACCTCCAACCTTCGCCAATAACACCCTCTTAGCTATGCTTAATAATTATTATTCTTGTGTTCATATCACACTCATCCTCATCCAATGAATGCTAAATAATATCGTAAGAAACTAATGTTATTAGAGTTTAAATTACCTTGTAACAAACAAAGTTAAATTAACACCTCCTCTGGAAATGTGAATAGTTTATGTGTTGTTACTCTTGATGTTTCACACAATGTTTAATTTACCTCTGCGATGGTGATGACTTCTAGTTTAAAGTTAAAAACGAAGTTACACCAATTCCTGCTCTGGAAATGGGAATAGTTTATGTGTTGTTACTCTTGATATTTTAAACAGTGACTGTTTATTTTACCTCTGCTATAGTAATGACTCCAGGATAAAGAGAATGAAGCATATCATTGGCTAACATCAGGTAGATAAGTGAATCTGTGTCCACTCCAAGTCCATAATAATCTGGATAGTCTCCACCAAAGCCATGTCCAAGTCCATGGTCATGATAAATCATGGATGTGACACCATCAAATCTAAAGCCATCAAACTTATAGTTCTCCATATACCATCGAAGATTGGAAAGAAGAAATCTTAACACTTCCCACCTGATCATGCAGTAAAAAACAACAAAGTACATGTATTAGAAAAATAATAATTATCTGAGCTGCATGTGTCAGAAACTGGTCATTTCAATACAAAGGTGTTTCGATACAAGTCATTTCAATACTAACCCAAGCAGTGAAATTGCATAAAAATTTTTATTCACTTTAAGTATAGGTTGCGAGTAAACAAGAAAGACATTTTGGGTGAATATCCTATGTTCTTTAAGCCAAGAGTGAGGAACTACACCTCGACTCGACACCACATCCACTTTTTCGATGCAGATATTCATATTCCAGAGACATAGTTGCAAGCTCTCCTTCCTTTCCCCACCCCGCTGCCAGAGAGGCCCAGAGAGCTTGCTCGCAGACTATGCATGGAGACAAGTGTGGAAAATTTGTATGTGGATATTGGGACTCAAAGAGTCAACAACGGTCAAGATTAAAGGCATGTCGTTAGATTTTCCCACTCACTTGGTATAATCAAACAGCCGGCTGTCCCAGAGATCATGGAAGCCCCGTCCACCATCATGAAAATGACCGCTGTGCGTGCCGTCAAATTGATTGAGTCCATCAAGCACATTCTTTGCCGCATGGCTATGTACCACATCTAGTAAGACTAGAATGCCATTACCATGAGCGACATCAATTAATTCCTTTAACTCCTCTGGTGTTCCATAACGACTGAGCAACATTGAAAAACAAGAAAAAATTTCATTATTTACATGTATTTGAGGTTCTTTTTTAAGATTGTGGTAAGAACTTTATGGCACAAGTGGAGAAAATTTATTAATAATTCTGTTTTGTTTGCGTATTCTGAGTGTTCCCATCAAGTTGAACAACCTTTTCACTCGTAATGGTGACCAAAGAGGAGTTTAAAAAAGAAAACCTCAACATCATTAGAAATAAATAGTACTATGTCAAAGTTGTTTAAAAGAGGCTTCGTTAATTAATGGTAACACAATAAGAATTCATAGACAGATTAAAAAGTGACAGTGATAAAGACCTTGCAATAAAATGGTTATCAATATTATTAAAAACACTAATATGGAAAAAATTAATAGTCTGCATAATTTACCCTATCCCTTGGGGATAAATAAAGATGACCTGTAGCCTCTGGGTTTGAAACTATTTCACTTTAAAAACACATGAAATGCCAAAAATGTCACAGCTCAGGACTCCTTACAAGTACATACACATATTAGGCCAAGTTACTTTGAACTATCTTTGGTTTTACAAGTGACTTGAAGAGTGGCAGTGTAGCCGAGAGGTTAAAGTAATTCACTTGTAATACAGATGCACCAAGTTCAGGTCTCACCCTGACTGCTAGCTGGACTTGTTCTCTGTAGTCCTGAGCTCAAATCTGCAACCACGCTTGTAAATAGCCAACTGGTTCCCCTCCTACCAGTTGGGATTCTTGACCTTGTCATTTTCTATTTGAATTATTTGTTTCATATCCCTGAAAAGCCCCATAAGGGAAGAGAAGAATTATGCATTTATTGTTATAGTTACCTGGAAGCTGCAAAGAAGTTTGTTACTTGGTAACCAAAGCAGGCATAATATGCATGCTCCATAACAGCCATAAGTTGTATACAGTTATATCCTAGCTTCTTTATTCTTGGAATAACATTGTAAGCAAACTCTTTGTAACTGGCCACTCTAAGATCAGGCGATGCTATACCAACATGGCACTCATAAATGCGCAAGCCTGAAGTTTTCTTGGGTTTACTATTTTGCCACTGGTAAGGCTGTGGTGGATCCCAATGAATTCCTACATACAGGTGTGTTCCATCATTTGGATCAACTGCGTAGCGAATCCATGGAGAAACACGGTCCACCAGATCACCATTTTCAAGCTGGATTGCAACCTTAAATGGAATTACATGTACTTCAGTATTCAATCTTGAAATTAGTCAAAGTGGGTCACATGTGACTCCCACCTGGTATTTTAAATTGAGTTCTGGGTCAAGCTATGATATTGAAAACTTTGAACAACTGACATCATCCAAACTATCATGAGCTTCACTGCCATCCTTATCCAGGTCTTCTTCGTGCTTTTGTTGTTATTTCATAATGAATAAAGGAAAAGAACAAATTTGACAAACAAAGCGTGAATTGATCGGCAAATCAACGCGTGCAGGACATCAAAAAGTACACTCCAGTCTCTCTCTGTACAGTGTGAAAGGCCTGAAACAAAAGCTACTCATAAGGATGTAGTCTGAAATGAAAGTCATTTTGCATGCTTATTTCAGGCTAGTGAGCAGACCTTTTTTTATTTTTAATAGTGACTGCTGCTTTGGAAGTACTTGTATTTGAGGTAACCTTTCTTGCATCAGTGCGACTCCACGATAATTTCATTTTGCATCAGAATTGGAATATTCTGCATCAATGACGCAAAAACGCTGCCTAGATTTAACATTGATTAATTTAATTCTTTTCTCAATAGCACATAATATTTATTTACAGTGTATATCAAAAAAGCTTAAAGTTATAGGTATCCACAGATCCACACCGTCTATGCCAGATAGTCCAAGATAGATAATGTTCACGCAAAAACCTCCCCTAACCCTTTATTTTTCATTACCACTATAAAACCAACAATTTGTTCAAAGTTTAGCAGAGCTTTCGGAACACATCAGGATCCCTTTTATCAATGATGACATTTGATGTTATTCACAGCCTCATTTTTGATGAGGCTGCAAAAAAATTATTGTTCCATAAATTGGGGGAAGGTTGTAGCCCTTATCGCGGTTCATTTCCGGTCGCCGAGTATGAATGTTTATGAACCTGCAGGAAGGCAGCATTTTTGCCTTCAATTACAGCATTACACTTGATACCCACCAGTCATTTTAAATCACACCAGAAAAAACAACTCAAATAGTATGCGTTCTCCTTCGATGAAAGCAATAACAACTTGTCTCCTTGGAAACTGTGATTAACTTACTTACCTTAACTTTTGATCCATGGGGAATAGGGGATGATCCATCTTCCTTATAAGGTAAGGTTAGTTCCCAGACCCCATACTCATTTCTTGTGCATCCATGAGAAGTCCTATTCCATCCATCTAGAAAAAAACAACATCAACAAAAACTCTTTGCATCAGCTGACAGCCTCCAAGCTACAACCATCCTATAAAAATTTTGACTGGCTTTCACTATTTTGACTCTTAGACCTGCTGTGAGGCCTTTCATTTTTACCCAAACAGGTGTCACTTAGGGTTACACAAAGAAATATCTATGTAATTTAAAGAAACCACACTGAGGTAAAGCCTAAGCCATGATCAAACAATCAGGCCCTTGTTATTCAAACGTTGAATAGTGCTATCTAGCGCATAAGTAAATTAATATCCAGTGAATAGCTAACAGGGGAACCAATTACTTTGTCAACTGGATAGAAATTTATCCAGTGGAAAGTGTCATACACGCTTGAATGACTGAGGCATGGTGAACATCCTTGTTGTGAATGAGAGTCTCTCCAACCCCACTCAAAGAAAAACCCCTGGAACATTCCTTCTTGTTTTTCACAGCAGCATTTCCTGGTACTAAAACAGCAGTCATGTGGTTAGAGCGATTTTCATATGACCTTGAAAAATGGTTTTGGTAAATGTTCATTATTTGTTTTATCAGCCAGTGGATGAAAAGATCAAAACATGAACTTCCCGCCAAAGAAAACCCTAATATGGAGAAGGAATTGTTTGATTGGTTTTGCAGCATGACATCAAAGTGAAGTATCGATTGATTTGTAAAAAGTTCTTTGGGCATGAAGTTTTTTCAGCTGAGCGTTCGCTTAACCAACCAAAAGCCAAATGCGATTTTATCCCTTAGACAAGCCGATCAAATCAATCTATTTCCATTCGTTTGTGCATTTTCATTTCAAGGTCATACAAAAATCACTCTAATAAGTTTGCTTACTGAAATCTCCTGTAAGGAACACTCCATGTGCTCCAGGGGCCCACTCTCTGTACTTCAAACCCTCAGGTGTTCTATTGATTCCAAGTCTCTCATAGCCTCTTGAAAACTTCTCTAAGCTACCTTCATTGTCTTCAATCTGCTTCTTGAGACCACAAAACACTCTATACCTGTGGCAGGAGAACTTAGATAAGAGAGTTTTACAAACAAGTCATTAGCTCCACTCAAGGAGCGAGGAGAGATGGCTGAATTTGCATGCATGAGTCATGCATGTAGCAATTATTCTTTGGATTTTGCTCCTTTCAATTAAACAAAAGATAACCTTGAACTGGAAATCTTTTATGAAATGCATAGTTTGTAGCACTTTTATTTAAAACACAAGTGCTGTGGCGATTCACTCGTGATTGGTCCTGAACTGTGGGTGATACCTTTATGTTGAACATTATCATTAATCTGTGGAGGGCAATGAGGAAAAATGGGAGATATGGGTGCATGTAATGGAAATCACACTAATAACAAAAGTTTACGATACCAGTACATAACACAAAAAATTCAACTGCCTACAGAACTAAAAGTATATCTGAAACATCTCTATTCCTCACTCCAGAAACTGTATAAGGGAAATGGGCAGATCAAAGCTTTTGACCTAACAATTTCTGGGATCATGTGGGTGGAATTAGTAAATGGTATTCAAGGCAACCATTAAAAATTCATTTCAGTAACCCTAGTCCACCCACATGATCCCAGAAATCTTTACGCTGAAAGCTTGTACTCATTCCTCTTGTAGTTTCTGGAGTGGGGAATTCAGTGTTATTTCTCAGCATTGAACTCAAAGTCTACCTTCTTTCAATCTCAGTTTGATATGGTTTAACATACGGGTCATCATGAAGAAACCTAGAAAAATGTGGAACTACTTGGTCATCTACCATCTACAAAAAAAGACACAAAGATATAGTTACACCTTTGTAGTAAGTACCTCTTTATTTATAATACACACATGCAACTCTCAATATTACAGACACTTCCCACAATCCTGAAGAAACCAAGGGACATTTCCGCAAATGCAAATGCAAGACCAAATGCATGCAAAGTGAAAATGTTTGTCCACTGCCATGCATGGAATATTGGAAGGCTCAAATATTATGCACACATACATCTAACTATGCTTTCTTTTGCACGTATTGGACATGTGCACCTCTCTTGCATTTGCATTATTAGTTTTTATCATCATTATTTTGTGCTGCATGTTGTACCAGCCAAAACACAACACTGTATTATGTGGACACTTGATTCTGTGTCCTAGGCTTCTGTTTAATGGGGATTTCAACAGTATCCCTGAAAAATATAGAGAAGTAACTTACATGTATGCTTAACTATCAAACAAAGCATAATTTATGGAAAAATACGACAAATGCCCATCGAAATGGCCAAACAATTACAAAATAACGTATCCAACAACAATAAATCAAAAACAGTCCCTTCTCAAGAACTTATTTTTCATCATTTTGCAGAAAACAAATCTCAAACACAAATTGTTATAAATACATGTATAATGCTAAACTGCTATCACGCCACCTAGAAGAAGCAGTAAAGATATGAACTACCTCCAGCATGACAAGCTGGCAAGCCAATCACACTAAAGATTTGCTTCAGTCATGCCTTGTATAGTTTGTACACATGTACATGCACAGGAGATACACCTTCTAAGCTTTATATGTTAAAACAAAACTAAACAAAATGCATGTGTTTCTGCTTCATAATTCAAAGGTTATCAATATCATTATTTGTTTAAAATGTAGAGCATCTAGAGGACTGAGCAACAATTAACAAGTATATCAAAATAAAGTTATTAGAAATGTAACAAAATGTGTGAATGCTTAATAATTAAACTATAAAAGATCACCATAATTTATTAACCACAGACATAAGCCTCCATATGACCATGTGAGTAGTGTTAAATTCCACATTACATTATATAACCAGATCAAAGCAAAAGATTTATAAGAACTGCAAAAGAGTGAATGTAGCTTAGGTACCAACTACAAACTCTTTATGAGAATTTTCAGCCAATTTAAAAGGCACAAGCTACAGTTAATGTAAATTACTTTATTTAGCCTAAGACTCTGGAAGGTGCAGGTTAAATATAAAGATGATTTATATAACTCATGTTCTTCACAAGAGTAAAAGCCTTGCAAATTTTAACTACCAACAATACCTCTCTTCTTGATAATATGCTTCTCAAACTATGCTACTGTAAAATGTGTTAAGTTTTAATCCCCTGGGAGTCTCAAATAGTTGAACTACAGTGGAAATTCAACTAGACTAATTTATGCATGCAGACACTGCCACATGAACAGTGAATAGCAATGAAACTCGAGTACACAAAAGACTGAAGCCGGATGAAATTTGCATAAATACAAAAGATATGTAAAACAATCTGACTTTCATGTCACATTACATGTACAGGTCACACAATCGTAAAATTTAGCAGCATTTTCCATCAGTTTTAACAAGAATTATTCCCTTTTGTTAATGGCTAAAAAAGGAGGTCAACAGTACTGTAGCATTTTTTTCATGAACACAGGGGTATTTTATTAATGAACAAGATTATGATTACAAATATAGACAACATCTGATAATATGTAAAAATCAGGCTTTCGGTAAGTTTTAAATTATTGCAGCAGATAGCAGAATGTTTACTTGGCTGCAAGAAAAAGAACCCATAAATAAGGGAAAGGTATAAAACATTTTGTGGGCTGAGATCATAGGTAATCAGCTGTTACACAAACCCTTGTGATGGACGTGCAGTTTTAAACTAAAATAGTGTGTTGAAAGCTTTTTACTATATACACACAGTCAAGAATGTTGTTGCCCAAATGTAAACATTAAGAGTAAGTACTGATTTAAAAGTCACACTCAGTCAGTGACTGTATAACTGTAAAACTGTAAAATCTTTTGTGTATGTGCATTAAAATAGGCATGGCTGATTTAAACTGTATTGTAGAATTATCTATTCAAGCAATGACAAGCCAAGCTAATCTGAGCTTCAAGGGTCACAAAATGTATAAGGTCAAATATTTGTACCTATATTGATACATTTGTACTGATGTTACACATACCTATATTGCAACTGCTGCATGTAATTTATTTTATACAGATAATATATATTAAAATTTTGAGAGAGAAAATAAAAGGCAGTTACTCAAAATTTATTCATGAAACTTGAGTAATAAATCTCTCAAACTCAAAATGTTTAAATTTCCCTTGAATGTATATAAATCAAGCACGCTAGTGGATCAGCAAAGCAATATACATTATCATAATATTGCTTCTTTGAAGCCAAATTAATATCTATTTTATATTAGAAGGTGCTGCTTTTTTTATATATTCTTATTCTTGTTTTTTGTTATTTTTTTACAAATATATTGCAATTTCTAATAAACTCAAGCTCACCAGGAACACTGGACCTAAGAAAAAAAATGGAACTTACCCTTTGAGCCCAAAAGTTTTGTAAGTTATGCCTCTGTTTTTTGGTTCGCTTCATTCTCTATCAACCCCCACAGAGAGAGACATCTGTGTAAATGGATCAGATTTGTTAAAACTACGGAATAGTTTTGACAAATAGCTTCATGCAAATAACATCTCGGCCCATGAGGTACATTCCAGTATTATTCCTTTTGTAATCATACGTTTTCTGTGAGAATCATGCTGTTTAGCTGTAAGTATACTGGGATTTGCACGTGAAGGAAAAGCAGTTTCATATATAGCTGTTTTAGAAAAATTGTCTTATAGAAGCAACGATCCCGAAAGGCAGTCTGGGATATAATGAATATCCAACAATGCTTCAACAAATTATAACAGTGACGTCAGACCTGCCATGGAGGGAAAGGTGGATTAAAGAGTTTCTAGCATACAGTGTACAGTAAGTAAAGGCTACTGTGCACACATGACCAAAACCATTCCAGCACTGTGTTCAAAGTACCTTAATACTGGGGAAGATTTCAAACAAGCAATTAATACTTTTATTATACATCCTACCATGGAATTCATAATCATAGAAGCAATACTGCAATATATACCAAGAGAGAACCCGTCAGAAAAAAAGATCAGGTCACGTCTGTGATTCATCTATAATTTTAATCCTCCAGAATTAATCTCGCTATTACTCTTCTTTTCCAACTACCGTTCTCCAACAAGAAGTACAAGTAGTAAATTGAAACTTCCATGTGGTCACTATCACTACCTATCCTACCTTTAAGGATGTTCATATATGCGATCAGTGGCTTTGGAACAATCTTTCCCAACACAGCTGAGTACAAAGACACCCAAACAGCTTCAACATTCCCCACACATGGATCCATCACTAACTAGTACATGCCAGCACCATCAGTTATCATAAGATGTCTCAAAAGCGGTTTGTAATCCTTTTTAATAGCTAATGCTAACGCAAGTTCAATAAACTGTCGTGGAAGTCACGATTCGTGAAAATTTATTGTTTATACAACGAAAATCCACATGGACGCGCGCAAATCTCAGATTAGTTAATCCCACGTGCTTGGAAAATAATCATAAACAGCTCTGGCTTTACCTCGCGAAAATGTTACTTATTTCCATTTAGGCGAGATAAAAACTTTTTAGAATCTCTTTTTTGGGTTAAAAGCTTTCCACCGCCTTTGAAAAAGGCCATTAATTTGCAAGCGTACACGACATACAACACCACACCAGACACATCGGCCCAAACAAGCAAAAGCCAGGCGACATCGGCGCTCAGATCATACGTACGCAAGACTGTGTTTTTAGGTGATGGAAGCTTTTTTGATATATCAATAGCACTTAAAACAGTGTAACTGCGTTGTCGTTAAGCAAAAACGTACCTTTTTAGACGTCGTGGGCTAAGCACACTAACGTGAACGACTATAAAGGAAGTGCCATAATCCGCGATCAAGACGAACCGAGATCAAAATGAGACTGGGTAGACTGAGCAGCCTGGCCTTCGGGGGTTCTCAGTTTTGGCGTAATCTGAAGTACCGAATACTGAAAATCCCGTCCAGAAGCCTCATCGCAATGTTCAAAGGGCAAAAAAAATTCAATCCTCACAAGGCAAAAACTGACTCGAATTGGCGTTTAATAAGCTAGGATCTTATGAAGTCGCTTTAGTCAATCGTCACGTACTACTGCACTCCTTCTTAGGGGAGACGTTTCTAGAATTTTCTATATTGCGTGACGGTGAAATTTAATTTCATCAGGGCTCCAATTGATAGCAGTTGCAAGGGGCACCCAACGAGAATAGAGTTCAAAACCACTTAAACATAGCATTGTTAAACGTATTTTAGTATTTAAAACGGTAGATATAGGCATACTTTTATCCCCTAGAAATTTTTCATCTGTTCAGATTTCCTAGCTCAGCTAGCTGAAAGTCTAGTGATCCGAAAATTATAGGGATCAACGCTTACCTTTTCGAAAATTTCAGCCAGAAAAACGGCTCCCGAAAATTCTAGGTGACCTTTTAAGGGTCAAAATCCGTTAAAAATGGGCAATTATAACATTTTTTAGAAGTTCGAAAATCCTAGGAGAGGCAGGCAAGCAAGAAATTTTGCAGCTAACGTCCCAAAAATTCTGATCTTGATTTCAAATCGTCTTCCGAACAGATATTTTCGGAAAATTGTCGTTGGGTGCCCCTGAATTGCGCCAGCTTCTGAAAGTGCAATCCTAAAGAAAATACATAAAGGTTTCTCTCCACCAGTTAAATGAAGTCATCGTGCAAATGGCCTAGACTGCGAGCAGTCTCTTATTTTTCTTTGCAAAGTTTAAAACTGCACGCGAAAATCAAGCACGCGATCAGCTCCGCGAGCCTCAATAAAAGAGGGCGTAAGTCCGCAGTCCGCCTTTTCTCGGCTGGTCCAAATCTGTTATTGTAGCATGACGTCGTGGTTTGCAATCTCGCTGGCTGAGATAAGAACTAGACGGACTTTAAGAGAAAATGCGGGCTGCAATCAGTCTAAAATGGCCTAATAGTTAATTTGTAAGTTTAACTGTAGAGCGTTTTGACTCACGTGGCCACTAGTATGAATGCAAATTTACTGGAACAAAAATAGAAGTTCACAAAAAAAAAAACAGTAGACCTGCACCGTTCTAAGCTTCTTATTTCATAGGCCCCCTTTAATCTGCACTTCCATCGTTTTCAAGGATAGGGGCATTAAAAAAAAGACCAACTCCCACGGGATTTGTTTAGAACACCAACACGGCCGCCCGTTTTGTTGTTTCGGAACACCCATATGGTCGCCGTGACGTCATGTGAAAACTTTGTTGCCCTATTAATTTTATTTTTACAATTCTGTAAAAACCTAGCTAAAACAATGTAAGTTTGTTAATACTGCTTTGTATCAGTTTTACTGAAATGATCCCTGCGGAGGCCAGTTGCATCAAGTCTGACGTTCAGTCCAGTTCACAAACTTTATCTCAACGCCCAGAGCATTGTACCATATTTTCTCGAATAAGTGCCCGGGTGGTTATTTAAAATTGCGGCCTATAAAGGAAGGGCACTTATAAGAAGGAGGGCGCTTAATCGAAGGGGGCGCATATTAATTTTTTCTTTCAACGAAGCGTAACTTTGTTTTCACTAAATCTTTAATAGAAAACAAAAGATAAAATTAAAAATCTTTTGTTTGTTAAAATAGTAGTTGGTAACCAAGCGTATCGTAGTACCCATACACTTTACGCACTATTGTACCGGTATGCATGTTTATACAATGTCGATTATCTCATCATCCTCAAGATCATCCTCGTCAATGTTCTGCATATCTTTGCATTCCCTCTTGTATCCCTGCTAATTACGAAAGAGAGGGGGGAGGAGGGGGGCGCTTATTCTGGGGAGACCGCTTATTGGAGCATGGGCGCTTATTCTAGAAAGTACGGTATCCCCTTATCTTTGATCTTCGAGACCATAGTTAGTAGAGGAGCCTGGTTAGGAAACCCGGCAAACATCACAGTTGAAAACAATGGTGCTGTAGATTATGTTGGAAGCTCCCTGACCGTGCACAATCCTTTGTTTTCTGTTCACAAATTATGACCGAATAAATTCATGCAATGTTTTTATTGGTCAATAACTTCAAAATGATAGGAATGCTATTGAACGCTGTGCACGTTCATATCCAAAAAAAAAAGCTTGATTCTACGTTATGAGGAGACTGGTTACGGTCAGTGATAAAAACAAAAACTGCGGTTTATGTTGGACAAAAGTGCACAATCCTTTGTTTTCTGTTGGCAAATTGTTATAAATTAATGCAACGTTTTTATTGGTCAATACAATCAAAATGATAGGAATTAACGTTGTGTTTCGAGGTCCAAAAAACATATAACAAAGGAGTCTGAAAACCATTCCATCAATTAACTATGAATTTTGTCGAGAGACAACTGGTCTCGCTGATCGACGTCAAGCGGTGTGAGGAAGTGACGTAACTTAAAACGAGCCTTGTTATCCTGGTAAAAGTAAATGGCTGGCAAGACTCCACTTTATTGTATCTCTTTAATTAGAAAATTAACGATTTAGATTTGCTATCTACCTATGGTTTTTCTAAAAATATATACATTTTATTTTTTACCTGCTTTATGTACAAATTCAGCATATTGATGGAAAATGATCTACTAAGGGTTCTATAAATTTAGTCCACTATAAAAATAATTATATACAAACATTTAATTGTAAAATATTTCGTGGAAATAACTAAATTTCATTTAAATAAAAGCACCAAGAACATTCTTGTCTGGGTTCAACTAACTCATTCATGCCAAGATCTCGTGCGGATCTTGTTTTTGAGACTAAGCATAAACTTCACTTTTAAAGTTATCACCACTAGCACTGTTCTAAAACTTTATACAGAGGTTACAGGTAGATGAATGTGATAATTCAGGATAAATTACAGAGCACTAATCTGTTTCTTCATGTCTTTATTGCCACAAAAAGGGAAGACCACATAACGTAACCTTCTCAAGTTCTTTTAGCGATGAGGGTTGACCTTTCTGTAAGTAGCCGCCTTATCTTGGACAAATCCACGCGATAAGCAGCACAAGTCAGTCATACGAAGGCCATATGTTAATCCGAGAGGAGCACCTAATAGAGGTATATACGTCATGGCTAAATGCCATATAGTCGTCTACCCCATATGACCCGAAAGCTGGATTCTGATATGTATGCTTCCTTGAGCCCTGAAGGGTGGCATACCACCTGCGTTGTTCTGCGCACCCTCGATCTGGGCACGGTAGAGGCACGCGTATGGTCCAAGCACGTAAAATATGGCATATTATCACTCGCCACTTGGAGCCTCACTGCTTTGTTCAAGAGAAGAGAACACGTGACCGGTCACGGGACACACAGTCTTGTTCCTTGCACAGTGTATATGAGTTATTACGCCGTTAGGATAACGTGCAACGGCCGGGTCATTAAAGGGCCTCCTACAAGACTGACATAGCCTGAAGAACAACAAAAATTACTGTAAGCAAAAAATAAATAAATACACGATTCAGTGGCTGCATACAAGACGGTTCTTCTTCTGTTGTTCGCTTTTTTCCTAGCCTGAGAAAACAGCCGACGCCACCGTTGGTTTCCCCGCGAAATGACGTCTGAGAAATCCATACTGATGACGAGGCGTCACCACCCAGATCTGGGCAGAGCTTCTGATTGGTTGAAGCAAATTTTAGCCAATCAGAGGCAATATCCCAGACGTCATCAGTATGGAATTTCTTCGCTCGTTTCTCTGACGTCATTTCGCGGGGAAACCAGTGGTGGCGTCCGCAAAATGTCGGCTGTTTTCTCAGGCTATTTTTTCCCTTGTATTTCTCTCCTTTTTTTCCAATTTTTTATGGTTTCTTTTTTAAAATTCGTATTGTAGAGCTGCGGTTTAGAATTGACCAAAAGATTACCTTTCTTCCGTCACCAAAAGATGGGCTTTGTGGGATATCATGTGAGAACTCTTCATCTAAAACGAAACCATAACAAATTTAATCTGTGGTGCATACAAATACATCATGTTCAGAATATATAAAATTACAAATTCGTCAAAACAAAGATCCAATAAATTGGTGCAGGCTTAGAATGGCCCAACATGTGGCATACTGCCACTTGATAGCTATGATGTCCTGGTATTCATGGCTAGCCTCGGCTATTCCCGGGTCATAGAATTAATACTTTCTGGCTAATTTGCGAGAAAAAATACGCCAGAAACTACAAGGTGACCGTTAAATGCAGGGTGACCGCTATATACAGGTCAACTTTGCAGATAATATAAGGCAATTGAAAATTTTCGGGAAGTTGTCCGGTGACCGTAATGGGTACAGAGTGACCGCTATATACAGGGCCGTTATACACAAGACATAGTTGGACGGTATTTACAAAAGATTTCCGGACAATCCAGTGAGAAAGTAAATGGAAGACGAATTTTGGGTCGCTTCATCGAAAAATGATTTCCTGGAGCAACGGAACGTATGAAAAGGAAGTCCTGTTTCCAAAACGCAAATTCCTGCTCCATTTCTTCAAAGCCATCTTTGATAGCAGTTTTAGACCTTTGCGCCTGTTTATCCTATTCCGGTTGTAAGCCCCTTGGGATATAAGCCCCCGGGATATAAGTCCCCTGGGATATAAGCCCCGCCCCCTGATACCTCTTACAAGATGTATAAGCCTAGGGGTTATAAGCGGCAGTAGACGGTATAATAGGATAAGGGCCGAATGCCCGAGGGATTTGTCCCAAGCAAGAGTTCTTATCACTTACTTTGATGTTTTCCCCTCGAGCCAGGGAACTTAGCATCTTAGTGGTGCGACTTTTATGAAGACTCAACCGCAATGAACCGCTTAGAAACTGAGAGATGAGGCCAATCGACCACTCCTCAGGGATAAGTTTCATGGCCTGAAAAAATTGCAAACGACACAAACACTTTCAATTCATGGGCCGGGTTATTTAAAGGTGGGTTGAATTCAGATAACAAAGCGTAAAAAGCTAATTCAGTTCAATTTGAGGACTGGATGCTCTAAAATCATAAATATCAATTATCCTAGAAAAGGCATTGTGTTTGTATTGTGTATTGTGTATTGTGTTGTCGTGAATTTCACTATAACACTTGCTTCTACTAATAAGAGGGTAGCAGGAAACTGCGTTACTGCCCTACAACAGTCCCATAGTATGGTTTGAAACTTCACTGACCCAGTCCTAAGCGCAACTTCAGAATGGCCCATTTGCCATTTGCACATCTCCCATTATACACCTTGATACCCCCCTCTCCCCGCCCCCCAAAAATGCATAGACATTGTCCTTGATTTCTCTTGGGAACAAAAGTAATGCAAAATTTAGTGGGGGAGGGGGCGGGCAAACAAGGTGTATTATGGAAGATTAGCAAATGGCGAATTCTGTAAAATACTTTGGCATGTTGGAAAAGGTGGTGGTTATAGAAAACTGAGGAACAATACCTCAGCAGTGTCAAAGTCCGCCATGTGTGAATTGAGAAGTGCTACAGCCGGCGTGATCAATGGCTCGTGTTCCCTGAAAATTAAAAAAAAGATATGAAGAAGTTAACCTGAGGTCACGCCCTACAGAAGAGTTTTGCAGTGGTACCCCGATATACCAAGGGAGTAGTAAAATTATATCGTTATATCGAGGAATCGTTTTATTGAAACTCCCGATATAACGACATGGCCGTAAAATTACCGAAAATATCGTTATATTGGGGTAAAACTAACATGTACCTTTACTGCATACGTTATTTAATTTTATTTGTAATGAGTATCAAATGATTCACAAACGTAACATTTCAAGCACGCAGCAATGTCCTTAAACAGTTTGCAAAGCACTAGAAGTTTCTAAAGTTTATTATACAGAGTAAATTCTGTAGGAGGAATCGTACAAGTGCAATAAAACTAAACTAAAACATTTGAAGTTGCGACTGTTAAAATCTTTACTTATAGAGTTCGCGTGTTCATTGTTTTTAATGCATTATTGCGCATGACACTCTTGCAAGAGTCCTTCTTAAGTCGTTTTCGTTTCAATCTTTATGTTATGAGAATTATGTACAGCCCAAGTAGACCAAGTAAGCTGATAGAAACCTTCAATGTTTTCTTAATTTGTGACTGTGTACTGATAATATCGTTATATCGGGAAAGATTTTACGCTCGGTCCGCTAAATTCTCATCGTTATGTCGGGAATATCGTTATATCGGGGTTCTGTCCCATACATTTTACTGTTAGAATATTTAACAATTATTCCTAGATTTTACGCTCGGTCCGCCCAATTCCGAAGGCCGTTATATCAGGGGTTAAAAATATCAAAACTGAAAACTTTTAGCTTTTAAACGGGAAATAAGACCGGAGTTTGATCTTGAGTTACAAATACTTCACATTTTCAAAAATAAGAAAAACTATGGTAGCCAAGGATTTCTTCATCTACTTACTCGTCTGGTGAAAGGTAGACTTCTAGCAAAGTTTGGAAAAGCTTCGTGCGAAAGTTTCTGTCCTTGCCCTAAAGGAGTCAAATGTGATGACGTTAACCCTGTTACGCTCGGAATTAATTATAGAGATACCTTAAAATTCCGAAAATAAGCCCCTCCATGTATAAGCCACTCCAAATATAAGCCCCCCAAACCGGTAACGCAAAAACCCTCCGTTAAATCGAACTACAACAAAAATACATTGGGACTGTCCTGCAGTTGTAGGCTTTCGAAAAAGGCCTTCAAATATTTAGTAAAATTTATTTTTTGGTTTTCTTAATTTTTTGTTCACTATTTGCCAATGATTTTGAAACGCAAATTTACCCGTTCGCAGAGCATAAAATTAAAGAGCCCTCAAAACTAATTATAGAAAAATATAAGCCCCGGGGTTATTTTCAAACTTTAAGGCATGAGACCAATTAAATGAAAACTATTCACAAATACTTTGATCTTTACATGTCGCCAGCTGTTCATCAGAACTTAAGATGTCTAGCTACATATTCGTCGATAAACGAGCGTTTTTATTCACCTTAGAATGTAACTCGCAAAATCTTTCAGCTTCTGCGTAATCCTCAAGTTTGTAAACTAAAATCTTTAGAGCTTTACTGTATTGCTCCATCTGACGAAAAAAATTCAAAATAAGCTTAGTACCAGCAAAATTGACGGAGCTCTTAAATATTCCCCTGTTTTCCTTGGAAAGTTCACGTGACTTGTTGGAGCAATGTGACGTCATATTCAACAACTGCCGCCATTGTTAGAAAATGTTAGAAAAAGGATGACTCTATTTTTGTTCACTATACTCTTCTTTTTTTATGCTACCCTCTTAGCTTTGACACCTTGCAAATACCAAATAAAAAAAAAAACGAGAAAAAACATGTAGGTCATAAAACCAAACCTCGAAAATACTTTTACACTTACACGTCTCAGAAATAAAAGAAGAGACAAGGGCGATAGTGTCGGCCGACAGTATGCCGACATGATCCATTAAAAGCAATTGTTTCGACGATCATCAGACAAGGAGACACCACTTACTGCAGTATTATATTCCATGTTTTACAGCCAAATTCGTTGTATCGCGCTGTGTGTTTCGAAAACCTCGAAGGAATTTTGGGTTTTTCTGTTCCGTCAGTCATTTGAGTGGGGGCGGGGTAAATGCAAATCACAACACAACGCGCTCGCCCATGCCAGCTTCGCCCTCAAAAACAAAACTGAGAATGGCTCTAGACTGATCGAGAATAGCAAAGGAAATCTCGGTGGTGAATGAAATTTTTGTCGAGGGGAGGGAGACAGACTTTTCTTTATTCTTGCAAGTAAGGTAGACATTTGTAAGAAAGATCAGAAACACGTTCGAGCCAAACTAGTCAATTATTGCCCGAATCAGGACGATCACCAGCAATGAACCTTGAACACAGAAATAAACAGAACGGATCAAAATCCACGGATCACAAATCACATACCATGACCTTTTGAACTCGTTCCAAGTACACATGTTTCCTAAACGCGTAGCGCGATACAACGAATTTGGCGGTTATACAAAAGAATAAAAGTTAAATTTCAAGTACCTATTCTACTCAAACATTTGGCGTCTACATATGTACCAACCTTTCCATAGAGAATGGCGGCCTCAGCATCTAAATCTGAATCATCATTAATCTTAGACAACAAGAGAGTCACTCGGTACAGACATGACCACTCCAACATGTGGCGGAGCCTAGTTCTAAAAGAGAACAAATCAAGCTGCTTACAGGAGCTCCCTAAAAGGTGACAAAAGTCACGGATATGGTAATCTGGGAAAACATAACCAGATCGTCTTTTTCTGTTGACTTTGAATTGCTATTTGGTGGCGACCGACAAGAAAAACAGGGTCACTTTTACAAGAAGACAATTGCATTATGTCTCGAAATTGAGCGCGATTAAGTTTTCGGCTCCTTCCGGCGCACCTTTCGCTTTTTGCATGACAACTATTGAGGAAATAACTCAAGGACTATTTCAGGGGTAGAAACATTTTAAGTACGCTTAACTCAGCCTGACCTTCTGACGATCTAAGAATAAGGCTACGTTTCTTATGTATAACCTTAAAGCAAGAGATATGGCTGTTCGCATGCATAAAGTACTTGCGAGGTAGGTTGGTGACTGAGTTTGACACTTACATTGAGTTTTCTCTAGTCTCGTAATTATTATAGTTTTCCCTTGTGATAGCCTAATACCTACCTTTGTACGTTCAGTTTTTCTAAGGAACATGAAGGTTCTCGTCTCATTTTCAATACTTGTTCAAGATAAAGCAGCGCTAGATGGGTGTGGTACTTCTCTTTCTAGTTGACAGAACAGAGAGACCAATTAGTTCTGCCACTGTTTGTCTCACTGGTTCAAAGCTACGGAAAATTTTCATAGAAGGCAGTTTGGGTAGACTCAATTACTAACCGCTGTTCGGAAAAATGAACCCGCGCTCGTCCTTTGACCCTACTCGAGAGATCAGTGGAAATCAAGGGTACCGTTGGGGGACAAAAACCTATTAACAGTCTCCAACTAAGTTATAGGGGGCCAAGTTGGTTGACGAAAATTACAACTTCTTTTCCCCAAAATATGCATGGAAAAAGAGTTCAGTTTCCAGTGGAAAGAAACGCTTTTGTTCTTGTCAAACAACATGGCCACCGTGACGTCAGATGCAAACCAGCAATTTATACACGATTTTTTTTTTAAATTAGTACACAGATTCCTCGATAATGTAAGGCTAAGGCGCAATTTTATCCGCGGTCGAAATGTTACTTCCTTTTGTTTTAGGATAATGAGTTTAAAACAAAAAACATAAAACTTCAACTCAATGACATTTATGAACGGCTAAAATAAAGCAAAAATTACCTCATGATTTTTCACATACACAAGATGTTCTAGATATCGCTGTAATGCCATTGGGAATCTTTGAAGATATTCTACTATTAAGTCAGGCTTCATCTTTTCCTCTTTTGAAGACTTATCTGCTGAGCTGCTAGTGAAAATCTACAACAATATAAAACAACAAAGTTTTTAATTTACAGACAAGGATCCTGCCGCCCAAGAATACGAGGAGACTGGATCGAGTTAACTATCGCAAAGACTTCTGGGACAAGCGACAGGGGATAATTGGCCACTAGCTGAACAACGCCTTCACAGTAACGATCCCAGAAGTTTCGGCTCCAGTTCCCTTCTCTGTTCTCTCCTTTCTAAAGTGGCGAATGATAAATTCATGACAAAATTAGGCTATTTTGAAACTGACAAACGCGTCTGAACAATTCAATCAAAGTGTAATTGAAGAATGCTTTAAGTCTTGAGTGCAAACCTAGGCTGAGTCTCCAGCCTTGAGGGTCTCGATACGCCCAGTCGGGTGGGGAGTACCGCGGGCGCATCGAGACACCGAGCCTAGTGTAAACCGCGTGATTGCGTACAAAATCCTACGTTTTCCTGATGGATATTTCAGCGGCTACGCGTTGAAAGAACGGAAGTGAGATATGTCAGTGGTTGTCCTAAAATGTACAGGTTCGGTGGGGTATTCATAAACCATCAATTTTTTCTCTAAACTACAAAAGCTCCTTTCTCATCCGTAAGGTTAAGGCTTGGAACGACATGGGGAAGGAGGAATAATGAAATATTCCATTCCCCGTCTCCTTGCTAAAAAAGGGGAAAAGGCACAGCCTATCTCTGATTGCAGGTCAATGTTCAAGCCGAACACTTTACCTTAACTGCTATATCTTGATCCTTTTCCATTAGCCATGGCACGTGATTCCACAGTAATTCAAAATCCTGTAAACTAAATCATCCAAATCAAGAGAAAAGATCAATCAATTACTTGTTCGGCTACACATATCTAACAGGATTTCATTCCCCTGTTGACTCGCTGTGTTTCGTGTACACCGTGGTATAACTACCCCTAAAATCGGAAATCAAAGCATTTTTTTCCTGGCTTAAATTTTAAAATTCCCAGTATCAAAAAATACAAACAGTCTTACCTACAGAGGAAACTCACAACATACTCCATCCCAGGAAAGTTTGGATCTCTTATCTTCTCCTGGATAATCCTTTTAAAGAACGGGGAAAAACTATTACTTTATAACAAAAAGTAACTTTCTCATTTCCCTTGTTCAGTCCTGCGAGGGGCGTGTGGTTTCATGGGAAGGATGCGCTTCCCATGATGCCCTCTGCTGTCTGTTTTCCGAGACACAATGAGCCCAGGACGAAGCAGCTTTCTTTGGTTATCTGTTTCTTGCAACATGCCGTTCTGGGAGGCTGGTGCAATTGAATTTGTTAAACCTGGTTTATTTAAGCATGTTTTGTTTGTTTCATAGGCGAAGCTAAAAGAATTAAATAAATAAATAACAAAGTAGTGGTCAACATTCGCAGGCAGCAATGTCTTTTGCCGTCACAGACCTTGCAGTGTTATCATCTCAAAAACTTTTAACAGGAAATAGTAAAAACTTTTTTTCTCCTCTAGTATATTCTGGTACAGAGTTAGTGCATACTTTTTCCACACTTCCATAGCTTGAGCAGTTTGATTATGATAACAATAAAACAGGGCCAGAACGTGGTATCTCTGTAAAAAACAACAAGGATATGAGTCACAAAAGCAACTAAAAGTATACTCCGATAAAATGCTGGCGCTCTCGACGTCAGCTGTTAATTCACCTTTCTTTACCAACCCAGTTGACAAAACCAAATTCTTCTGTTTACACTGAAACACTAATTTTTCGTAACACAAAAATTAGTACTCTTCACTCCATTCAGGTACTCTAATTCTTGGACAATTAACTTGAGACAAAAAAGTTTCCGAAACATTTGCGGAGTATTTTTTGCGACCCCATATGTATGCTAAAGTAGACTACCGACTGCACAATAGTCGAATATTTTGTGTTGGCCAGCGAGGGGAAAACGGAGTGGAACGGAGTGGTATTAGGGTGGATTTCCACTGTCGCGTAAGTTTTACGTGCGTACGCACGTAAATTTTACGCGCGTAAATATTATCATGGATAATAGAAAGACTGGATAGGAAACTGGCTGACGCGATCGTTTCCAACATAGTGGAAAAATGTGACGTCACATTATCGAGAGCCATTCAACCTCATTCGACGTTTTGCGCGTCTTATGTTTCGTCGCATATTTCACTATCTCTGTCTTCGACTATACATATTGGCCATGTTTTGAAGTAAAGGATGAAGACGACTTGCTCTTGGAGAAGACAGTTAGAGGGTACAGAACCGGTAGAGGCAAAAGACAGAGTAAATGATTCTGAAACTTGTGAGAGCGACGAATGACTCCAGCGCCCGATAATTTTATGCACCAAACGGGAAGCCGAACTGCATAATAAGTGTGCGAAAACTTACATATATACAGCTACAAAACACCTATAAAAAAGACACAGCCTAATTTTCTTCAAACCACAAGAAAACTGGAAATAATTTTAACCCTTTTCATCAGGGTTTTCACGATTTCTTTTCGGCTTTTATCGACAAGTTCGGCGAGTGTCAAATTTTATAAGTTATCAACCCTTGACAAAATGACTTTATTAGCGGTTTAAGTACCCAGCTCAAACAAGTGTTTAATTTTCTCTTCAATTTTATTTACGGACAACCAGGGACAAGAAATCGTATTTGAGAAATATAAAGAAGCGGGGAAAAGCTCACAGCAGAGAAAGGAAATTTGCTTGCGGACCACCGTGGAAACGCCGTTTCTAAACTTTTTCAAATCAATTTTCATTGTGAAGCAAGTTGTTTTGCCATTTTCAGGTATAAATGTACAGTGACCCAAGGTACTTTTCAGTCAGGTCTTTGAAAAAGCGAACTGCAACGCTTTTAAAAATGTTATGTAAAACGGTTAATTGTTAACTACTAGAATACAAGTGGGAAGCAAACTCTCCTGGTTAATAGTAGAACCTTCACTTCTTTTTTATTAGGAAACACTTGTCTTCCATAAGGCTTAATAAAACCTAGAAATGTATTATCTTTGAAATACTGACCTTTTTTTAGGATGAAACAAAGTTTAAGTTTTTGTGTAGTGTTAATGATATGGATAGGGAATACTGTAAATCACCTCTCATGACCTCTGAAATAAACATAAACACTGTTCCCAAAAGAAAAATAGAAGCTGCTTATACATATGAAAAAAAAAAAAAAAACCAGTAACATCAGGGGTTATGGGGTTTTGTTTGGTCTGAGATAAGTGGATGAGGGATTGAAAAATATGACTGTCTGGTCACACTATCATGTTGGTGAAAACAAAATGCATACCCCAAACAAGTACAGGTATATGTTTTATTAATTTGATTTAGAATATACCTTGGTAAGGTTCATCATCTACAGGTACATTGTTACTTTGGATCTCCAAAAACCGAATACAATAATAGTGCTAATCAAGTCCATCTTTGGTTCGAAAACAATGTGATTCAGATATAGACCGTTTCAGGAAAGAACACTAACTAACTTAAACACATGACTCTGTAGCTAATACAAGCATTGACCCTCAAACGCAGCCAATTTGTCCCACTTACAAATAAGTAATAAATACACTTCAGAGGTGATAAATAAAGTTTCTTATCATAAATGATTTAGATGCCACCTTCTGGCTCTCATGCATGACAAAAGCAACTTTGTTGCTGTTTAATACAGAAAGATTGATTGATTTGTGCCCTCTCAGAAGAGTACTTGACCACACTTTTACTGTCTTCATTGATTATGTGTGTTTGGCAAATCCTACGAGAAAGAAAAACAAAAAAAAATGTAAAACACTGTTTAAAAAATAACAACAACACTTAGGAGCCTAAACGGAGGACAAAAATGTCAGTAGGTGTTTTCCCATTGATGCAACAATTATTTATAGTTTATGTAAGGGAAAAGTACAAAATTTATTCGAGTCTTTTCAGTGCCTTCGAATACAAGCTGCGAGGAGCGACGTGAGGCGATTGTATTTACTGGATTTGTGATATAGTAGTTTTATTTCAACATTAAAAGATGAGCGAAATTAACGTACTACTTTACGAACAATAATAGCAGGGTTAATCTAGGATATTACTTGAGCGAAACAGTTCTCAACACAAACTTGTCCATCGATCGGAACTTTACACACGGTGTGCGTACCCTTGCTCGGCGCCAGCTCCGAACGTAGTCAGTTTCAGCCATTTTCAAATGAAATTTATGGCTGAAAAATAACAGCATTCAGTCTGTAACTATGCCTATGCCACAATTCCATTCTTAAAACATCTGTCAATCGTAGTTAAGAATACAAACAAGAAGAAACCTTCATAACAAAGGCGTCCCAAAACAGTCGCCAAGTGTACTAAATATGGCTCTGGTAAGGTCAATTTCTGGGACGCAATTTTCTCAAAGACAAGGACAAATAACACAAAACAACAACAAGAAGTGCTTACCTTGAAGGTTCAAGTGTGGCTTTGAAGGATCGCCATCGCCGTAAGACAACAAACGAAGGAAAAAAACACCCACCAAAAATTAAAGTACCACTAAAAAATCCGAAAAAGAACAACAAGCAGGCAAAGAAACCCTACATTTCGACTGGTTTGCGCCACATTTTCGCCATCGTTTCGTCACAAATCTCCACTATGATGGAACCATCCAACGCCATCTTGGAGCACGAACCAACCAATCGGCGATAACAAATCAGCCCACGTGACATAAGTTTCCTATCCAGTCTTTCTATTATCCATGATATTATAGAAGCAACGTATGAAAGCGCAGCGCTTTAACGTTTTCGCGCGACCTTCCATGCATTGCCTCTATTTTATTCACGCCGTAAAATTTACATGCGTACACGAGTAAAAATTACGCAACAGTGGAAATTCACCTTAAGAAAGTTAAGCTATGCGCGCAAAGCGCTAAAGAATGCACGTTTTCTGGGTTTTGCACATTACAAGTGGCAGCTAACTTAGGGTAACCAACTGTTTTTCAGTCTAACTAAAATAGATTGAGATAGTTTCTTACTCAAAAAAAAAATAACAGAACAAACTAAATGGGCAAGAGACTAATGAAATTGTGATTTGTACCAAGGAAAATTTTTTCCGTCGTATTTATTCACAATAGTTTATCGTCTAGACGTTTTACTTTACCTCATATTTCTGAAGCCAAGACATGGTATCTGCAACAGTACAGTAATTTGCGCTGGACACCAAATCTTGAAGCGAAGGAGAATTGATTTCGATGTATAATTTCACAAGCGCTGTGTCAACTTCCTAGAGGACGCACAGAAAATACTCTGTGATCAGATCAACGCTACGAACGAAATACTATTCAACTCGTTTTTCACTTCTATTACAAGAGGTGCAACAAAGAAAGAAACTAAAACCGCAGAACCTACTTCCGCCAAGTTGGACTCGGGTTTTAGTGCGCTTTTCAATAACATGCGACTTCTAGAGTAAAACTTTAACGAAAGGTTACGTTTATCGCTCCCGCCTATCACAATGTCTAAGACTACCACCGAACCTTGCATTGCAAAACAAAAATAACGGGTCAAAATCTACCAGTTACAACTCACCGACGTGACCTTTCGAACCCCTTGAAGATAACCTGTGTGGACGTTCGTGTGATCGACGGAAGCGAAAAATGTACCCGTTGTACTTTAAGAGGAGGTTTTCCAGGAGAGGCCGAGAAAACGAAAGCGTAGCACACTCTCCACATATCATAGACCGACATCGCAATAACTAAGATAGAAAACTACCTAAAGAGCATTTTTAGGTATGGTCAGGCGGCGATTATTCCCTCTATACATCTATCTTCTTATTATGTCTTTTCGTGCAAGTTATGGGAGGTTTAAGGGTAAGATGCACTCATGTATTGGCGGGACACCAACATATTATTATGATGAACCTACCACCAGGCGGTCTTTTTATTCCCTTATTCTTTGAAAGACGAGGGGAGAAGGATCTTTCCCTCCGCCGTTCGCCGACTATTTCGCTTCCCCGAAAGAAAAAAAAAGAACCCCTGATCACAAGTCATTTTATGGTTAAAATGTTTGGCTTTAATGAAAAGCACATTATTTTAGCCGGTGTGTATCAAGTGAATCAGTCTCCAGAACAGATCTTACTTCTTTGTAACCAGCATCATCCGCAGCCCTCCTTGTTTCCTCCTGCGTTTTAAAGCAAAATGAGATATTCAGTATGACGTTTTTATTCACTACTTCGTTATCAGGTAAAAAAAAATTGCAAAACTGATAACAGCTCATGATAAAGGGGAAAGTAAGAACTCAGCTTACAAGGTACTGCATCAGTAACTGTTTAGCCTGTACTAAAAATTGCTTGTTGCCTTTCACTGCAAAAAAAATAAACTTCTATTAGTGTTAATGTTTGCCTAACCTGAGAAAACAGCCAACACTAGTTTCCAAGCGAAATGACGTATGAGAAACAAGCACATAAATTCCATACTGATGACGCAAAAGAGCTGAATTGCGAACGTGGTTGCCTGATTTCCCTTTTAAGGAGGATAATAGGCCAGCTAAGTACTAGGCAGACAATTCAAAAAAGTTTTAAATTACATTTCTCTCGCGACTTCAGTCCTTTTTCTCAAAACACTTAAACGAAACCCCGGTGGTGCAGGTTTGGAAACTCAGCCCTGATATCTTGTGCCTAGTGCATGTACAGAACTTGCCAGTAATCACCCCTGTAACCGGTCGTTTCGCCTACGAGTCGTTTCGCTAACGTCCCATGTCGTTCTGGTAAGAGGTGAAACGAGCGCTGAGCATGTATATGCTTCGTTCTCTCAGCCGTGATACAAAAACCTGCGATACGCACGTATATACCACGTTTTTTCAGCCACTCATCAGGCGAAAGCAGTTGGGAAACTGACCCAACACGTAGCGAAACGACGTCCGAAGTTATCGAACAGAACATTGGCGAAACGACTCGTAGGCGAGGCGACCGTAAACCATCGCCCCATGTGAGGTAATCCGGCAATCCGCAGTCTGGAATCCGAAATCCACAGCGTAGAATCCAGAATCCAAGAGAGTCTTGGATTACCTTACATGAGTATACAGAAACATAAACTCATAACTCCGTGCGAGTTTAAAACAACAACGAACACTTTTTGCACTCTTAGACCCTGTTTACATGGACTGGGGGACCCCGGTCTAGTGGGGTAGGTTTCTTTTGTTTTATGTCCCGTAGAGCGTGAAAACAAAAGAAACCAACCCCACTAGACCGGGGTCCCCCATTCCATGTAAACAGGCCCTTAAAATAGGTTTTATGTCAAAAGGGTTGAGAAAATCTAGCCTGGGAACAAGTTCTCCAGGGCGCTCTGGCGGCGGGGCGCAATAGCGACCCGGCGAGTTTGCTCGCAGGCTAAGAAAATCATCATCAAACAGCAAGTAATGTATGGAGTAGATTTCAGACTTACCAAGGCTACTTAGTTCGACCAATTCTCTTGACGGTAAGTACTTCCAATTTGATGACAGCAACGGGGGAAATAAGACTATTAGCTGAAAATAAAAATGATATGAACATTAAAAAGCGGGGAATAAAGTGACCTTCTAAGAATCCTCTTCAAAACATTCTGGAAAAACTTTTCAAGGATTTAAAAATGAACGCAAGAATTTCAGTTTTTAAGGATAATAAAACTACAGGGCTGTGATCTAGTAGTTTCCTCTGGTAACTTACTCAGTTTTGCACTCAGAGCAACCGGTAGCCAGTTTTGTTTTGTCATGATCTTAACTTAAAATTCACTGTTTTATGTTTTTCTCTTTTTTTAACTAAAAGATTCGACTGTTAAAAGGAAGGTGAAGTTTGGCGCAAAATTTTCCCAAACACACAGAAGGTTTTGCCGTTTTCTTTCCTCTGCTGTCCCATTGCTTAAATTTGCTCATCTTAACGTAGGACGTAACATTCAGCAGAGATGTTACAGTTACGTGTGACACAGAATTCATGCAACTGACGCCAGGAAAGCCCAGTTTTTTGCACCAAACTCATACGCTAAGTGCCTTTGATTGAAAAAGGTCTAGAGCTCCGGATCTCAGAGCAGGTCCGTACTGGGTGGGGGGCCATTCCAGCCGTGCCTGGAGTCGGGAAATGTATCACTATTTAGTAAAATCCAACTAGTAGTCTATTATCAACGCTACGTTCTGTTTGGTTGAGCTACTACTAGGCTATATGTTATAGCCCACTAGTAGCGAAAAGCGCCAGCTTTTTGGCAGCAAAAAAGGATTAAAGTCTATCTTTAAATAGCTAAAATGTTTTTATTCTCGATACTTTTGACCAACTAGTTGGATTTTACTAAAAAAATTATTCCTCTCACCCTCATGGCCTCTGAGTTAATAGCCTATTCAGCCTTCGGCCTCATGGGCTATTGACTCAGAGCCCATTCGGGCTCGAGGAATAATTGTTAAAAACACAACCTCGGTTCATTCTTAGTCCCAGTATGGTAAACAAACAGTGAAGTCTGATAGAGACAACAGAATGTACCTCTCTTGGATCCAGTCCACCCTCCCTCATAAGACTAGCAGCTTCGGTGAAGTAACCTTCGGCCATGTAAATCAAACCTGCTTTCTGCTGGGTTCTGCTAAGAAGCTAAGACCAAAGTGACGATAAGAAAAAAACTCTACTAACAGTCAGTTATGGCAGATATTTAACAATATACTCAAGTACCTTCTCATCTCTCTGAGGTCCATTCACGGTCTCCATGGCAACATGTGCCAACTGAAGAGCTTCATTCACTCTTTTCTCATTTAACAACATCTGAACCTGGAAAAAAAAATAAACAAAAAAATCAATATGAAGCCAGTGAAGCTGTTTTCTGGTCATTATCGAGCGAAAAAGAGCACAAGTACCCAAAGATTGGTTTTAAGTTGAGTGTGTTATTCTGGCATTTGTTCCTGATGCCAAGTGGGTAGACATGCACAGACAGCACCTTCACTTTCTCCCTCTTCCATATTTCTGGGCCTCATCCCTATGCAACATTTTTCGCTAAAATCCATTGGATCCTTGTATCATAAATATAGACTTGCCACAAGTCAACCTCATAAGATTCCTCATGTCGTGATATTCTAAGCAGAGGGAGGTCACTGAGCAGACGAGTGACCGAGAGAAACTGGCATTCAAGCAGACTGGTACGAATATCTACCCACAGCATACAACTAAGTACCTGTTTTTTAAAGGGCAGCTGCACCAAACAGTAGACTTCTCTTGGAGAACAAACAAACACCTGGTTGTCGTAATTCAGCAAACATTTTCCCCCCTGACAAAACCAAGTCATCACGGTTAAATTTCATTGTAATATTTTAAACTTCATGAGTGAACTTAAAAAACAGATAAATGAGAGATTGAATGAGGTTATTGAAACATTCAAGCCCTGGTAGGAATACCAACCAGTACGTTAAAAAATACTGGTAAGAACATGTTGGCTGTAGGGGAAGTATCCCTGGATGTGTGGTCCACGATCATCTGTTATCACCTCGATCTGTTATCACTTCCACAGCTGTCATTAAGGGCAAATATAAATGTGAACCCCAGCTTCTTTCATAAAAATTGGAAAGAAGGAAAGAAATCCCTGGTTGTATCATCCCCCTCCCTACTTGGTGTATTAACAAAGAAAACTGAAATCTTAGTGACAGCTCTGACTTCACTTACAGTTAGTATCACACTTATCTTGCCCATTACCTCGGCATCATTATTCCGTGCGGCCAATGCGTTTCGCATCACTTGGTCCAAGCAAAGAAGTTATTTTGCCTCAGATATGTCACCAAAGTGAATTGACTAAGAAGGCCTGGGAAAATACCGTGGAGGGGCTACGCAAACAGATATCATACAAAGGATAAATCTCATAATGGGGTTGGTAGTGGCAGCCAGTTGTACCTTAAATGAAAGTGAGTGCTTCTCTGACTTCTGGTCTTGTCCTATAATGCTAAGTGAACAAAACAGTAAAAATGGTAAGGTTCTTTAATATTTTATATTAGTAACTTGTAGCAGCACCCATTAGATTGACAAACCCAAAGCCAACTGTGTGCTCATTTTACCCCCTTTTTCCACCAGTGCTCTGTTTTTTGGGTATTTAACTGTTTAAGTCCCAACAGTGACCAAGATCAAATTTCTCCAAACAATATCCATACACTGTCAAGAGATAAGTTATGAGAATTAATAAAATGATCACACAAGAGAAAATGCTCTGATCTACTATCAAATTCTCTCAACTCATTCTTTAAAGAAATGTATAGAGATCGGTTTGGAGAATTTGTATGTGGATACTGGGGCTTAAAGGGTTAAAGCTACTTAAGCTACACAGAAAAAAAGGCAAAACAAGGACTTAATCGCACCAAAGAATTGAATTCTGGAACTCCTGCAAAGAACGCTGCATGCTAACTGACTATAATAATCCTTTTTCCTGCTTAAAATACCCAAGACACTCTTCACAAGTGAAGCTATTCTTCACACATTTTGGGTGAACATGGACAGCAAAGTATCGCTTACCTGTGAATGGAAATGGAACTTGCTCCCAGTGCAATCACATAAGGAAAAGAAAAGCCAAGAGCCAGCAACCTTTCTGACCAGCTGAGTGGAGCTCTCTGAGAGGTACCTTCAGATGTCACAAACATTCCCATGACATCTGTAGGACCATTTAACAGAAATTCTTCCTGCAATGAAAAATTCAAAACATGATGACCTTTGCCAAGTGTCCAGTTCAAAAGTGGACCACAGTGGACTATTGATTGAAGAAATACATGTACGCCAGAGCAGAAAAGCCTTGAATTACATCCCCCTGACTGTAAAATAAAAAAAAATTAACTAGAAGAAGGGGTTAAGATGGGTAACTAGAGAAATTCTGGCACATTTGGTCCCAAAAGCCTCATGAGAAGAGGCTAACATGAAAAATAGAACATGGACCCTAGGGCCCATTTCTCAAAATTGCCAGTAACTTTTCAGATCAAAGCCATGTTTAAGAAACAAAATCATTTTAATGAATGTCACTGAGGATTCCAGCCCCCTAACCAGTCCATTTTGTTTCTTAACCTGGTAATTTCATTGCACCACTTTGAAAACTGTGAAAAGCTTGATCTTGAACTTAAACATAGCACATGTAAAAAAACCCTAATGGGACTGGTAATTACTAGGACCTTTAAGAAAATCATATGCCCCTCAACTGTGGGCTAACACCTAAGAACAACTTGTTATGAAATACTTTGCTCGAGGATGAGACCAAAAACTGGCATCCACTCATGATACCCAAGATCCAATATCTTACCAAAAGACATTGAAAAATACAGTTCATACAGATTACCTAACAGGACATTAACGTATTGCAGTTCATGTGTAGCTACAGCTGGTGACAAAGACAGGTGTGGCAAATGGTACCACTGCTACAGTGTACTCATTTTTCCAGATCAGGCCCCAGTTGTTCAAAAGTTGGACATCGCCATACACTCGATAAATCACTATCCACTGGATAAGTGTTAGGGACACTGATAGCGCTATCCAGCAAATAGGGATTAATCTGGTGAATAATGCTATCCAACATTAGAACAACTGAGACCAGATTAATATTTTTTTGAAACCCTCAAATTCTTATGGTGCCATCATTCCTAGAGATAGCTTACCATTCCAACACCCATGACCAGTCCTTTAGTCATCTCAGCTTCATAATGAAACAATTCTTGAACCTAAGTGTCAGCACATAGCCAAGCAAAAGAGTAATTACAACTAGTACAATGTGCCTGGCATACGATACATATATTAGCTAATAGCATGACAAGAACATAAAGAGACTCTATGATAGTTGAAGATGGATAAAACTAAATATAAAGAAGATGCTCACAAAAGAACAGCTGCATTACAAAACCTTCTCCTTCTCTTTCGCTGTGACTTTTTCCAGTTTGCAAGGAGGTCTGCTCCAATCTCATTCCCGGAGTTGAGTTACCCTTGTCCAGCAACACTACGTTTTGCTATTGTCTGTTCCACTGGACAAGGGTAACGTGGACTCTGGGATCAACATTGGGTCTGCTCAAGAAAAGGGGCTATGACTGTATTTGTTTTTTTTTTTTTACCTTTATATTATACAGAGTAAATAAAAGGGGTAAAAACAATCTGTACCTGGCCTGTCTGAATGTTGACCATGCAGTACCTATGCTGGTTTGCCAATGCCACACACACAGCACCTCCATCCACTGCCTGCATGAGTTTTAAAATCAATGATGTAATACACAACAAAACCAGTCTAGTGGCTCAATATAAACACATATTAATAATCAATGATTCAGAAAACATTTATTGTTTTTAATGTGGCTAAATTGTAATTTAGGCAGAGTTAACCTCAAGACAACATTAGCAGGACAGCAGTTGAGCCCCAGGCAGGCAGGCTTGTGCAGGGTGGTTGCTTGGTCTGCAGGGGCTGACATGTGATTGCATATCTCAGCTTTGCTTTGCTTTACTGATCATGGCTGTTCACGGCCTATGATCCAGGGTCAGGTGTTTTAGAGGTGGTTGGTGCTTGCTTGGTTACCATGGCTACCTCCAAGACAATGCTTCCCTTTTGCACTATAGGCCCTTCCACCTTTAAGGCACCTGCTCCCAAGCTCATCTTTTTAATATCAACAGCAGTCTAATCTCATTGTCACTCACCATATGTAATGGTGGTTCTGGAAGCTGAATTTCTTTTAGTGGAATGATCTTGTCTTCAGTAACTGATAAAATATGAACAGCTCTCTTCTTAGAAAGTGCCATGCAAACCTATAAATACATAGTACCAGTAAAAGAACTCTTTTAGCTATCTTATATAATATACACTACACATATGACATCATGAATTAGTGACCCACTTCAGAATATAAAAATCATTGGAGCATCAGAGACCACATACATTCCTCTTCAAACCACTCCAATTGATTTATTAATTTTAATTTTTTAACCATAAAACTTCTGATAATAGCAACTTTGCAACAATATTCTATTTTTTCTTTCTTTTTTTGAACAATATTCCATTTTTAATTATTGCAGAGCACATAAAAGAAAATAAATAAACAAATTTTGAGAAATGTAAAAGGGGAGAGGTATAGAATGTACATGTAACTGCACTGCATCAATACAATGAAAATCTATCAGATGTTTATAATAATAAAGAGGACTTACCTCAACAGCAAATGGATCAAATAAATTTGGGTTATCATTTCTACAGATTGCAGTCACCTACAAAACACAGGTCAGATTCAACAACATTATTACTCCTGACAAAGTTTTCAAATGCATGATAGCGACTAGCTTTAGTTGTCTCTACTGAAAATACAGATACTAAATTTTTCACAGCCATGAAACTTGAAGCTGTTGTAATAAATAAATAATTATTGACGCAGATTTTTTAGATGTATAAACTTCTATAAATGCGGTTCAAGCATTTTTGCTTCTGAGTAATCTCAAAAAATCAACACCACTTGGAAATATATTGCCGTTATTCAACTTACCCCTTTAAATCTGTCTTTAAATCCTGTGGCCAAAAACTGTAAGAAAATTTGGAACCAATAATTATAAAGGCAACTGAATTATAACAATAATCAAAATTTGACAGTTTTAGAAGTCAAATAATTTTACAACCCATTGGAGGGAATGCTAATCTGTCATATAAAGCTACATCCACAGTACATGTTGCTGAGGGAGTACACTCCCAAGCAGTGTATATTATTATTCCATTATATAGGTAAGGTCATATACATAAATTGGAAATGAACTAGGGTTCATACAAAAAATTTTCAAGGACCACCTACCAGAAATGTAATTTCACAGCTTGTACAAAAATGCAGATTCCTATTTCATTCTAACAAGACTTTAAGGCTTAAACTTGACCTACATTTTTCAGTACACTTATCTTAAATTGATAGTTACTTATTGGATAAAATGTTTAAAAAATGCTTTACAGTATATTATCTTTTAGGAAACTAAAAAGCATTAAAAAACACTTTTCAGGCTATTACATTCAAAGCTGAAGAAAATTCAAGAACTTTTCAAAGACATGCAAAGAAATTTAAGGACTGTTCAAGAACTTCCACTAAAATTCAAGGATTTTCAAGAAGACTGTGCAAACCCTGCGAACTACGTGTACATAAGATTATATGAAAATGTCAGTAATAAGATATAATATAACTAACCTCTAAACCAAACATAGTGAACATCAAAATTCCACCTGCCAAAAGAAACATAAACAGAATTTAATGAGCAGATAATGTTGAAATGGTAATCCATAACAACTGTAAAATGTGTCATTTCTCCCTTTAATATTAGCATGGTAGTACCTACACTAAACCACAAAACATTCTGCCACATTTCAATAAATCTATATTTTGACATTCTAAAAGTGGAGACAATAATGCTGTTAACAAGCTAAATAAACTGAAAATAAGATACCTAGTTACATGTGAAACAAATATATATGTAAGCCCAAACAAAAAAAACAAATTTCAGTGGAATGTGATATTTAGAATAAATAATGTAGCTAATAATGTAATTTAGGCGAGGTTAAACATGTGACAATGCTGGCAGTAGTCTTTACCACTAATCGTATGTGGGGCAGTCTTGAGGGTTAGCAGGGCCTTAGTGATTTTACCGCGCTGTCACAGGAGTCAATCATTTTGATCACGTTGCTTTTGCGTGCAGTAGTTAGAGTTACTTTTGTGCCCCCAACCCTCCCTCCTCTCTGGATGCTCTTTTTAGTAAGTATCTGCACCTTTTTCCACTGAGGTTCTCAGTGTGAAAGTGCCTGGTGGGTGCCACTCTCAGGGTTGTCATGGTTACCTTCTAGGATCACTTGCAGCCCCCTTCTGTTTCACCAGGCACCTTCCCGACACCCATCTATTGTTGATGGATAGGTTTAATCAAGGTTGGGGTGAGTGTTATCCCCTCAGCAGGGAAAAAAAACATACCATCACAGAGTACAAGAAGTCTGTTTATTGCTGGAGCTGTAAGCACCTGCACAACAGGCTTTTTCTGAAATGAATGAAAATGAAAAGTTTATCATCAAGAAGAAGTAGAGAATTCTTTAAAGGGACAGGCTTACGGTTTAGCGCATGCACATTGATTTACTTTTTTTCCAATTTATTATTAATTCTGTTGGTTAATAATCCCACTCACATGTATCTCAGTGATCTCAGAGTGTATTTCAAAGTAGAAGTGTATTTCAGAGTAACGTGAAGTGGGATGGAGGAGTACTAAAATCACAGAAAAAATTAGTGGATTATGCCAATACTACAAACGTTGAATTTATTGTTGACCCAGGGTTTCACGCTGGGCCAGGACACATTATCAAATTTCTAGATATGGCAAAACAAATTAATAATTTTGAAAGAACGTGACGTGATAGAAACAAATGTGAAAAAATTTTTGGAAAAGCTCAATTGCTTTAGGAGATATAGCATCTTGAAATGTAATCATGTTTCTAAAAATTAATAGTAACAAAATGGCGGGAAATTCAAAAATCAAAGCTTAATAACTCTTTAACTAACTGAGTTTTTGCACATTTGTTTCTATCACGTCACATTCTTTCAAAATTATTAATTTGTTTTGCCATATCTTGAATTTTTAATTTTGCTGTCAATCTTGTGACGTCATTTTCCTGCCAAAAAATGTTAAAATCAAAAAACAAAAAACATAAGATTTTTGGAATACAGAGTTCTACCATCCTGCAAAGTTTGAGCCCAAACGAATAAAAAATCCAAAAGTAGTTCCTTGCCTGCAGCTTTTTGCATGTGTCCTGGCCCAGCGTGTTTTATTCAAAGGTTGATAATTTACAGCTATTTGCACACAAGTTGATCAGGTGACTGTCAAAAGAGATTGGGTCTTTGACAACGTCATGACATGATCATATTGCTTGCACAGACGATACAGCATGTCCCACCAGAAAAACAGCATTTTGATTAATGAGTATGCACTGAACCATGAAACCTTCCCTTTAAAATTGAAAATGAAATATTAAGTTCAGACAAAATGAAATATTGAAAATTGAAGATCCTTATAGAAAATGAAAGAACTGTACAAAAAGGCTTCTTAATGTTATCAGTCAATAAGAAAAGAAGGTAAAAATGGAAGATCATTACAAGGTTGACCTGGATGAATTTTACATGGTATATACCATTGCATAATGACTTCACACAAGCAAGGTGACTGTCTTTCATGTTAAATTAAGATTAAAACATACACTGTACACAGCTGAACCTCCATTGAAGCGGCCACCTTTGGGGTATCAGCAAGTGGCCACTTAATGGAGGTTGGCCACTCAATAGAGGTTCATAATTAATTAGCAAACCCCGCGGCAGAAACATCACCTTATTTTGAAACACACATGTAATGTGGTCGACAATCAGTCATCAACATCTACACTATATCTAGAGCTGCAGTTTCAATTAACATATTTTTAAAAACCTAAACTGCACTTAAGAGTATCGAGCACTTTGATTCATGGCCACCGATACAGGTTTCACTTACTGTTATTTTCTAAATTATCATTTTAGGACTTTTATTACTGTCAGCCTCATAGCTGGTGGCTGTTTAAAAGGAAGACAATTTAAAGAAGGTTCAACTGTAGTTGTTTGTTTATCAACAAACCATTCCAAGATGCTTGGATGCTTGCAGTCCTGACTGAAATGTTGTTTTGCCCAGTGGTGAAACTCCTTCATCAATGATATAATGAAGAACAAAACTGGAGACAAAGTAAATAAGTATTGTTTAAATACCAACAAGAGTGTTCGAGAAACAGTTCTAGTTACAATAAAATTAATATGTTGCCATCATAATTATAAAATTAATATCAAAGATTAGTTGTTGGCAGATCAAAGTCAAAGAACTGGCTTTTTTTAATTCAGGGAACAGCTGTGTTCTTCTAGAAAGAACAGTAGATACTTCCAAGCATAATTCCTGTTAACTATTTGTCCTCTAGTGATGACATAAACAGGAGAACTCAGGGTACTAAAAACAGAAGAAAATAAAACACAGGGGCACCCAACAACGGTTTCCTCCTTAGTCACTTTAGGGCAAATATGTCATTTTTGCGATCCCAACTTAGTCCCAGTTTCTATTTTTATGAATTGACCTATTTGTTATATTGAATGAAGAACACTTTACTTTTCATCTGCAGTACAAACATTCTGGTATGTTTGCTAACCATAAATATGAAGAACTGTCTTACCCAAACAAATTTGAAAATGTCCGTCCCCATTCTAGTAACTCTATTGAAAATGCGACCCCATTATAGTCAATCCAGACATGAAAATGTGACCCCATCCAGCGGCACATCCCTATTAGCCTCTTATAAGGAAGTACCTCCCTCGGGTCTATCATACAGACCGGGGGGTAGCTACTTCCCATACAGTCTCTTAAATGAAATCCAAACAATGTTCTCACAACTCACAAAGTGATCAGCAAGGGTCTTGCCAGCAGATTTGTGTCCCGATCATGTGCATTACATCAAAAACTGCAGATCAAAGGTTTTGAGAAGGAACAAAGACATGGTGCTCCAAGGCAGGACTGTTTCTCACTATTTTATTTTGGTAATTTGCAAATTTATTAATTTTATGTTGCTTTTCAGACATAGTCTGTGGTTTTCTTTTTCTGTTAAACAATTTCCCTCTGCAGAGTTTGGAATATGCAACATATAGCTGCGTATAGCTGATAAGAACCACTGACGAGTTGAGCTATTGACCAGTGTTTTGCTGCAAACGTTAGTAAATTTAAGGTTGCTTCAAGGTACAAAGCATTCAGTCGTAGTTGTGATTTGTTTATTAGAATCATTTTGAATTTTATCTTTGAATTCAAGGTGTTGACTGATCGTAATAAACAAGGTAAAATGTTGTGAAGTGTGAATGTTTATTCAGGTATGATATGTACAGCTGTAAGCTCATATTTATATGGCGTGCTTGAATATACTTACTTCCAATAAATTTGATACTTTCTTCAGTAATATTAATCAGCATCATAACTAATAAAATCTTTTGATGTCCTCGCCCAACAAAAATAATGTAACCTATATATCATGAACCAAGCGCATTGTTGTTGGTTAAGATCTAACATGGTTGCGGTTAATTTTCCCCCAAATTTCAGTACCAAAAGACAAATACTGAAATATGCACGAAAAACAAAGATGCATTATATTATTTTTTCCATTTTTTTATCATTTCCTCTGCCGTGTGGCTTCTCACTTCTATTAAAATATTTACTGTGGGAAAAATACTGGAATTATCCTCTGACCACCACATAGGGTGACCGCTTTGCAAGTTGTGAGAACATTGTTTCTCAGTCCCAGACCTTGTCTTTCCCCCCCCCCCCCTCTCCCACCCTGATACAGACATACCAATCCGTTGTTCCAATATATAAATTCTGAGCTGCACAGTCAATGCATTCAACCTAAAAGAGTATTATTTTTTTAATGACACCATCATTCATTTTTATAATGAAGTTATTTAGTAAACAATCGCTCGATGTGCTTCGTGTAACGTTAGTTTACACGTGCTCTAAAGTCACCTCCCCATCCCTACGAGGGCCTCGTAAATAATAAAAGTTTTATAAGCAAAATCTCAAAGTCGATCAAATTCCTACAGTGGCTCATCATCGGTGTAAGAACCTGTGAAACTCAAAGTGACGTAAAGCAAAGGAATCAAAGAAGTCAACACAACAAAACCTAGGAAAACAAAAGGTGCAAAACAAAGAAAAAGTTCATAGGTTCTTACACCAAGGTAAACCCCCTACAGTGTGAATCTCTTAATGATAAGAACCTTGAATGAAATTTTGTTCACATAACAAAAATATTACAACAAACTACTTACAGTTTTGGGCCTTTCTGCGGATGTAGTTACTATCCTTTCGATAACTGGTGCGATTTCAAACGCTTTGAAGCTCACTTTTGCATGAGATTCATACGCAGCTGTGTTTAGATGGCTGTAAAACTCCGCCATTTTGTGTTTTCATGGTTTAGTATGGCGGGCTCAAGTGGTACCAGTTCCTCGCGTTTTTTGAACTGGTGCGTGGGTGTCTTGTGGGTTCATTGCGTGGGCAACAATTTTATAAGAGATCTTTTTTCTTTGAGTTTGCCTCATAAAAAAACGTTTTCATTCTAGAAATGACTCATAGGAATGGCATTTTTCGTTGATGCTGATGTGTAAAGACCCTGCGAATAGTTCATTCTCCAATAAACAAAGGTTAAAGATTCCTCAAAAAACAATTTGAAAATAATTAGAGGCACAATAGCATTTTGCACTTGCTCCCTCTTGCGCAATGGTAATGAATATACTACGGTAGTCGTGGAAAAGCCCATCTGTAAATATAAAGGAAGAAAACGCATTTTTGGTAAATTTTGGTTCTTTGAAATGAATGCACAATTCAGAACAGAGATTTAAAACAAATTTTAACTTTTTGATAAACTTTTCTCACGCTCAAAATGATTGTTTTGTTCGAAGCAACTGGAGCGGAAGACAGACTATGCAGTCATGGGTGGGGGCGTCCATATTTGGAACTCAGGCGGTAATTTATTCGACTCGCATTAAATTACACGAATTGTTTGACTTTGCATGCCAAACAGGAGCAACTTTGTGAGTAAACGGTGGTTTAGCAAGGATTTTCACACCCGATAGCTTCGAACTCTGTTTTGAACTTATTCTGTACGATTAAGTAAGAGTATGAGCATGGAATTCGACGCTGACACGGTTTCCGCGCCGCGTCTTGTTGTAATGAAGAGGGGAGATGGTGGTTATGGTTTCAATCTTCATGGCGAACGAAATGTCCAAGCAGGCCAAACTATTAGTGCCGTGGACGACGGCAGCGAAGCCCAAAAGGCTGGACTTCGAGTCGGAGATAAAGTTATCGAAGTAAATGGTTTAAATGTTGAAAAGACGTCTCATAGCGACGTTGTAAAGCGGATAAAAACGAACCCGAACGAGGTCTCTATGCTCGTTGTCGATCACATCACGCAGGCCTATTTGAAGCAAGAAGGGAGACCGATCACGGCCGATATGGCTAATCTTATGACTGTTTATCAAGATAAAGAAGTTTCAGCAGAGCCTGAAGCTCAGCCTGAGGAGCCTGAACCAACTCCAGTAGTCGAAGAATCTGTTCCTGAAGTGCAAGAGTCTGATGCCAGTGCTCCGACGCCCACCGAACAAGAGACAGAGCCTCCAAAGGAAGAAGCTACGACAACTGAAGCAGAGATTGCGAATGACGCGACAACACCTGAAGAAGTGAAACAGCTCAACGAAGTATTAGACAAAGAGGATGCAGACGTAGAGATACCAGCTCCGGCACCAGCGGAACCGCAAACAAACGGAATGGAACATCACCAAGCACCTCCAGAACCAACTCCTACACCTACCCCAGCTCCAGCGCCGGTTGTTACTCCTACGCCAGCTCCACTACCCGCTCGACCAACATCAAAACCGCTCCGAAGCACGATCAAACAGCAAAAGGCTGAATCGTGGGACGAAAAATACAAAAAATTCCAGCAGCTGTGATCGAGTTTTTCCTTGGTGTGTTTCTTGCGAAAAGTAGAGGCCGTGGGAAAGAGGATAGAAAATATCGAATTAGTGATCGACTGCATCGTCGGAGTGGGTGTGAAGTATGTAAACTGAACAGTCGTACATGTACTGTATATACTTTATTCATGATTTGCCAGAAACCACCTTTTCAAAAACATACCGTTCCTTTGAGATATATGAATCAATATTTTTTGAAATAAAATTTGTAGAACTAGTTTAACAAAAGCACAAATTTTGTACTATCCGTAGAAAGTGCTAGTTGAATATTAGCCTAAGTTATGATAGCGCCATGATGCAATGTTGATAGTCGGTGTGGGTTGCAAGAAGGGTTTAGGAATAAACGATCGATTGAATTATAAATGTCTGCGACAGTGTCAATTCAAAGATGTCTGTGTAGTTGTAAACTCGCAACAGAAGTAATTTAATTTTGTAGATTGTTTGAAATACGCGACGACATAGAATATTCCAGGCGGAACGTTTCCTTTCCAAATTATATTCGATAGCCATCATTCTTCGCAATAAATAGCGACTTCCACTCAGTGAATATGACTTGATTAATTGCAGCTTCGCTACTAATATGGTCGAAAAGAGTTTGAAGAAAATATTTTTATTAATCTCTGTACAGCAGCTGTTCTGTCCAGCATGTTTATATTTTCGCAGTTGTGTTAAGGGCATAGGAAAATGCCACGATTTATTTTTCAATGCCGTTTTTTAAGTCGTTTCGACGGATGTGACCTATCGTTGTAATGTTTGCAGCGTGCATATTGGCTACTTTGTTTAATGGGTTGAAATTCTATCCTGGCCGATTCAAGGAGGCTATTTTGGCAAACAATTCATGGCCGATATTGTTATAGCTAGTCGGCTTCTTCTCTCTAAGTGTTAAATTTGCCTCGCATTGTAATCGAATCCATTTTTATTAATGTTACGAAGTGACAACTTGTCATGGGTCAAAAATTTACATGCAGATAGTGTATGCCCTGGCTGTTGTACCCAATAAATATATATTTTTGTTTTAACTCCTGCAGCCAAAAATTAAGTTGAGGATGTCGCCGCATAAACGTTGTCTAAAAACTTACCATTTGAACTAATATAAGCAAATTAACAGTTCAATAAAAACATTTATATATTTTGTTCATTCGTTGTTTCACAAGAATTGTACTTTTAAGCTCAAAGTTAAAATCGACTCAAAGGAAGATAGCCTGAAAGAAAATTATTCCTCGAATTTTCACTATAATTTTCCTTTAAAGGTGCTTTTAAGTGCAGGAGTGTGTTGTTGACAACCTTATGTAACTAAGGAGGACGGTTTTTGCAATAATGCGATTTTTTAATTTAAATTTGCGATTGACTTCTTTTGGATCGTTTAGTCTGCAAGCATTTTTTTGTCCACTTTTCTTTTACTTTTTGTGTAAATGATACAAAAATGTGAGAAAGTTTTGTCTACTTTGGGAATGTCGTTCTGATTTAGAGGCATTGTTAGTTCTAATAAAGCTCAACAGAAAATCATTTTCCATCTGTTATTCTAACTTTTCTTCAATTTTCATCAGTTTCTTTGCCCTGATTAATGTTTCCTTCAGTTGTGTTTGGGGATTTCATGTCTAAACTGTGTGAACCCTCCTTTGAGATGAGCAGATCAAGCTGTGTTATTTGAGCTACTTCTATTAATCTTTGGCATATACTCAGTCAACTGATTATCAATCTCCCACTCCAATTTATATTCTGAAAAACAGCAGGGGCCAACAGCTGCTGTTTTTTACACCATGCAATTCGTGAGGTATATACTTGTAACTGGCACATCGCAGGTGACATTCACAAAACCAGCCACAATACAGCAAGTAAGGGGACTCATTCTGGACCCCCTTAATAATGTGCCTACCCCCTCTTGAAGTAATTTTAAAATATTAACAGAACCCCTTAAAATTAAAGTCTGAAACTCTAAGGACTGAAGGAAGCAAGAACAAACCCTGCTGCAAAAGAGACTCCTATTCTTCCAGTTAAAATACCAAACAAAACAATCTATTAGTATTATGTGTCAGGGGTGTGTCAGCTTGTTTTATTTATGGCAATTATGTTTCATTAGTTATGGTAATAGGACTGAGTGGAGTACAATAATTAATCAGGGAGTGATCGGACAAGTAATCTTAAATCGAGCGCGTACATGTGATGTTCTCAAAGGACTGCTCATATAATGCATACATGCATGTGCACATGAAAAAGATGACAGTCTCTTCTAATATCGCAACTTAACTTTTTTAATCATTATCTCCTTAATTTACAATGATAAATCAATTAAACTAATAAATTGCTTTCTTAGTGTTTATATGAAGCCATGTGCCTGGTATCCAGTGAAAGGGAAGAATGGAATTGGGCCAACCTTCCCTCCCCCTTGCCCCCTCCTTCATGCTTCTCACCCACCTGAAATCCCCTCCCTTCTTCCCTTTTGAATGCCTGCCTCACAGGCTATATAAGGTTAATCACCCCTATAAACCAGACGGTTTTCTGTCTGAAGGGATCTGTTTCTAGCCTGCGTAGCAGGCGCTTGGAAGCAGTGGGCACAAAGAAAAAAAAGCGGGAGCGCGAGAAGTAGAAGCCCCTCACTTGTCTCCCTCGCGCGCGCCCGTTCTCTCTTTCGCCCACTACTTCCAAGCGCCTGCTACGCAGGCTAGAAACAGATCCCTTCAGAGAGAAAGCATTCCCTTTAATATAGTACATTCGACTCCCGATAATTCGAACCTTTAAGGGAAATAGAAAGAAGTTCGAGTTATCGAGAGTAAAATTATATAGAAAACGATCTGAAGGGTAATGAAAATTGCTTCGAGTTAGCGGGAGGTTCGAGTTACCGGAAGTCGACTGTGCCTCTAGGGAGAGTGGCAAATCTAATTTCCTATTTTAATGAACCTCATCGAAATTGCTGTCGCTTTTGGCTCGATATTGTTAGTGATGGTCGGCAGGGATAGTTTTGATTAGAAAGGAAATAGAAAATGTGTCAACGAAATAAAAGCACCTTGCTTAATGCTGCGTGAACCACCTCGTTTGTTCTGTACCCAGTCCCAGAGAAAAAGGAGGAAAAGCCCAGATCACTGATGATTTATAAGGGTTGAGGGGAGAGCTCCGAGCGAATCCAAACTCTCAAGCGCGAGTATGGTTTGGTCTCCAGCCCAAACTCATACCCAGAACCCAGAGTCTTCTGACTAAACTTTCGGAGGTAGTGAAGGGATGACATGTTAAATTCTGCAAGCAGAATACTGCAATGCTGATCATACTACGTGAAAATTAACTCTGCAAGGCATTAACACGACACCGAAAGAACTCAAAACAGAGCGGGATTGTAGCCATAGAAAGCTGTTTCGCCCTCTTTGGGGCTCGTCAGTATGGCGCCGAACACAGAAAACTCTGGTGAAAAATATCCGCGACCGGAAATGCGTCTGCGTTCTCCGGCTATGGGTCGGTGTGCCTGCGATTCTCTCCACTGAGATAGGTGTGGGAAAAATCGGTAGCGCACAGAGACACCAACTGAAATGGCTAAAAAGCATCTTAAACTATCATGCGCAAATAAAAGTTACGCACAAAAGTTCTATATTTCAGCTGTAGCTTGTTAAAGAAGGACTTGGGCGTGGTCGCGGCTCAGCCTCTTAACTGGGTTCAAGGGGTTTCAGTGCTCGAAAAGCTTCGCCGGCAGGTTCCTTGTCAATGTTCCTTGTTTTTTTCTCTCTTTGAAATCATGCCTATCTAGATTTGTACTGGGCCGTTTCAAAGAATATTTATGGCAATACTCGTCGTCAAGAGAGAAGCTCATTCTCTCTTGTCATCGTTGAATTATTTTTCTACATACAGCGAACAACATTTAAAAGCGAAACTATTGAAATGCATTGTTGTAAGGTGTTCAGAAAAGTGAATCTATTTTTGCAGGTAAGTAATCAAATGAACAAAACTAGTCTAGGTAATTTTCTTTCGATCCGTCTTGAAACTACAATAGTTTAAGGGTAGTAGCGTGACAAATTCAGCAGCGGGTGCATACGTGGGAGTAGCCTGCGTAGCTGGCGGTATTCTTGTGCGCGGGGTACTTTTTTTCCGCTGCCACGCGAAGCGAGCAGCACCTCAAATTGACTTGCATACCCACCCTTCTCGCAGCTCCGCTGCCAAAAAAATACAGCACTCCCACGCTAATCCAACCAGTTACACAGGCTAACGTGGGAGGCTTCAAAATTTGTAATTGTGCATGTAATTAACCTCGATCTTAAGTTGCAATCCAGTGGTACCTTGGTAACAAACTTTTAATCTGAGCTGTGCAACTAAAGATGGGGCTAACAGGATCTCGCACGCGATCCATTACTGCTCCGATAAATGAAGACGCTGAAGTCGGAACTCGCGTCGTTCTAATCACAGGTTGTTCCACTGGAATTGGACTCTCGACAGCCGTCATTCTTGCTGAAGATGTGAGGCGATTTAAGGTTTATGCTACCATGCGGAACCTTGAAAAGAAGTCTGAGCTTGAAAATGCAGTTGGAAAACATCTTGGCGAGTCGTTGATAATTAAAGCCTTGGATGTTCGCAATGAAGAAGAAGTGAACAGATTAGTGAAAGAGATCGAGAGGGAAGAGGGAAGGATTGATGTGCTGGGTGAGTGATTCGATTTCAAAAGGTCATAAAACCTTAACATAAATGAACAAAAACGATGGAATATTGATTTTATACACCTGAAAAAAATAGCTGAACTTTAAGTCAGCTAAAGAAAGCTCTAGGGGTTTTATGTAAGATTCCAATCGTGAAAAGGAGCAGTGATCCGGCGACATGTTTTCAGTAATGGAGTCAATCATATTTTGAGGCAGATTGATTACTGATCGGTGTTTGATCAACCATCAATTTGAAGAATGTAACAACAAACCGTAACTGATAACGCAAGCAGTAAAAATATGAAAGGCCCCCTGATATGTCCAAAAATGCAAGTGGATTTGGTCCTTTTTTGTTGTTGTTTAGTTCTCCTTCTTCCATTTTTTGAATCTGTAAGAGGTGCACAGGTGTGTGTTTATGTGCTTTTTTCGTGACTTTTCCATTGTTATTTATTTATTTTATTAAACAAACTAATTTACTGACCCCGGTTGATAAAAAGTTATATAGCCCTAGCCACCTAATAAATCCATATCCAGCAGATAACTATTAGAGCAAATAATTGCGTTACTGAATGGAGATTTATCCAGTGAATGCAGGAGCCGATTACCCGGAGCTTCCGCCGTATCTGCTATAAAGTAGAGTCAACCCTCTCCCGTTTTAGTCTACTTTTAGAACTATAACTTCCCGGGGAAAAACTCTGTTTCCACGGACGTCCGTCCATCTCTTGAACAACTGGAGCCTGGAAGCTATATTCAATTGCACTCCTGTCTCGGTACCAAGAATAATGTTACATACTTACCGAAAGCAAATAGTTTTAGCTCCTGATCCAGCGCAAAAGTCTTTTCATCCTCTCCTATTCTAGCCTGCATAACAGGCGTTTTAGGAGACAAGCGAGGCGAACGCAGCATTTTGCGCGAAGCGCGAAACGAGTGGGAAGCGTTCTCCTCCACTCGTCTCGCGCTTCGCACTCGTTTCGCACCTCGCGCAAAATCCCGCGTTCGCCTCGCTTGGCTCATAAAGCGCCTGTTATGCAGGCTACTCCTATTCTAACCCATCACAACAAAAGTTGCCGTGTAAAAGATAGGGGTCGCGTAAATTTGAGATCGCAACGCATTATTATCCCCCTAGCTGGCTATTTTACTAAAGATATGTTACAGAACGACTGACAAAAACTTGATTTTTCTTTTACCTTATTAGTAAACAATGCTGGTCAAGGGCTGGTGAGTGTTTTCGAATGTATACCAATTGAGACGGCGCAACACGTGTTTGATACCAACTATTTTGGTGTAATGCGCATGCTCAAGGCGGTATTGCCAGGAATGAAAGCGAGGCGGAAGGGCCACATTATCAATATAAGCAGTGTGATTGGTGTAAATGGAACGCCTTTTTCTGAAGTATACAGCGCCTCCAAGTTCGCTTTGGAAGGTTTAACAGAGAGCCTTGCACCGACCTTGAGAAAATTTGATATCAGGTAAAGAACTAAAGTTTCACGCTATTCTGACTTAAAAAGGACAGCAACAACAACAAACTTATACATTTTTTTCTTATGTCAGCGCGCGGCCAAGTCTATTTGTTAACAAAGTCTATATATGTGTACTTTTAACAGTGGAGGACTGAACAGAAGCGCGTTGACATTTTTTTAACGCAAAAATGAGAATAGCAACGACAACGACAAGGAGAAGGGTAAAAAAGGATAAAAATGCATGAAAATGTGCTGAGCCGAGGAGTAAAATATTTTTTTTAGGGGTTAACTTGAAGGCAAATTGGGCACGGTAAAGAACCCAGATATTCAAATATTGACGTTGAATTCTTAGGGCAAATAATCGTCGCCTCTCTACGGCGCCATGAAATGCAGCCTGTAAGAACAGCGGCCTCTCATCACCCCCCTGAGCTATAGACGTTTCCTTCGGAAGCTACGAGAGGCAGCTGTGTTTGCCGGCTACATAAAATACCTGCAGATGAGCTAGCTCTCTGTTTGGAATATATCGTGAGAGTCACGCGGCAGTAGTACACGAGTTACCTCTCGCTCGCGCTTTCTCTTCCGCCTTGCCTCGCTCACCACTCGAAATGGAGAGCTTCATACCCTACAGGCTAGTCACACCAGTACTGAAGATTTTCTGTTGAATTATAGGTGTTCCTTGATTGAGCCTGGGCCAGTGACGACTTCTTTTACCCAGAATGCAAAGTTTTTGAGAGAAGGCATTGATATTTCGAGCGCTGATGAGAAAACCCAGCAACTGCTGAAGGCAGCTTTGAAAGAAATGTATAACAATGTACAAACGCAAAGCCAGACACCTGAAGAGGTAGCTTCTATCATTAAAAGTGTCATACTAAGTGCCAACCCGCACCTGCGATATCAGACAAACAGCAAATACGGACCAGGCGAAATACAAGCTAAGCTGTCTGATCTAACTGGAGACAAAGCCGTTCAACTGATGGAAAGGCGTTTCTTTCCGGATGTACAGAAATAAGGATCACGGTTGAATAGTAGCTAGAGAAAAAAATGAGTCACTTTACAATAACTTTCGGTGTCTTTATTTTAACATAATTATGTTAGCATGACACGAGTTAAGCGAGTTTATCTGGGCTGTCTTTGATATAAATGCGTTAGACTTACTTGAGATTACTATTTGTCCGTTATGATTCATTTTACGCGAATTAATATACAAGGATCACAGCATCTGAGAACGAAGCTGTGTCATAAATCTTACGGATGTCCATTTTTTCTGGAGAAAAAAGATTCTACTTCGTATGTAGCTTTTTAAAGAAAATTCCCCTACAGTAAAGAAATCAACTTAAATAAGAGATGGTTATAATTTATAAAATATAATACTAAAAGGCTTTGTTGTGTAGAAAACTCAACAGATAAAACTGATTATAAAATTGATTACTTTGCACATTAACTGGAGAGCCATAATGAGCCTCTTCCCTCCTTCAGCCTCTTCAATAAAATAAAGGCTTTAAATAAATAGACCAGGGTGTGCATTGGTCAGTGTTGAAACGATTAAATACTCTACTAAAGAAAGTCAACCTTACACTTTTAGCTATTCCTTAAGGCCAAAGGGTTACGGCGTAATATAGGCCTGATCGTATCATGGGTTAAGCCTACACAATAATCAGCACACTGTTCAACACACTGTCAAATGCTCAGCTTTTCCACCCAACTGCAGGGTGAAAACTAAGGGCGATGGACAGGCGCTCCTGCACTTACTGAAGTCTGTTATTTCCTTCTTCCTTTTGCTTGAAAAACCATTATATTGCTCCGTTTGACAGTGGACAAACACGACGACGACAACGAGAATATAAGCAATAGGTACAATAAAGAATTTGCACTTACATCACACTTCTTTTTGGTACAAAGAAGTAGGTTTCCGTCGGTCAGCGACTATGGATGATGCATCCTAGTTAATCTATCTGGTTGTCTGCTCGGCTGGAGCAGCATCTTCTGTGGCAATAGTGACCAGTTGATGTGGTAGTGACAGTACCCTGTGTAGCTGGAGGGATTGTTATACTTGGTGTACTTTCTTGGAGTCGGAGCCATCACGCGAAGTGAGTTACGGGGCCGTGAGGGGTTTCCGTCACCACATACCTACAACCAATCGCCCGCCAATCCAGGCAGCTACGTACGTGACGATCACTGCTTCAAAGGTCACAGATGTGCGTGGTCTCTGGTCTTATAGGGTTGCTGCTCTTTTTTCTGCGTGCCCTCTTGTCTGCCTCTGCCACCTACCTTCATCAGCTTCTCCTCTCCTGACTGGAGTCTTTGATTCAGGGTACGTCTCCACCTTGTGTGGTCAGCTTCAAGGCATGCCCAGGACTCCAAATCAATGTCCAACGCTCTTATGTCCCTCTTGCAGACATTCACTGATCTCAGATGAGGGCGGTCAGTGATCCATTTCCCAGCTGCCATTTCTCCGCAAAAAATGTCTTTGAGGATACGACCAACCATGCAGTAAACGTGGCCAAACCAAATCAGACTTGAGTTGGGTGTGCATGCTTGGGAGGTCAGGATATTGGCGTTACTCACTTCGTCTCACCAAGGTGTGGCCGTGATACGTGGATGCTTCTCAGGTGGAAGGTGTTGATTCCTGAGGCAGTATGCTAATTTTATACAATGCCGTTGTACACGGTCATATTTGTTGTAATTCCAGCAAGACAGTCCGATGATGGTACAGCCAATGCATGCAAGCTGATGGACAACATGAAGGTCATGCTTGTACTTGATGTTCGGCGCCGTCTCTGTATTCTGTATGTTTCTACGTTTGTCTTCCTTAGAATTATAGTCAGTCCGAATTCCTTGCTCCATTTCCCGCTGAGTATGGGTCGAAACCGCTGCGTCCTAAGCAAACAGCATATCTCTGATAATGACTTCGCATACCTATGTCTTAGGTTTTTGGGTGGTAAGGTTGAAAAGCCTGCCATCTGATCTGGTTCACAAGTATATTCCTTCTGTTACAGTGTCAAAGGAATACTTGAGCAAGGTGGCAAAGAAGATCCAATATAGTGGGCGGGTGTAAGGACGCAGCCTAGTTTGTCACTGCTGAAGGAGACAAAGGACTGAGAACTTCACTGTCCCCTTCATGTGGTGTACATGGATTCTATAATGTAATGAAATTTGGTGGACATCTGATCTTTGACAGGATCTTGAAAGAGCCCTTTCTGCAGACCTGTTCGAAGGCCTTGGTGAGGTCACTATGAGCGACGCACATGGACATGTGTTGTTCAAGACCATGCCTACCGTTGACTACTCAGTTCGGAAGCATACTGTGACTCAGGATAGACAATTTCTGCCAGCTTGTGAAAGCGGATCAAGATAAACTGCGCAAAGACTTTGCCGACAATCCTCAGAGGGGAGATGTCATTGTAGTTTTCGCAGTCATTTGAATCGCGTTTTTTACGTAGAGCGTGAGGATCGTGGAGTCCCTTATATCCCGCAGTACTTCACCTTCCTGCCAGCATTGGCACAGGATCTCATGCAAAGCGAGGAGGAGAGAAATATTGCAATACTTCTCTGAGACTGGGAAACCAGTCGTTGCCTAGGCTCTTTCCTGAAGCTAAGCCCTTCAATAGCTTTGTTTAGCTCGAGCAGATGGAGCAACAGTGTTCTGTCTGGAGAAGAGGTCGGCGTAGGGTTCCACCCATCTCTCTAGCTGCTGACCTTTTGTCCGTAATAACTTTCCCAGTGGTGCATTTATTTTGGCGTCTTGTTCTGAACTGGTCCTAGTGCCTTCTCTATGCCATCGTACATTCATCTAATATTTCCTGTAATGGTAGTAGTCTGGATGCTCTCGCTGAGCTTTGTCCAGTACTCGCTAGTGCAACACCTGGCAGTCTGTTGCTGTTGGACCTTGCTCCTGACGGCCGTGAGAATTGGCAGGTTCTTTTCGTCAGGTGACGACTTATTCGCGGCAGGAGCGATACACGTGACTCCGATGACGGGAGTCATCTCGGTCTACTTGGCCTCAAGTCAGTCGTGTGCCTTTAAGGGCCTCTTCGCAAAGATAGACAGAGCCGTACCGTGCATGGTTCGCAAGGTTTCCCACCTCAGCGTGGCAGAGTTACCGGGTTTTGAGGCATCACGTTCCTTCCGGAAAACCTCGGCAAACTGCTCCACCAAGTCAAGCTGGCGCATTTTGCTGACGTTGAGCCTGACTTTGCAACACCTCCAGGAGTGGTCTATGTTGCAGTTCGCGTTGTGGAAAGAGCATGTGTGAAGGACGTTCTTCAGGTCGTCATGGCTGACGAGGATCAGACCCAGCTGATGCCAGTGTTCTGAACGCATTTGCCTCCAGGAGACGTTGAGCGGAGGCTTAGTTTTGAAGTAGGTGTTGGTAATTCACAGGTCATGGTAGGTGCACAACTCAAGCATCCGCTCACCGTTATCGTTCTTTTTTCCTGTACTAAACTGGCCAAGCCAGGAGGGCTAAAAAAGTCGTGATATGCACCCACTCTGGCGTTGAAATCAGCCAGTAGAACAATCTGTTCCTTGCTCGGGATACTCTTGATGATGGTGCGCGGTTCTCGTAGAACTCATTCTTGCCATCTAACGTGGCCGACCTTTATGACGCATAGACGCTGGCACTGGTGACTGGGCGTTCAGCTGTGTTCAGGAGGGGAACCAGGTATTGCTCTGAACCCTTGCTCCTTGGTTGAAACATACTCAACACTCTGTTTCTCACTACAAAGCCTATCCTATTCTCTCGCCACTCATCAGTGCTCTTCCCCTGTCAGTAGATCAATGTAGTATTCCCCGTTCAGTGTGCCAGCGTAAGCTAGCAGTGTTAAGGGCAGCTATGTAAATTTGAGTCTCTTGACCTCGTCGTTGTGACGGAGATATTTCTCGCGTCGGTGAAAAGCCATCAACATTGTCTGGACATTCCACCTTCCCAGTTCTACAGATAGTCCCTTATTAGTTGTTTTCTATTCTCGCTTTGTGCGTGGGTTGAAAGCTGCCATTCGAGTGCCTTCATAGCGGAGCTCCTGCGCGCGCAAAGCCCGCTCAGTGGAGCACCATGGGTAAGAAAAATAGTATCCCATAAATGTGAGAAATACTGACCAATGTCATACATGAACTACTGACCGAAATTTTGGTAATCACTTGACCGTCCGTATGTCTGTCCGTCCTTTACATGTAAGTTAATGTCAAATGTCTCATTTACTACAAGCAATACTACTATGGGAACATTAAATGCAAAGGACCGCAAACGAATATGCCACAAAACGTAGGATCTAAAGAAGACCTGATCAGCAAAAATATACCAAAGAGACACATTGAATTCTGCAATGCTGATCGTATTACGTGCAAATTAACTTTGCAAGACATGAACACGACACCGAGAGAATCCAAAACAGAGCGGGGTTGTAGCTGTCGACAGCTGTTTCGCCATTATTACCAGAGGCGGATCCAGGATTTTTTAGGGGGGGGTGCACTCGTCTCTTGCTCTACTTCAACACCAATAAACCACATAGTTTTTTTTGTTGCAGAATACCAGTTGTATTAGAAAACCGCAGGTCAACTCAGGGGGGGAGGGGGTGCGCACCCTCTGCACCCTCCCCCTAGATCCGCCCCTGATTACACTACAATACAATACTTTATTCAAGAGATAAAAACTAAAGTTACCAAATATCTCTCGAAAGGGGATATCTAGAGGATATCTAGAGGTTAACCCTATATAAAAGATTCCCCAAAATAAAAGACGAACAGGTAAAATCTAGAATCTAAAGCATTATATACAGAGGGAAAAATCTAAAACCTAAAAACTAGAATAAAAAACATCATTTGCATATCATTTATTGTGGCTCGTCAGGACGCCGTGACAAACAGAGAAGCTCTGCTGTGAAAATGACCGCTCACCCTGTTTTAAGCCCTAACATTGAACCCTAACACCCACCGAATAACGCCAGATCACGTGCGTCCGGAGGGCAAGAGCCCAAGTGTCGCGTTGATGTCTCGCACAGAAAATATATGAGGATGGCCAAAACCAATCTTAAAAACATGGAAAAAAGTCTTGCAAAATTTACAGCATACTGGATCTACAAAATAGCGCCCGACAAAACCGCCATGTTACGTAGGCTATAAGACAACACCAGGAGCTCCTGGCAACACATGTACATACCTAATCTTTGAAGGGCGGATCCACAACTGAATTGTTTTATTGGATGGAGGGGTCCGATTTGTGCTCATCCTCAGAACTTTTTTACAGACTGTTTACGGCTTATCATTTCCAGTGATGTTAGTGAAAATAGTAAGAAGTATGATGGTCACAAGTGTTTTTGGTCGTTCGGTTTCCCTTGCGGACCCTTCCGCAGAATTAAAGTTTTTATAATTAAGGGTCAAAAAAGCGAAAGAGGAATGGAAACTAGCAGCAAAACTTGGCACCAGTTTCCCCAGATATCCACTTCCAATATGGCGGCCGGCATGAGGTTTATCGTCCATTGTCTTTTCGTTGAGTTATCCTGAGATAACATGGCTACAGGACGATTGGACGACATAGAAAACATTTTTAACTCAAGAGGCATCAATAAAGGTACGGTATGGTTGAAATTGCCTAGTAAGTTGATCTGTTACAGACGTTTTTTCACCAGTAAAAGGGAACTTGACTTACCTTGGAAATTGTTTAACCTAAGAGTTAAGCCACTCACAGATAAAGTTATGATCGATTGATGAGGGAAATGATGTGTTTTTTAAACTAATCAATGCTCAGCAAACTTAGCTGCCTAACTGTAAAACCAACCTTTGTTTCTATAAACTATTTCTTAGTTATGTCTGTTTTAGTCTGCGCCAGCTTTGCTCTGAAAAATAAGCTTAAGTCTACATGTATTCAAATTTTACCACACAATACTGATGATTCATTACTAGGCCACAAAAGTTCGGTAAACAGTCATTAAGCCGCCTGGTCTTTTAGCGACAGTTACCTTTAGCCCAAGTCAGTAAGCTCCCAAAGATAAAGATGTTTGGCTCCATAAATAGAAGAAAATTTGGATTAAGCGTGATCTAAGTGAGTGCTAATCAAGTGATGACATAGATATTCCTCATTCTATGGCTAACCAGTGATTTTGTTTCCTCTGTGTCTTGCGACCCTGATGCATAAAAATCCCCAAAGACGCTAAATAATTCATGGAATGCGTCCCGTAGGATGCAAAGATTGATCAATTGATCTGAACATTTGTATTATATATTTTAACATTTGTTTTATATATATAATGATATATATATTTATTTTGTAGAAATATCCTGTTCATGTTATTTCTGTGGCAGTTATTATGGCTGTTGTTTAACAATGCATATTTCTTTTAGCCTTTGTTGTGCTTTGAAGTAGAAAGACTATATTTTAATTTTAGTATACTGTAATACAGAGTTTTGGAGTCTGTCTTCAGATTAACTGTCTGGTTACATAAAGGCCCGAATCATGATTTTTCACACGATGAGTGCCAGGACTCACCATAATTATTTATAACAAAATCACTGGCTAACTATTGATTTACAACAATTTCATTGACACAAAAAGTTAACTTAGTGCATGAACTGACTGGGGCATGTCTAAAATATAAAATGTGTATACTGACTAAAATATATTGGTGAGTCAATCTGTTGCCAGTTTGAAATTAATTACGCCTTTGTGGTGGAGTTCATTGTTATCTCTTTTATAATTTATAGGTTAAACTAAATAAGGTATTATTTATATTGAAACAATCACTTCTGTGATGAAACTGTTGAAACAAATGTTCAAGGGGGGCTAAATGTCTTCAAAATAGGGAGCTAGTAACCCAAGAAGAAAGTATCGACTTACGATTTAAGGAATTGAACAAATCAGTATCCGAAAGTTAATACAGATAGATTCAAGAACTCTTACATTAATCGCTTAATTTTTAAATACAATTTAGCTATGTGAGCATACTTTTTTTTTATTGTAAATAACTTCAATATATATACTTTTACTCAAATATTTTAACAAAAGATATGTATTTTTTATCTTGTGTGGAAATAAAGACTATTATTATCATTATTTAACTGCGGCTAATTGACCAGCAGGCTGAATGGCAGTAAAATGAAAGTTATCCTGACATCATTCAACACACCACTGAAACTCCTATCAAATAATTATTGCTGCAGATACTGAAACTTTTGAAGCAGTCTTATTCCTTTTTACATTGCAGATTCACAGGGCACTATAGCAAGGAAATGCCCACCACCCAAAGTTATTGAATTTGTTGAACCAGGGAAACAAAGAAAAAAGACAAAAGCTGGACCACCTCTGAGTGTATGTTGTGCCATTTAAATTTATATTTTGTTCTTTATTTGTAAAAGTTAATCATAGCATGTCTCATTATTAAAATGGATCTTATAAATTTCGTTTAGATCAAAAGGAAACAATTAAAAGATAAGGACAAACCATCAAGGTAAACAGAAATGTTATAAAATACTAATGATGTGGAAGTGTGTCATTACTTATCAGTGATTGTACATGTAAGTGTAAGATTATGTGGCCATTTATTTTAAATTGAACTAAATTTGTTATTTTAAAAAATGTTTTCTAGACAACATCTTGATGAGATTGACTTTCAATCCATTGCAAGAGAAGTGAAAGAATTTGGTGAGTGGAATTTATATTTTATGTTATTAGTTAATTTGATGATTTTCATGTGGTTTTTATTTTTCCAGATTTTATTTCTATTATACCTTTTGCACATGAAGTTTCTGAACCTGACTGTAAATAGACATAAACTAAAATGGACCAGGCCAACCTGCCCTAAGTCCTCTGGGCCTTTCAGCCCCAATATCAACATACAAATTTTCCAGACTGATCTTGGTACATTTCCTTAACATAATGAACTAGCTGAGATAGTTTGATAAACGATCACTGCATTTCCCTTCAGTGATCTTTTAAGTAATTCTCATAATCTATTCTCTTGTTGATGTGATGATGTTAGGAGAAAATTATTGATGTTAGTCACTCTTGGGACCAACCTGGTTAAATGAGTTATCGGGAGCTTAAGAGCCCCCACATAGTGTTTTATTAGATACCCAACAGAGCTCAGCGAAAAATCTACTTGTCCTGGACTACTGGACATGACCTTTTCAAGCCCTGTATCCAAACAACCCACCGTAAGTGGCTGAAAAATGCACATGCTCATGTCTTGGTGATGTGAATCTGCTGACAATTTTGACAAAAAACCTCTCCGAGGGGGACATTGGGGCTTACATTTTTTTTTTAAGCAGTATTTCTGTAATTTCAATTTAAATGTGGGTTGTTACAGTATCATCTAGCCCTGCGGTACGCGGTTTTTCATCCTTTTGGCTGACAGTATTTGGTAAAAGAGGATCCTTCATGGTATTGCAGTACCGTTCATTTGCGCTCTCCTCTCTAATTAATACAGTTCAATAGAACATGCAACACAAAACAGTCAGTAAGCTATTATTAGACATATTGATAATGGTAAATGATTACACAATTTCTGACATTCAATCTATGTTTGAATAATTATTGTTGTTGCATCCAATGACCAGGCTTTTCGAGCTGTGTATCGATAAAATAAAAATTTAAAAATTTGAGGTCTCCTCACATTTTCTCACAATGGCTGAGGTTGATTTCTCGGGCATACCTGCTTGAAATAAGCAAACGTGCGAGATGGATACAACTTTATGCAAGTGTGACTGATCAGAAATGCAGCACTGCTCTAGTTCTTACTGTTGGTCATTTGACAATTGACTGTTCAAAGTAGGTTGTCAACTGCTACCTTCCTTCCTGCCCAAGCGAACAGCATATTCTGCTAAATTGCTATATTTTAGGTGTAACTGGCCTGAGTAGAAAAGAAAGAAGAAAATATGAAGACCAAAAGGCACAAGCTCTTGGTGGAAAGGTAGGGACACGTTTAAATAATCTTCTATCTTCATCAGCTAAGAGTGCTCTTATTATTCTACAATATTTGACACTTTTTTACCAGCCCCTGTGCAATGTTGTGATAGTTTTATTGACAGGTGGCATATAAGGCACCTTTGAGTTCATATTTTTAACTGAATCATTAAAATTTGTTAGCATTGCTGATGAAATACTGTTAAATCCTGTGAATTGTACTGAAGTTTGAGCCCCAGGGATCCGTTTCTTGAAAGTCCCGGTTATTACTGGGCCCTGAAAGCTGTCAACAAAACAAAAATAATGAACTGGTTTGTCAAATACAACCTGAGCATTTATTCTTTATTATTTTTAGCTTCAGGCCCGAAAAGTTCCCAGGACTTTTGAGAAACGGGCCCCTATTGGGAAATTTTCTTCCTTAGAGTAACAAGGGGTTTTATTTATGTGGGTTTCTAGACATAGTAAAGTATAATTAGTTGCATGTGGAACAAATATGAGTTATTTTGTTAATAGGCCTAGATAGAATGAGTTTCTTGCTTCCTCCACAGTACCTGTTATATATTTCCTCACCTTTAATACCTGTTTATAATTTAGATAACAATAATTTATTTATTTTTCCAATCTCCTGATAACATTTAAATGTTTAAGGTTCCTAAAGGACAAAAAATGCCTTATCCAATGTTGATGCGTCAAATGAAAAGAAGAAAGGAACAAGAGAAAGAACAAAGGGAAAGGGTAAGAGATAATTATTATTACTTCTTAAGAAAATTTGGGGAAAAGAAGTTCCCCCCTTACACCAAAGTTTAAGGTGCCAGTGGGAAATTCAGTTCACTGCCCATTTAAGTATCTTCTTACTTACTGTAACATTAGCCATGGGAATATTTTAAATTCATTATTATTATTATTATTGTCAGTAAGATTTTTGAATATGGGCCAGGGCCTTATACAACCTGTACCACCTTCTGAAACTTGGACAAAATGCGGTCTTAAAGCAGGGGTTACTGTAACCATATAACTATATTACTTGACTTTAATATTTAATGTGGTATTTTGTTTATGTTAATTCCTAAGGAACATGCGATGGGCATCTTCAAAAAGAAACCAGATAAAAGTAAAAAAGCTTCAACAAGGTTTGTATAGTAAATTTTGGATATTGTGAACTATGACAGAACTTGAATGTACTTTTCTAGTCCATCAGCAAGACTTAGTTTGCTTAGTTTTCTACTTATTGCAAAGCAGTAAATTCACTCATTATTTGTTGTCATTGAAGTCTTGTACCTCTCCCTCAAAAAAGTGGGCGTTGTAAGCATCTTGCTGTTCGAGAGCTTGAAAAGTGCTGCTTACAAAATGACAACTTGTTCCCTCTGCTTACCCGCTAGAGTCCCAAAATGCAGCTTAAGTGTGCATAGGTTTCAGGCTTCAGTTATATGAAAGGGTAGGAATTTCAAGAGTTGATGTATATGAAACGGAAATCTGTCATTTTAGGTATTTAATATTTTAAACTGACGCAACCTATCTAGTCATACCAGTTTTTTAAACCTACCATTTAGTGAAAAGAAGACTTACGTGAAAGAGGCACCTTTTCTCAATGGAAGGTATAATGAAAAGGGTAGCTTTTTTGCCAAAAGTTGCACACAAATGGGTAAGAGGTTGGACCTCGGCCCACTGCCCCAACCCCATCCCCAGGGTTTCTTGTAAATAGTTTAACGGTCTTTTTGTTGCATATCTTGGCTTACAGATCCTCTTTGGGTCGCTGGGTTGACAACTCATCTAAGGGCTTCGAAGCATCAGTTGGAAAATTCAAAGCTGGTGTCCAGCGTTTGTCCAAAGCTGATCTACGGAAGATTAAATCAACCAAGAGATAAGAGAACCGCAAGATTTAGTTTTCTAAGCCGCCAGGAATAAATGTGCACATCTAAGCAAGATTAACTGTCAGAGTGCAAGGAAGATGGGCAAACAGAATTATAATAAATTATATTCATATTCATGACTACTTCTGGCAAAGAGAAGAGATTAATCAGAATCAAGGACTAGGACAACATTACAACAAAGTACAAAGTTTTTCAGCAATATACAACTGTCCAAGAGCATTAATTTTAACTTTGCTTCGGTACTGAATCTGTTCGGTCATGATTACAAAGACAAGCATATTTTTCCTCCTGTGAAGAATTGGTTCAGGAAAAGTTAAAGAAGATAGCAGTTTCAGTTTCACATACATTTACACTCAGACTCTCTTAAGTCAAAAGGTATAGTTATAAACCAGTTGTTATAAGTATGATGAGTTGGAATGCAAAGATGACTCAATCCTTTCTCTGCACATCAACAACTCATGTCAATTAATGTTATTCTCCAGAATATTTCTATCCATGTGCTTAATAACAAAACACCTCAACAAGAAGTTTTAGAATCAAAAATGTATTTTTATTTTCTATTATCATTGATAAATAATTTGTAAAGTTCATAACCTCAGACTTAATATCTGCTTCATTTAAATTAAATTAATAAATCCCTGAATTGTTACTCAGTAATAATGTGATGCAAGTGCTACTGTGTCCTAAGTATCCGACACTTTGTTATCCCTTGGTCTTCCTCCATGTTCAGAATGGCAGCAGATCAGAAAAACCATAAGAATAAGAGTTGATTTAGAGTGTCGTGTAATTTTTACTTGCGTGTGTGCATAAAATTTATGTTCACAAATAAAATAGAGGCAGTGCATGCAAGGTCACTCCAAAGAGTAGAACTTAAACCTCACTCAACTTCTCGTTTAAGCTTGGCACTTTTTATCTTGCCTCTGTTCTATTTATGTGATTAAAATTTACGTGCTTTAATGTGCGTAGCCAAAAACACGTCAGTGAAAATCAACCTTAAGTGGCTAAAATAAGCCAAGAATCTTTTGAAATTTTGTCAGGTGACAGCCAGACGAGTGTCAAATTTAATGGCCAGACATTGAAATCCATTGCATGACAAAAAAACCCCTGAGACTCTTCTGTTGTTGGGCAGCTTTAACAACCACAATGGCAACAACAGTGAAACCATCACTTACAAAGTATAATATTCCTGTTCTTTCAAACTGAAATGTCACTCTTTAATAGAATACATGAAATTGAGGAATTCAGGAAGTGAAGTAAAAAATTTTCATGATGTCCTCCACAAACTGTTGGATTATAGAGTTTCACAATGTAGTGGTACAGTGAAATTATGTACCAAAAGGTTTGCTGCATGTGCAGAGGTGTTATTTTCCTTATTAAGCCTGTTGTGTTTTTGATGTTCTCCTTGCCATTGCCATTGTAGTTGCTTCAGCTCCCTTTTATTTAAGCTGCCATTTCCAATGCAAAGAAGGTCCTTGACATGTCAGGTGCCCAAGCCTCTTATTGTAGTTCTGAGCACCTTAACTTTGAAGGAGTTGCTGGAAAATAGCACTTAGTAATTATTTAGCTGGTAAATTGCTTGCGAAAATTTTCAGTTCCTTCCAACCTCATCCGTATGGCTATGTACCTCTTCAAAATTAATATAATAATAATACTATTATACGTTCTTGATTAAAACTTAAAGTGTTCTTTATAATGTGACAGCTTAATTAAGTCTGCCCATGTTAAATTCATGGCTGACCTTTAACCACTAGCAACATGATTTAACAACCAATTTTCTTGATCAATACATTATAAGTCACAACTTCAGGTTTTCATGTTGTCAGGAAAGAAATGAAAACTGAGCAATACAATGAACATGCTGGTATTAAAAATTCTAAAAATATGAAAGTGAAACCTCAATCTAAACTACGGTGGTCTTTTACTATTTCTTATTAGCTACTTCATTTTAAATGCTAAAAATATTGATATTTAAAGCTATTTTCTAGACTGAAATTGAACCCTCTCTAAAGTCAGTTTTTCCAATCAATGCATTGATCAGCACTGCAGTTCCATCTCTTGCAAGGTCTTGAGCTCTTGATAGTGTTGAATCAATCTCAGCTGTGGATGAGTTGCTAAGTAACAGGCCTTTACCACCATATCCATCAGCTACTATGTGATAGTTTGTAAACTACACGGAAAGAAAAAGGTCTTAGAAATAATATAAACTAAATTGTACATTATATTCTGGATGTTTCAAATTCTAACCACACATTGAACCTGTAGGGGTCTCAACTTGGGTATCAGTTTGACCAATAAAACAAAATAGCTCTTGACAGAAATGTGATAGTGAATTTTACGCCTGGTGAATACATAAGAAAGATGTTATTCAGTGACACAGAGAGCTTAGATAGAACTACAAAGAAAGCTCATGGGTTCATCTCCTATGAGGGGTATTTGGATTGAATAAAAACTGACTGAATAACACCTTTCCCCAAAAATAGCACTTCTCCTGTATTGTTAACCTTCACTTTATAACTCTTAACTAGGGAGTAGATTTCAAGTAGTCTCTCATTTTTCTCACTGACAGTAGAGCAAGTGGAAAGAAATTATTTTAGTGAAATTTAGTCTATTAGATAAGAAATGAGGAGGCGATTAATTCTATATAAAACAGGATTTCCTTGCCAAAATTTTTTCACGTCCTTCTTTATTGAGGGTCGAGTTATCTTTAGGTCATTTACTTTTTATATCTTATTTGAGGATTTGTTTCTGAATTGATAGAGTATGCATGTATATTAAATACACAAAAGACCTCTATTTGAGGGAAATTACATCATTGCCAACGAGCAATGATTTCAATCATCACCGAAAATAAACTGCATGCTCATCACAAGGCTCATTTGCATACAATGAAAGTTTACAACACCTGACCAGTGAGCCTCGCCATTGAAGTTTTGCTTATTAAGATTCTCCTTTTTTTCAACCACTGAACCATTCACTTGTTCCAAAGTAATCAACACTTTCAAGTGACATAATTTGTGGACCAACCCATTCTGGAAAAGCTTGACGTACTTAGCATTAATCTTTCCTAAGCTTTCTTCACAAAACATGCATGGCACCGGTTAAACTGTCATTCTTATTCCAGGTTTCCGCAGTCTCTGCTACGAATGCCGGGGACCATGAGCCCCCTTTTGGCACGCACACATGAAAAAAAAGAACGCTTGCGTTTTTGGAGTCTTGCTGCTAAATCATGGGTGACTAATGAAGGCAAAGGACCTTCTCCTCACTATACATCGCCTCTTTTTGCTACAGGTGATTACATCATGTGTCCTTGCAATTTTTGCTAGCTTTAATACCTCTAAAGAGAATAATTAAGTGACTATATTGCTAAAGACAGTAGTTGGTTTTGTGAGGTGGGGAGTGGGAGGTTAGGAGATAAGAAAAAGCTTACCTCTAAGTCACATCCTATACTAGAACCAAACATAGGAACTTGCTCACGAGCAATTTGAGACCAACAGGCATCATTACCAACAAGAGCAATAACTGGTGTCTAGAATAAATTTAGACAAAGAAAAAATTTAATTTATATCGTCTGCCTAAATCAGCAACTAGATAAAATTAACTTTTAAAAAAATCAATAATTTGATGTCAACTTCAATAGCATTGAAAATTTTCAATTGGTTTCAAGAATTCATTTTGCTAACAGAATAATGAGATGACTCTATGAATTTCATAAATTGGAATCCCAGGATGAAGAAATAAATGCAAAGAAGATAAGTTCAGGGTTTTTACTAAGAATTCTAGTAGCAGGAGAAAGGTGTAACGTTACAGGAGAATATTTTGAAAGAGGCTCTGTCTGAATAAAAAATAGTGAGAGGCTACTAAACGGGAGCAGGAGAATTCTGGGTAGTAAAATTAATGGAGAATTCTCCGATCTCCGATGCCTGGTGAAAACCCTGTAAGTTGCATCTTTAACAGCAACGATCTTCTTTGCATTTAATCAAAAACTACTATATAGTACCTTGTGCCTTGTAAAAGTATCAAATTCGGCAACACTATAACCTAAAGATCCATCTCCATAAATGACCCAGACTTCAGATTCAGGTCGGCACAGCTTGGCACCCAAGGCAAATCCCCCACCCACTCCAAGGGTTCCAAATGCTCCTGGATCTAACCATGTTAATGGACCACGAGGCCTACAAGTAAAATGAGGAAATTAGTAATAATCAGTAAATTTGTAGGGAGAGATGGTTAAAGTAGTTTTGGTGAACAGAATATATAATATGTAAAGGTAAATAAGATCTATTGTTATATATACCTGGTTACTCTTTCCTACTCTGATGTCACATGACATCTAACAATGAAACTGTTTCCTGCCAAAATCTCTGAGAGGGCTATTTTGCATTACTTTGAAGAGAGCTAACCCTAGGCTTTGCCAGTACCTGAGAATGTAAGCTGCAGTGCCTACAAAGTCTCCTCCATCAGCTACAATAATGCTGTTGTTAGACATGATGTTCTCCAAGGTAAATAACAGCTTCAGGGGGTTTAGGTGTTGCTTGACTGATTCCTGAGACTTGAGACTGTTCAGATAAAAAAAAGAAATACAGGCAGTTAGTCAGCCTCAAATTTGATCGACCTTCTGAAAACCTGAAGGTCCAAAGTTCATACTTGTAATTGTTCTTCAGTTATTTTTCATTCACTGGTTTTACCCTGTGTTTAATAGCAACTACCTTATAATGATGAATAAATAATTATCATTTCTGTAACCTTATAGCATATTTTCCATGCCCTTCTTTAGAAATGTCCTATGAATTATTAATGTTACTGAGGAGGAAAATTTTCTCAACAACCAAGATCTATCTCACTTGGTGATGATTTCCTTCTCATAATAAGCAAGGAAAAAAAATTATGTTATCAGTACCACAGAAAATGGATGGAGAAAACAGTGGAGAATACCTCGTGTATACGCATGCTGAAAACAAGGTTTAAGCCCATGGGAAGGGGGATACTCCCTTATTTGACCAAGGTAAACAACTTTATATATAAACATCTTGAACAAGATATCTTTCTTGGCTGGAAGCCTTAAACAGCAGGAAGTGAACACTGGCAGTGCACAGTCTTTGAGTGTTTATTTTAAAAAATTCGAATTATTTTAACCATTTCTGAAGGCTTTAATCCCCCAACAATCAGCACATAACTAAACAATGAAAGAGTTCATGGCTAAATGAAGACAAAATACATGTAGCTGAATTTTCTGACTAAAACTCAACAGAAGAAAATCTTGCTTGATGGATGCCATCTCTTTTTTGTGTATCTGCGCAGGAAAAAAATCTGTGTATATTCTGAAACCATCCTGAGAAAGTGACAAATGTTTTGAAGAAAGACAATTAGGAGGTAAACAATGTTAAGAACATTTTGAATGAATAATAAAACAATGCTTGTATTTTTCAAATATCTTATCCTGTCAAATTATTGTTAAAAAATAATTCAGTATGCAAAAAGAAATAAACAAGGTACATGAAAAACGGTCGCTTGTCTTAAACAAAGTAGTAAAATGAATGGTTTTGCACACCCCTGATCAAGCTTCCCATACATGTACAATGTAAGAGCCCCACAGAAAATAGGAAGGGAGGAAGATCGAGGTCAAAAACCACCAGGTTATCAATGAGTGTCTTATTGAGGGTTTCAAAGCAAAGTCCAACATTGTTACCTGTTAGCCTTCTCTTTCTCTATGTCTCTTTCTTTTAACATGTCCACCCAGTCAGCGGGACAGTTGTATCCTTTGAGAGCTTGATGCAGAGACACGATAAAGGTGGCTGGATCACCTGTTACCATGACAACAACATGGGAAATTTGTGAGTGTTACTGACAGAGTATCATGTGTAATACAGTTCTAGGTAGGCTTTTGCCATTCAAAGGCCTTCCTCATATATTATGACTGTCTTAGACTCACCAAAACACAGATCTTTCACTTGGGAGACATACAAGTAAAACTTTATAACTTGAGTAAATTCTAACCTTGAATTGCAACAGTAGGCTTCCAAAACATATCGGAATTCTGAAAGAAAATGAATGCAAGGGTAATAAAACAAATAAATAATACTAAAAATATAAATTCTATTGTAATGGCAAATCTATACAGTCCAGCTGAATCACTTTCACTCAACAATGAAAATTCCATTTTACAGTATGTACTGAAAAGGACTTTTTTTTTCCTTTTCCTGAATCTCTGAAGAAAGAGGTCAACATCACAAGGTAAACCCAAAGTTTTGATTATTCTTACCAGAAAATTTCCTGCTAAGAAAATATTAATTTCCAATCCATTTTCTACTATGACAAAATATCTTGGAATTTTGGAAAGCTTAAGCAAGATAGCAACCTGAATAAAATGTTTAGGTTTCTATGTGGCAAAAAAAAGACTTGATTATACAACTGGAAATCTACAGAGTAGCACGCAATTTTATTTGGTTTACCCTGGCAAAGCTGCAAACAATTTGTCCCTTTTGAAAGGACATATCCCTGGCTAAGTCACCATACTGGTTTGGGCCCAGTCAAGGCAGCATTATCCCAAATAATCCTGAATTTTTTGAAGCTTTATTTTCCCCATGGCTGCATCTATAACAGCCATGATTGTCTTCACATGTAATCTTCATCTCGCAGATCTACTATATGACATTCATGCATGCATTCATTGTTTCAAATATTTTTACCTTGAACAACTGACTTTTATTCCTATTAACAGCAATAATTTTGGATTTTCTGTTCAGCACCCGGCCATATGACAGTCTAAAATCACATACAGTTCCTATAAAACAAATGTAAAAGAAATTTAATACCATGATATTATTAAATGTGGGTAGAACATGATTATCAAGGTGAGGCCTGTTGCTGAAAGTGTCATTTCAACAATAAATGTGAGAGTCTAGTGGCCATCACCAGAGTTCTTCATAACTAAAAATAGGAACCTCAAAAATAGGAATTTCAATGGCAACGGCAATAGGAACATCTAAAATTAACACAATATAAGTCTTATAAGCAAAACAACACCTCTGAACCTGCATCACACTTATTTGTACATTTCTTTGCCATCACTGAACAACTCTGATGTGAAATGACCAAATTTTAAGTTGACTTGAGAATGGGAACAGCAGAGCAACAAATTCTACCATTTCTCTCTGAACTCAGATGAGGTCTCGATCCTCTCTTCAGTTCCAACCTAGCTTCCCAACTGTCAAGTAACTTTGTGACTTAGTGTAAGGGCAAAAAAGTTTCAAAGGTTGCGAAGTCTATTTTTCAGCGACATTTTCATTGGCATCGCCCTTGTTGGATCGGAAGGCCCGTACAAATTTTGACTGCAAGGATTCTTTCAAGTGTAGTTGTAGTAATCAGTTTTACCTGCTAAAATAACAAGATCAGCCTCTTTAAGGGCATCTCTTCTTCTTTGGCGTATATGTAGATTGCTATTCCTTCCTAGCAGACCGCGAGCCATACCTCCAAGAAAACATGGGATACCTAATTCCTAAAAAATAAAATTACAAGTTATCCTCCACTGATAAATAGTCACACAAAAGAAGAGACTTAAGATTAAACTTTTTCTTTGCCATGCAAAAAGCTTCCACTGCTCTGCTAGTCAGGGACAAGTTCTCTCTTATCTCTGATGAGTACTTGTCTGTTTGGAAGAGTGAAAAGAAAAAATACAGATAAAACCCGTGAGTAAGAACCTGCATGTTCCCACATTAGCCTAAACAGATTATCACATAAATGGTAATTAGCACAAATTTAAATCTAGGCTATTTAGGTTCTTGAACAGATTACTATGTTCTGCCTGATTGGCAAGCTGTAAAACTGACTTTCTTTGCCTGTAAGTGCCACATGATCATCTTTCATCTAAATGTCAAAAATGTAATCCAACACTACTGCATACAAGAGATGGGTTGGGGGAGAGAAGGAGAGAGACACTGGATTTTACACATTGCCATTGAAAAGTCCTGCCTTTCACTCTGCTATGGATGACAGCATGACTTAAAGAAGAACTACTGAATAATAATTTAATAATAGTAATAACAATGTACTACTTACCTCTAAAGCCCGCCTAAGTTTCTCGGCTGGTACAGGAGGTAATGTTGACTGGCTTCCCAGTATAACAACAGGATGGACAGACTTTGATACTAGCCTGACACATTCATCAACTGAAAACACATTTTAAAGAAAGACCTCAGTAAATAAACAGTTAACTTGAAAATCAAGGCTGTGCTCTCAAGAAAGGAGTAACAACCCTGAATGCTCTAAAAAACCTATAATTTGAAGCTGCGGTGCACCACACTTTTTTAATTTAAGATATTTTTGTGCAAAAATCTTGCTGGCTACACCAGAGGCCAAAGGTGAGAGTAAGTTGCCAGCTAAGGGCTGCCAGGAACTGCTAGCCACCCCACAGTTCTTGAAGTGAAAGCTTTGTCTCAAAAATTTGTAAACAAGTTCTGTTCATAATTTTCAAATCATCAATACCTTGTGATTGATTTGGAAGTGGTATATCAACTGGTAGCGGATCTTTCGTTTGTGGATCCCAGGCCCCAGCAAACAAGCCATGAAGATGGTTGGAAATGTACCTTGGGAAAAAGAAAGAAACAAGCCTTACTAGAAACTGTGAAATCGATACCAAAAATTTAAACAATTCCATAACTAATTTTATTGTTATTATTATAAAAACTTGAGTAGTCAAATTTGAGTATTCTTGATTTGCATGCAGATCCTACAATACACCAAGAAAAAATAAAACTCCACCCTGTCTTGACTGTACCTACCGGTAAATTTATTCAGATCATTCCACGTGCGCACTAACTAATGGTTATGCAATAAAGGTCATCACGTTCTTGACAACTTGACAATTTTATTATGTAAAATAACTTTGTCATGAATGACATTTTATTAATATTATTTGTTAATATTATTCCAGTTACCAGTTGACAATACGCTGAGATAGTCCACGTGGAGCCTCCTGAAATAATTAGGGAAAAGGACTAATTTAATTCAGTTACTCTGTATCTTGAATATTGGCCTGTGTTGGTATTGCATGCTCTTTGCAAGTGTTGACATTGTTAGGAAATCCTAAGTTTGTAAAACAGTCTCTTCGACTTGAATCAACTATAAACGCTACATTGAGCAATAAATTGGAAAGCTAAAGCCGTTTTGAATGCCTTAATGTCTTCACAAACATGCGTTATGCTTTTGCTAAGGAGCGAATATTGCTGAATATCTCAAGATAGTGAGCCCATCAAATTATTGCTTAAAACACCAAGATCACTGAGTGAGATGATATTTGATTACTACTCAGAACTACACTGACTACATACCAGGTACAGGGTTTTCAATAAGAGCTGGCAGCTGGCAAAATTTGCCAGCTATTTCACGTGGACTTGTCGCCGACTTTTCTTTGGAAATTACCCCCCAAAAAGCCAAAATTTAATGATGTCTGTATTCTGTTCAAACACTCTAATTTTTGCTGCAAAACGCTGGAAATGCATTCTTAGAGGCCCAGATTTCAAAATTTTTCCAGGGGGCATGCCCCTCAATCCCCCTAGTAACTCGCAGCTTTGGTGTTTGCAAGTCGTGCCTGTGGTGCGAGTTTCTTCCTTCTCCGGCTACTACAAAGCTTTTGCGACCTACTTAAAACCTTATTGAAAACCCTGCAGGTAGTACATGAAAGTAGTTACCTTCAATCCAGACTCCTTCTTCACTATAGGGTAAGGATAAAGTGTGTCAATGGGAAACTCCACAAATACAGGACCTGAAACCAATCAAGGAATTTGTAATTAGTAAATAAATGAAGCCAATCTTCCCTGACAATAGAGGAAAAAACAAGTTGTGCCTCCTGATAAAGTATTTAAGTATAAATGGGGTCGGATGGACGACCTGAGCAAAAACTAATATTTTACAATTTAAGAAGAAAAACTGAAAATGCTTGTTCTTTTGATTAAAATAGGTTATTGTAAGGCGGTGCTCTTGAAGAGCCTGGTGCCCTCTGGGGCTTGACCTTTGCGCCCGGGATACTAGAGACATGTTGCAGAGGCGTGAGTGGCCAAGCTGTGAATGCCTCAAACTCCAGATCTGGAGGGCCGGAAGTTCAATCATTGCCAGTGGCATTGTTTCCTTAGACAAGGAACTTTTCTCCATTTTGTTTCTCTTCTGCCCCCACATGTATAAAATGGGTACCGCCGACAAACTGCTGGGGGGTAACCCTGCGATAGACTAGCATCCAGTCCAGGGGGGAGTAGCAATACTCCTTGGCATGCTTCATGCTAAAGGAAACAGGGATAAGCTCCAGCCATTTAGGCCTTTGGCTCATGTGTGCCTTTTAATACCTTTTCTTATTGTAAGTCTGTACTGTCAAAGTGTCTGGTGGCCCCTGGGGCTTGACTTTTGCACCTACCCTGAATTTCACAGGTGCGGGGCACTGGGTTCCCCTCAATTTTTCATAGAGCACATAATCGGTTTGAGAGTTGCTTAAAAAGCCTTGTGTGAGTTGTTGATATTTAACAAATTATTGAATTCGGTTTTCCGTGTCATCTGAAGAATTATGGAGATCAAGGAGGGTGTTGCCTACTGAGGCTGTAGGCAGATAACATAATTCCACAATTCTTCAGATGATACGAAAGCCAATTAAAAAATTGTTTTATTATTCATTCAAAATAAGCTAAAACATGCTTACCTTCATCAATGTTAAGTTCATGATCGATAGTGCATGTTTATCAGCAACTTTAGGAGACAACTAGTTCTTCAGGTGTGCAAATATTCTCCAAATTGCAGATGTCATCTGTCAAGTTGCCTTCTTGCTGTTTTGCCATGTTTTTACCCAATAGTTCACCTATTTCTTACTCTTGAAACAAGTGAAATGTTCGCCATTTTGAAGTCACAACCAAAACAACTCAACCTCGTCCCCTGGTCTACTTGGTTAACAGTTTTTTATAATCTGCACTTTTGACGTCATCAGTTCAGTATAATTGCAAAATTCTTCCATATTTGGACAACAATAGTTGGTTATGATAAATTATGCATGAGATTGTAGCCAATCAGAAATAGAGAAATATTTAATAATTAATAATCCTTTTGCTCCATAAATGACAATTAAAAAAGAGGTGCAGTAATTTAAAAAAAGCAATGGTTACCTGGTGTTCCTGACTGAGCTATCTGAATGGCCTTCCTTAAAACGGGTACAATGTCTGCTACCCTATTGACAGAAAATACAGACTTACAAACCAAACACAAACAAAAAGCTGTGAATATAGAAAGGAACAACATTTAGCTATTATATCAAGCTGAGTGCATTTCACCATTTGAACCACTCCTGATGATGGATTATAAATGAATAATTTAAGGCAGCGTCTGTAGGCATTAGTTACAGCTGTACATGTACATCAGCTAATAAACTCTAAAGTAATTACAAGACGGTCATTACCTTGTGACTGTAGCACAATATTTACATAAAGGCTTGAACAAGCTCATCTGATCAATATCTTGCAAAGCTCCACGACCCTGGAAAAATACATAAGTTACGAAATGATAAACTACAACAAGCAATAATTATCAAAGTGTGTCGTCATTATAACACAGACCTTTAAAAGAGTTGCAGCTGCTCCACCCAACAACAGAACAGGGGATTCTGCCATTTGTGCATTCTTTACAGCTGTCACAGTATTGGTTAATCCTGAAAGGTTCACAAGGTTGATTGTCATAACTCTGAATGTTTCTTTTTATGTGCCATAGATGCTATGAAATAATAATTATTATAAAAATAGAAATAGAGTGATTTTTGTATGACCTAGAAGAATGGTTTCGGTTAGTGTTCGTCAGGGGGGGCGTTCGTTATTTGTTTTATCGGCCAATTATGGACGAAAAGATCAAAACATGGCCTCCTCGTTTTCCCGCCAAAGAAAATCCCAATATAGAGAAGGCATTGTTCGATTGGCCAATCGTGTTGCACTATGACATCAAAGCGAAGTATCGGTTGATTTCTACAAAGTTCTTTGGGCATGAAGTTTTTTCACCTGAGCATTTGCTTACCCTACCAAAAGCCATGTGCATTTGTATCCATTCAATAAACCAATCAAATCGTTCTATTTCTGTTCGTTTGCTGTTTCTGTTTTGGTTGTGCATTTTCATTTCAAGGTCATAAAAATCACTCTTAGGTCAAAATGTTCAAAAACTCAAGTGGAACCATGAGCTGCAGGCAAGTGGTACAAGGTTCATTAATCTTACCTGGTCCAGCGGTGACAGCGGCTACACCCACTACACCTGATAGCCTGGCGACGGCATCTGCCGCAAATACAGCTGTTACCTAGGTACAATATTCTAGGTTTTACTTTCTTGTTTAAATACATTGATGAATAGATATCAGATGAGTAAACAAAAACATCATTTTTTTGCTAAAGGGAGCCTAACTAAAAATTCATAGCATAAAAATAAAACGCCAACCTCATGTCTTGTATCAAGAACTCTGATTCCAAGATTTTGACATGAAACCAAAATTGGAGAAATGTGACCACCACAGAGGGTGAAAACAAACTTGACTCCATGAGACTATAAAAGTAACAGAATATTCACTGTAAGGGGAAGGTTCTTCAGCAGATGTCATTTTTATCATGCATTTTTTTTTGGAATATATCCAAAAAAAGGCATGACAAAAATGACATCTGCTGTATTAAAGATGCTACTAATAGCCAGTTTGAGCAACCACAATGATAATGATGGAAACAAGAAAATAAAAAAAACAACATCTTTAATGAGCAAAATAATATGAATATAGAGCACACTTTTTGGCAGATTTTGCACAACCAATGCTATCACACTAGATCGAAAGGGAAGGCGATCATGGTTTTGATGTCTAAGATCCTGGTTTCATCAATAGCAATCGTTGGGACTTTGATTTCATTGGAAACCCACAGAGAGTCTAATGTAAAGATTAATGACTATTGTATGAAATTTTAATACTCAGCTATAACCAGTTTTTGGCAGCGTGCAAAGAAAGTAATGTCCGATAGCCTGGGGCTGGTGGATTTTGCTATCAGGCAAGCGAATTTTGTTCTTAACTTGCCCGACAGGCAAGTGATATTTTTTGAGCAATTGGAATAACAGAAGAACTGTGAAATCAATTCTGCTTGTCAAAAAGATTTTGGGGCTAGCTGAAATGACATCTGGGCTTGTAAATGCTAGCTTCAGCTTGCCTGAATGGCAAGCTGTAAAAATGATGTTCTTTGCACCCTGTCTTGGACTAGTTTGATTAAAATTTCCTTTGTTTCCTAGCCCTAATTAATTATATGAGACAAAGACAATGCTGGTTTAGCCTTAGAACGGATTTCCTCTTCATGTAAAACCCACTCGCTACCTTAAAAGGACTTATGCCATTAAATCATTTGGATAATATGTTGTGATTCAATATTATACTTGGCTGAAACTCTCTGTCTAATTCTCATTATGAACCAAAACATACACTGTAATAAAACGATGAAGACTAACCTTAAGCACTTCCCCAACTAACTCGCCACCGTGCCTGTTGCTGTCTTCATCAAGCTAAAATGCAAGGAAATGTTACTGTTTATTAAAGAATTCTTTCCTACACAGCAAAGCCCCGCTATTTTACTGAAGGGTCATTTTCAAAATCTTAATTAGTTTGGGGAAGTCTTTTCAGATAATAGAGCATTTTCTGGGAGGACACTTAAAAAACATCATGAAAGTAGCACAAAGCAATAACATGTGAATTAAAACTGAATATAACAACCAGCAATATAGACTTTCTCACAGCCTGTTTGCGTTGCTTGACTCATGACTTTGTCGCTAGCTTTCGCTTGCTTATTGAGCACCCCCTATGGCAAGTCTACCATCCGATAGTTAACACTGACCTTAGTGACCGTTCTTCCTTTAAGGGGAAGGGGAGACTGGTGGAAGTTGATGGGTAGCTCGTGCAGTATATGATGACCCCCCCTCTTCCTTAGAAATTTTTTTAGGTGCCCTTCCCCCTTGTATCACAAAATAATTGAGAAGATTTAAGGTCAAAACATCAGTCAAACAGTGTGTAGTGAACTACATACCACTGGAGTGGGGGTGGGGGTCACTTTCACAATGTGTAAAATTTAAGTGGGGGGGTCATTTCTAAAAAGCAGGGATGAAGTGGGGAGTTGGTTTGAAAATCTTCTATGGGTAATAAATGACCAGCCCCTGAAATTATGTAGCGCTATCCACCAAATAAATCACTACTTAGTGGAAGAGTATTAGGGAAACCAATATTGCATTACCCACTGGACAGAGATTTATCCAGATGATAGCGTTATCCCCATAATTTTGAGTCATCATGATTGGATAAGCCTACCTGTGAAATTTTGCTTGCAAACCAGAGATATTTTTAACCTGCTTGCTACAGTAATCCTAGCACAAGAGTTACCCTCTCTCCGTGCAAAAAAAGGTCCTAAGTTATTCGATACTGCAAATTTTTATTCAAATGTCATGTGATCGTGACACGTCTGAGATAGGCTGAATGTAATTTATAAATTTAGGTTCTATATATAAAAAATCTTCCAGACAAAATTGACTTGAAACATTCTTACCTTGTAAATATACTTGTGTAAGATCCTAAGTTTGTAAACAAGGAACGCAATCGCGAAAAACGCGGCTACGAAAACACCAAGAATTAACCCAACAAGCACAGTCGGCTCCCCCATTTCAAAATGAACGAGACAGACTGGAACTTACACAAGTTATAGTACTTGGTGTAAGCGTACGTGATCTGTCCTATTAGTTCATGTAAGTGGAAACAATTTGTTTCCCAATTATGGAGTTAATGGCGGGTCTGATTTTTGTCTCATATAAGCTCTAAAGGCTGCCTTTTCTGCAGTTGCTGGGCATTTTAGGACAGCGTGAATCTAGAATGGCGTGGGTATTTGTCACGTCTAAAAGAAACGCCAAAACAGCGAAGTAAGTAATAAACGCTTAAGATGGAATCCACCAGGACATTGAGTAATTTTGATTTTCAGTGGACAAAAATCTTGTGCCAGAATAATTTAAAGCATATTGCATTCTTTCTTGCATTTTCAAGGGCTAAAGATGTAATAAATTATCTGTTGTAACACCAAAAAAAAATTTCTCATGGCAACCCGAGAAAATGAAAGTCAAATTTCACAGAATATCATCTTACACATGAAATTTTCAGAATTTTACCTGTGTAATCACAATTCTTGTGATTACATGGATGTGATTACATCAGATGGATGGCCCTTAATAAACTGAAATATAACTGTGTTTTCTTTCTAGAGAATACATTGAGAGAAAAGGCTATCATGATAAGGAAAGAAAAGTTTCAAAGCTTTCACAGGAGGAAGTAATGATTCCAATAAAAAGGGAACTTGCCGAAGATATCCAACAGGAGCAAATGGAGGGAGTTAAAAGCTTTTTGTTTTCTCTGAAAGGGAACATTCAGTACATCAATGATGAAAATGTAATAAAACGCAAATTTTCCCCTCAAGATAAACTTGAGTTGGCCATTGTTAAATTTTTGCAAACAAAAGATACAAACCTTGATGAAATAATGTATAAAGACCTTCCTTCTCACTGGGAACAACATGGGGATCTTATTCTTTTACCAGAGAAATGTTTTACCCAGGATACATGGGAGGATTTTGGTGCTGAATTGTGGCAAGTTGTAGCTGAAACACTAGGTGCTAAAAGAATTGCCAAGAAATCAACAATATGTAGAGATGGATTTCGCACGCCGCAAGTGAGTTTGCTTCTTGGACATAGTGGCTGTGTGATGCACATTGACAATGGCATCAAATACACTTTTGATGTTACAAAGTGTATGTTCTCTGCAGGAAATATAACAGAAAAGATGAGGGTTGGAAACTTTGATTGCAAAGGTCAAACTATTGTTGATCTTTATGCAGGAATAGGTTACTTTGTTTTGCCATATCTTGTTCATGCTAAAGCAGCAATGGTTTATGCTTGTGAATGGAATGGAAATGCCATTGAAGCTTTGAGGACAAACTTGAAGATAAACAATGTGGATGAACAGTGTGTCATATATGAAGGAGATAACCAAAAGGTAAAGAAAGATGTGGGCTTTTTTAAAGTCACATGTTTTAGTAGATCTAGGTCATGTTACATCACATCCTTTGAGACCCAGGGACAGTTGGTCGGGGCGATACAATGTTCGTGGTGAAAGTTTATTGTAAGATCGAGATGAGCCCCTGGGCACTTACTAGCTTACCGAACCAGTTCCAGAAGAAAAAAAAATTTCTGGCCAATCAGAAGCAGGCAATTCAAATGCTTCTGGAACTGGTTCCGTAAGAGTAAGTGCCCAGGGGCTTGTCTCGATCTTACAATAAACTTTCACTGCGAACATTGTATCGTCCCGACTAACTGCCCCTGGGTCTCCGAGGATGGTTACATCACCACCTGATATAATCAATGTGACAACCAGAAGTTTATAGGCTCTTGAAAGAAGAGTCAAATTAAAGCCAAACCTCCCTTAATGGCCCCCTCTCCACAACAGCTTCTTGACTCTTGTTTAAATCTCTCTCTACAATATTGCCACCTCTATATAACGGCCACTTCCTTCTGTCCTCAAGGTGGCCAGTGTGAAGAGAGGATCAACTTTATTAATGCAGTGAAGCGTTCCCATTTACAATTCTCTTTGTCTTTTTTCCTACATAATGGTTTTGACGATCGACTACCTTGAACATTTTTTCTTTTCCATTTACAGTTTCCACTTCAGGGAGTTGCAGATCATGTCAATCTTGGACTCATTCCTACAAGTGAGGCTGGTTGGCCTGTGGCATGTGCTGCATTGCGATCCGACAAAGGAGGCTGGCTCCATGTACATGGAAATGTTACTTCAGGGCTAACAAACTTTGAACTCGACACCTTTTCAAGCAAAAAAGAAAAGGAGTCTAGGTTGAACAGCCATCCATCTTCCATGGACAGCATAGCTGTGATTGATGATAGAACAACGTCTGCTTCAAACACTACAGCAAATAATGAAGATAGGTGTTTGAATGGTGCCGATGCCATAAATGCACAAGAATTGGAAGATTCTTTGTCTTCACCATCCAAAATGTCAAGCTTTTGTCTTCATTCACTGCATGATACAACAAGCCATTTACCATCTTGTAACAAAAAAATCAAGCCTGAATGGCTTGACTGGGCTGGCTATGTGGCTCAAAGTCTTTTAGGACATTTAAAGAAACTACATGACCCTAAGATCAACTGGAATGTTCAGATATGTAATATTGAACACGTTAAGTCATATGCTCCACATATTGATCATATTGTTTTAGATGTTGAGTGTCGTCCGCTGCTTTAGTCTGTTAAACACAAAGTTACTACAAAATAGCTCAGAATACATCTCTCTTTCTAACATGATGGAAATGAAAATATGTTGTTTTCTTTTACACTTGCCTGTAGGTTCACATTTTTGAAAGAATTTTCAGGGTAAGGATGCCCTTTCTTTCATTAATGGTCCACAGAGGTTGCATAAAGAGTAGGACCTGTTTATGCAAGTGTAAATGTAATGTTCTGCTTTGAAATGTGTGTTACAGTTGAAAATTAAATTTAGGTTAAAATTTTTAACCTCGGTTGTTTCTAGCCTCCCACGCAAACGTTCTTAGGGGTTCGTCACGCGTTCCTACCCCACGAGAGGAATGATTGCGTGATGAACCCGTAAGAACGTCTGCGTGGGAGGCTAGGTTGATTCTCAATTTCCTTTGTCTTTGAGCCCTAATTATTCATAAATATATTAGGGCTCGGAGACCAAGGAAATTGAGAATCAACCTAGGTTAAAAATTTTAACTTACATTCAATTTTGACCAGTAATATATCCAATACTCTTACCAAAAAGAGTTTATTGGCTGCAGAAGAACAAGCTCGGTTGGTAAAGTTTTTAACTGCAGAAAGGGAATGACAGGTTTGATCTATGGGGCCAGACCAATGCTCAGGGTATTAAAGTATTAGGTCTGCTATAAATGAGTCTGTTTCAAGAAGTTATTTCTCAAAATAAATAATAAAAATTCTTCAAATAAAAACTACACAAGTCTATCAACCAAGAAATGATTGTCCAACAAACCTTTGTCTGGCTCAGACCACGTGATGCATAACGCATTGGCTGTGTCCATTTGTGAGGCCTAGAGACTATGCAAGGTCTTGTAGGTTTTCATACATTATGCTAGCTTTTTTTCAAGCATTTCAGTCAGGCAAAAGCATTAGGCATTATTCGAACGTTTTAGTGGCATTTTTGTGGAAATTATTTTTTCTTTCTCACAAAAAATAAAAATTGAAAATGTTTTGAGAGAAAAATGATGATTTAAACTCAAAATTAAAAAAATACTCAAATTTCACCCTATTGCAGCCATACAAAGAATCATTTTTTATTCGTATTTTAAAAGACTTATAAACTTAAAACATTGTTGTCATAGCACTTAAACATTTTTGTCAGCCTTAAAACAAAACCCTCTCAAAATGTTTAGAATTAATAAAAAAAATTCCGTATATGATGAGCATTATCCGGATAAATAATTATATCTCTACTTAAGTTTTAGTTTGATCAACTTAATTATTACCTGATTGTTATTTATTTTATCATTACTATACCACAATTATTTATTACCTTATTTGCACATATTTATTTATTCATTCTTATTCTTGTACTTTGCACTGGAATTTGCTTTTTTGCTATATGTCCTTATAGGATTTTGCAAATAAATTATGTAGATGTAGAATCAATATTGTAATCCACAATGCCATCTACTCATGGAAATGCCAATAAATCTTGTTGTGATCTCTCTGAGGGAGGATCGAGCATTTTTGTTAAAAAATAAAGCATTTGGTGGGACATTTTGGAGGGGAAACAAGAGCTTAATCCACAAAAGCCCAGTGGGGAAAATTACACCCCCTCCCCACCCCCTTCACACCCCTAAAAGGGACAAGGCTCGGTTACATTGCGTGCGGGACATCAAAAATCCTCAGCCGCGCGAGAGTATTACTCAACAAAAATGTCTGGTCTTGCACGTCCAGTGTATATTATAGCGGCTAAAAGAACGGCATTTGGTGCTTTTGGAGGGAAGTTGAAAGGCGTAACTGCTACTGTTCTCGGACAACATGCGGCTGAAGCTGCAATGGCCGCCGGCAAAGTTGATCCGGCGATAGTAGACTCCTCTGTATTTGGCAACGTCATCCAGGTTGGCCTTTTTATGCACTTGTGCACTGAAAAACGTACTCTTTTTTGCTACTAGTTTTTTTTCTTCGGTTGAGACGTCTTTAGCAGGTGCATCACGGCTAAAGTTTGTTCACATGATTTTTGTACCGCGATTTTTACACGCGATACGATGACAGTGCATTTGGACTTTGCACTCTGAACCAAAGAAAGAAACAGTCATAATTTATTGTAGTTTTTGATCAACGCTGCTCTGTAAACCTCAATAAATGGTAGCTAGTGGTTGATTTTGAGTCAGATTTCCGTATAACCCCATACATTTATTATGCATGCAGCAATTTCATACTTTATCTCACAAATAGTTTTACTATGAAATTGCTGCATGCATAACAAAATATGAATAGATCCGTCGAAACATGCATTTATGCATAATAAGTGTATGGGGTTAAACAGAAATCTTACCAATTTTTGATGAATTTCTAGTCCTGATACAAAGACGCGTGATTGCCAGATGCCCAGGCGATTCTGTGCAGAAAGAGTGGAGTTCAGTTCGGTCTGTATAATAAATCACAAATGATTTAATATGCAGGAGAGTCTGTTTAATTACTACTATGATTACAAACTGAAATTGGAAAACATATAGTTTTGTTGCCATTTAATCGTAACTAAAACAAAAATTTGGCAAATTTTGATGCAGTGTTGTAAATTATTGTAAACATGTTTTTGTGTGATTTTAGGCCCCCCCACATACGTGATTGGCAAGAACTGTTTAATAAACAATAATATTTGTTAAATAAATTTTCACAACAAAAGGATGTATATTTTTGTTAGATCCATTTTGAAATCACTGGTAATCTCTGCAATCTGACAATCTGATTGGCTCTCAGTAGTTTAATTTGTTTGCAAATCACACTATTTTTGCTCTAAATCACATCCATTCTAAATCATGTCATTCTGTTCATTTTCGCTAGTATATTGCATCATTCCTGTTACAAGTACAAAGTGAGATGTAAAAGCCTTTTTGTTTCCACTTTTCAACAAACCAGCTACTTGGTCAAGTAAAATAATATTAGTACTGAATGAATTCTTCGATTTCAAAATGACTGTAATAAAGTGGTAATTTAACTTTGTGTCGTGCAATTTTGGTCTGAAATCATACTTGTGATTTCAAATTGAATTTGTGCTGCGTACCCGTCCAATGTTAAAATCACGTGTATGATTTTAGACCAAATTGCACCCCACTCAGTTCAATTAATCCATCATAACCAATTTTTTATACATGATCTTTTTATAGAGTGCCTCTGATGCAGCATACCTTGCACGTCATATTGCTCTTAAAGCCAATGTCCCAGTCACAACCCCAGCACTAACACTGAACAGATTGTGTGGCTCAGGATTTCAGGCCATTATCACAGCAGCACAGGAGATTCAGCTAGGGGAGAGTGACATTGTTTTATGTGGGGGGTCAGAGAATATGAGTCAGGCACCTTATGCTTTGAGGGATGCACGATTTGGAACAAAACTGGGACTTGATTTAAAGGTGAGGCTTCCCTGCAGCCATGAAGTTCTGGGGCTTCATCCTAAGAATTTGTAAAAATGGATATGTGGTGATCAGTGCTGGGTGGTTTTATTCTGAAGACGCTGATCAAGAATAAGTTATCCATTCTACAACAGAATAAATTAAACAATAATTTGACAGTGAATTATCATCCAGTGAACAGGGTTTTGAGGATATCATAGGTCTACTGTCAAATCCCTCATGAATGGCCATCTGCACCCAATTACGCAAAATGCCAATAAAACCATTCCTAAGCACATTAGCGCTCAAGTGACCCTTGCTAGTGCCTGCTAAAAAGAAGTGTTAATTGGCTTAATGCAGGTCATTTTTATATAGGAAAAGTATTTTAATAAATATAAGCATACTGTCATGCTTGATTCAAGAAGGGCATGACTAGCTAAACAAGTGAATCTTGTGTCACTTAACTGTTGTCAAACAAACTCACTAACAAATTCAAAAACTCAGTTTGTCTAGCCTCTCAGTACTCAATACAATCAGTTTGTAAATGTTTTTCTTTTTTCTGTAGTTGGAAGACACATTGTGGCAAGGTTTAACAGATTACTATGCTAAACTACCTATGGGCATGACTGCAGAAAACCTTGCTGAGAAGTACAACATCACACGGCAGGAATGTGACGAGTTTGCTCTCCTGACACAAAAGAGATGGGCTGAAGGTAATAAAATTAAATCCAACTATGTGGAACTAACAGGGCAAAGTCGTATAGCTACATTTATTTTATAAAGCAGTGGTCATTAAGAGTGCCGAAACAACAATTTAAAAAAAAACATGACACAAGTCGTCTAGCACATAGGGCGTTCTCTTGTGATGTTTTCAAGAAAAACAGGGCCATAAATTTAACTCATATAATTTATGAGGAATTTTTGACTGTATATTTTTTCACTTTTTTTCTAGCTAATGAGGATGGAAGATTTGTAGAAGAGATTGTTCCAGTGTCTGTGAAAGGCAGAAAAGGACCAGAGGAATTTAAGGTTGATGAACATCCCAAACCAAACAGTACCATGGAGAGTCTGGCCAAGTTACCACCAGTGTTTAAGAAAGATGGAACAATTACTGCTGCTAATGCTTCTGTAAGATGTTGTTTATTGAAAAGCAAGAAAAAAGATTTGATTTAGAATCAACAGTCATGGAGATGTCATAAAAACTTTCCCCTGAAATAAGCTAGGGATATTATTTTGCTCGCCTTTCTAGAGGAACTTTTGAAAGATTTGCTGCAAAACAGTGAATAGTCTGCCATCAAATCATTGAGCATGACAGGTTTGAGGAGTAAGGCAAAGATAGGTCATCAATCAGAAAGACCTCTCAACAAACATAACTATAATAAACCTCATGCATCAGGCCAAACTAATAATTATTATTTTGTCACTGTTAAGGCTGGTTTTCACTTGCAACAGAGTCAGAGTCGGGGTAGTAAGCAGCATTGTAAGAGTTGTTGCCTTGCGTTGTGATTATTAGTGTAGTTCTTTCTCTTTTGCTCTCGACTCTGACAGCCTAGTTTTCATGAGCTAGTAAGTCACAAGTGGAATCAGGCCAGTTCCATCATGGTTGCTTGAAGTCAGTCTGGTCTTCATGCACCTATCAATCATTAGTTTTTTTCTGACAGGGAATATGTGATGGAGCAGCAGCATTGATTGTTGTTAGTGAGAAAGCCCTTAAAGAACACAACTTCACTCCACTTGCAAGAATTGCTTCATACTCTGTTGCCGGTGTGGAACCATCAATCATGGGAATTGGTCCTGTTCCTGCGGTAAAGGCAGCTCTCAATAAAGCTGGCAAGAGCCTGCAAGATATGCAGCTTATTGAGGTAATATTACCGAGTCATATTGTATTAAGTAATTTTTAGGTGGACGTGACTGTGTCCAATGTTTTTCGCAAATAACAATGATAATAAAATTGCTATTATTGATTATTATTAAATATCATCATTAGAACAGATTAATTCTCAGATTTTTGGTTCCAATTTATTCTAATAAGGGTGAAACTACAAAAAACAAAGACAAAAACAATAACTGTCATAAAGGCCAAAAATGTTTAGCGGCTCATTCTGCTCTCAATGCTCAATGAGGAAACGACCCCTAGTCTTAAAACATTATCTTTCCTCTTGTTTGTGCAGGTAAATGAAGCATTTGCTCCACAATTCATTGCTGTTCAAAAGGAGCTTGAGCTGGATGTAGACAAGACAAATGTTAATGGTGGAGCCATTGCTCTTGGTCATCCTGTTGGAACCTCAGGAGCAAGAATTACTGGGCACTTGGTACATGAACTGCGACGGAGGGGAGCTAAATATGCTGTAGGCTCAGCCTGTATAGGAGGGGGCCAGGGAATAGCTATTGTTCTTGAAAATGTACAGTAATAAAAATTTGGTTAAAGATTTTTATTTTCTTTGAGGTTAGCAGTCACAACAAAATCACTGTAACCTTGGCAAGTTAAGCTCAACAGAAAAATGGACAAGTTTCTTATTTATACTGTACGTTTTATTTTTAAGAAAAAAAATAGGTTTTTCATAAACTGTACAACTAAGTGAAACAGCAGTTTTTTCTTGTTTTGTGTAGATCTATTCACAGTGAAAAAAAGGAAAATGACAACTAAATACAATGTTGCAAGCTGCACATGTTCTGGTATTTTTTCTTTCAACTCTGATAGCTCTTTACATATCTTAAACTCTTAGAGTAACTGGAGAAATAAAATTGTGATGAGGCTCACAGTACTTTAAACAAGTTGTAAATGGTGTCCTTGATCAAATAAAATACCCGACTGAAACAGAATTAACAGTTCATTAGAAAAAGGAGATCTGTGAGGCAAGTCATCCTTTGACACAAGGTTTTCACAGGCAGAATGATTCATAGGGTCTGGCAGGAGGATGGTACATACAGAAAGAATTTTTCAAGACTTTTGTTTCTTCATATGCCACCATCATTGAGTCATTAATAATAATGTGACAGTAGAGTGAAACACATAAAAAGTGTTGTTAGCAAAAACAGTTTGTAGTTCATGAAAAAATTACCCTTAAACACTGTACAATGGCATCTAAATTTATGATGGTAGAAACTCTTTCCACTTGAAATCTTTGCAAATACCGTAAAATTCCGAAAATAAGCCCCGGGGCTTATATTTTTCAAAGGCCCTTTTTGAGGGGCTTATCTACGGAGGGAAATTTGTGTTTCGAAATCGATCGGACTAGCCTTATAGTTGGAAGTAAATTTACCATTTTTGCTTTGTTTTACTCTGTATTTGAGGGCAATTTTCCAGGTACAAGCCCCCGGGGGGCTTATATTAGGAGGGGCGATTTAACGGAGGGTTTTTTGTGTTACAAGTTTGGGGGGCTTTTTTTTGGAGGGGTTTATTTTCAGAGTTTTACGGTATCATCTATATACATGATATGCATTTCAAATAGCAGCATGATAAGACTCTAAAATACTTTAAATCTATTTAGGGCAGTCCCTCTTATATTTTCTCTTCTTTCTTCTGTTGGTATGGCTGCCTGATTGCTTCCAAGGGTAATGTTGTTATTTGGTATGTCATCTTTTCATCTCTCCACACTATCTTGCGCCTGAAACCAAGAAGGGATAAACATCCAGAATGAAGTAGTTGCAAGTAGCCTGTGCGGAGCAGATGCTTTTCTCTGCTTTTTCACCCACCAAGCCGAAAAAAGCATTTGCTCCCTGCAGGTCAAGTTGCAAGAGACCTTTCGCAAAACAACATGAAAACCTCCCATCAGGGTCTGAAAAGTATTCTGTTGAACTCACTTACCAAACACGCTCTCCTCTAAAATTAATATTCTATGTAATTTAACTGGTAATTACAGGAAATAATAATATATGTAAAAATGGGGCTGGTAAAAAAATCCATTAATGGTAATTACATCAGAAAGTTAGTGGTCTTGGTATTGACAAAGATTTTGCCACTTGGTCAGGGGTCAATTTGATGAAACCATTACAAGGGTAATTAACAGTATAGCTACTGTTTTTAGACACTAAAACAACACACACATTTGTAAGTAGCACTCGTAAAAGTTTTATTAAATTAGCCCTAGGATATACATGTATTTTTCACATCGTTTACTGAAAGCAAAACATTGAGCAGATATCTAAGCTTAGTTTGTTCACGGTTAACCCAAGAACAGAACTAACTGGACTTTGAACCACTTGGCAGAGTGCAAAGAAAATCATTTTTACAGCTTGCCCTTCGGGCAAGCTGAAGCTAGCATTTACTAGCCCAGACGTCATTTCAACTAGCCCCAAAAACGTTTTGTTCTTCTGTTATTCAGATTCCTCATAAAACATCACTTGCCCGTCGGGCAAGTTAAAAACAGAATTCACTAGCCCGATAGCAAAATCCACTAGCCCCGGGCTATCGGACAGTACTTTCTTTGCACGCTGCTTGGTCCAGGGCATTTCCATGTAATTCGTACCCTAAAGGTAAGAATGATGTGGATCACATTGCTGATGATTGGCTACATACAAAGTGGAAACAAGAACACTGTTGAATGTAGCAAAAGAGGGAAATTTTTTTCATACACCAGATATGGGTTCGATAACCTCCACAGTGTACCTCTCCTGGGCATCTCCAATGAAAGCAGAGGCACCCTCATCAAAACATTAGCATGAAACCCTAGACTTTCTCAAAGTCCTTCGTTTCTCATTTCCAGTTCCAGGAGTAGTTGGCTCCAGCGCAAAGCTCCCGCTTTCGCTCACTTTTGCTGCAGGAAACATAAAAAATCTACTGCTCGCGCTTCGTGCTCATGAAGAATTTGAGCTTGACTTGACTTGTGGGAAAGTCTACGTGAAACCCCCTAAGGAAGACCAATCTGGGTGTGTCTCAGGCTTTTATTACTTGGCCCCTATGTAAAGGGGACCATAAGACAAAATAAGAACTAAATTGATTTTAATAGTACTGGGTGAAAAGATGTTGACATCAATGTTGTCTTGGTTTTGTTTTTCATAAATAGGAATGTACAATAAATGGATCATTATACATTTCTGGGAAACTGCCCACTTACTCCTCCCCTAAGCCAACATTAACACTTACTTCTCACTTAAAGAAAAATGTTGGCTTAGGAGAGGGGTACGTGGGCAGTTTCTCAATGACACCTGTATGTGTAACAATATTGGTTTTCCATTCTAACCACCTTAAGCAAGACCAAAACTTTCAATTTTATACCCCCCCCCCCCCCCCGACCCCCAAAAAAAAGAGAACAGGTGACAGTTGTGCGATAATTACCTGAAGAGCGCCAGCTTCTCTTCTAAGCTCTTGTACTACAGATGCTAAAGCTTCAGGATTCACACCTGCTTCACACAGCTTAACACAAACAGCTAAAGATTCAGTGTCAAGGCCAGTATTTAGCAGCTTGGAAATCTCTACCAGTGCTAAAAGATAAAGTTAAGCCAAACATATTGTAACTCTGTACTAGTCAGTGTCCTGCACTTATCATTGGCCATCCCCTCAAGGGGACCCTGCCCAAGGGAGGGTACTTTGCAAAGGACTATGTGAAAGTGCTTACAGTATTAGATTTTTTCCACCTTGATGGAGGTAAAGAGCAATCAAAGTTAAGAAATTCCCCTCCTAGAGGGCTATCATATTGAACAACATGAAACCATAGTAAACTTGAGATGCCATTATAATGACCCAGCTCACCTGATAAGAAAATAGTACTTTACATGAATTTACACAATGATACATGAACTGCTGAGTCTGCCATAGATTATTTTCACCACGAGGAGAGAGGTAAGCCCACAATCTTCTGGAAAAGTGAACAACTTGAAATCTATGGAATTCTATGTACAATGCCCGAGGTTTTCTCTTGCGAAACCTTGCTCATTTTCCCCAATTCAGGGATAAGTAACTCTTTAAGTCCCCCTTTAAGTCCCCATACAAAGTTGTATTTGTTCGAGGTCCCCCCATCAGTGGATGGCCGATGATAGGTTCATAGCACTGTATAAAAGTTAAAGCAACCCATAGGGTCGCCCAATGGGAAAGTGTAAGAGTGCCCAAATTGTGCCCTAAAAGCATATAAGCCAACTCTCCTGGATATAACACCAATCTCCCGGTCTCACACATGGGTCACCAAATCTCCCGGATAAAATCGAGTTATGAACTTTTCTGCGCTTTAATTGGGAATTTGTCCCATTTTCTCCGAAAATTCAATTTTCTATTATTCATAGTTTGGTTTCTGGGGCATTTTTGCTCACACTTCATCACTGACAAAGATTATTTTGAAAATGAAGAAATGATCGTTGCAGTGAACGCAATTTATGCAATTGCGTAAAGAAGCCTGAAAAAAATTCAGGACTTCAACGGGGTTTGAACCCGTGACCTCGTGATACTGGTGCAATGCTCTACCAACTGAGCTATGAAGCCACTGATGTTGGGAGCAGGTCAATTGTGGGTTCATATGTTCCCGTGAAAGAAATGAATGTTAATGATATATGAAATAAATCATATATGAACTGCGGAAATGAAATGAAAATGAAGAAATGATCGTCACAGTGAATACAATTTAAGCAATTGCGTAAAGAAACCTGAAAAAAATTCAGGACTTTTATTTTTCAGGCTTCTTTACGCCACTGCATAAATTGTGACGCTCATTTCTTCCTTTTTATTTCATTTCCACAATACATGTATCATTTATTTCATATATCATTAACAAAGATTATTTTGCCATTACAATCATACAAGTGAATTTTGATGGTCTGTACCTCATGTAAGACTTTATATAATGTCCTAAGCCATTCCCACGTGATAAATTAGGGTCTGGATCACATCGGGTGGTCAGGGTTGGGGATGGGGGGGGTTTGGTCGTGTTGATATTCGGGGGCGGGGGGGGGTAATGCAAAAGAGTGAGCCCAGATTTTAGATTTCTAGAGGTTGGCATCTCTGCAAAAGTAAGCTTGCATGTAATAAAATCAGCTGTAAAATGCGACAGAACCTTCTACCTTTTCTTGGTCCCCTACCAAAGTAATTCTCATGACATATGCATCATCAGCAAAAGAGAAAACTCGAAAACTATAAAGGATGTAAGGTTTTAATATACGTGTAAAAGAATAACTTAAGCCAAAGTTTTTTTCGAATATTATACATCTGAAAGATGTTTAGACCATATCATACACTAAAACGTTTACCAACTAAACAATCGAATCCCTCAAACGCAATGTACATACCCTCTATTGCTTCCCGCGCTGAAGTCACTCTTGGTCTGTTGTCCGCCATCTTGAAATGTTGAAAGCAGTTTATTAGGGCAGCGGAGTTACCTTTCAATAATCTAGGGAGAAAATGATAAGCGGTCAATGATTTTTTCCCTTGAGTAAACTCGGATCACCAATATTCATCAAAATAACTTGATATTACTCCATATCACGAAAAAAAATTATGAGCTAAAAAACGTTCTGCTATCCTTGCTGGTTTTGCAAGAAAAATTCCCTTCGGTTTCAATACACTGTTCATTGAAAAAGAACATTGACCACTTTTCAGATTCTCTCTACTTGCAATGTTCTTTTCATGCGCCAGATTCAAACTTTATTTTTGAGTAGGTTTCATCCATGGTCATCCATTGTAATGTCAAATTTAGTTTAGAATTTTTGTGTTTATGCTTGGAAATATTTCGTTTTCAGTGAACTCAAAATAGTAGACAGTATGTCTACATTATCTTCTTTAGAAGTTACTCGAAATCCGTTCGACAGTAACCAAGAAGAACGACTGAACTGTCCAGGTTTCAGTCCTTCCATGTTCCGAAAGCAAGAAACCCCCGCAAGTCAAAAGGTGAGTATAAATTTAGAATTCCGCGGGATAAATCACTAAGATTGACTCATCGCGTTCTTTCACCTTACATCGATTTTTTTATTTTATCTTCACAGAAATCAAGATCTTTTAGATGGTCAATAGATCAGATTTCCCGTTTGGTAAGTTCGCCCACTGATACACTCAAATTTACCGTCCACTATCCAATCCTTTGCAGATCCGATCCGCGGTTTGTGTTTACCAGTAAGCTTATTGTTATCATTTAGTTTTAATTCCTCTGGTCCTTTTAGACTTTCAAACCAATTTTAAGCCTATATCTCACGGACGGTCATTTTTCTAGAAGATCGTACAAAAAGCGCGCGGGCTGAGAAACCAGTGGAACCCGGCGCGATTTGTTTGCGAGCTGGCGCAGGATCGATATTGAAGGCGGCCCTTTCGCTGTAGCTCGCTGAGTGTGCATGGCTATCAGTTTCCCGGCCCTCTTCGTCGAGCGAGCAGATGCGTGTTTTGCGGGTTCTATTGTGGGGATGGAGCAATTCTCTCTGATTCTCTCCACTCTCCATCTAGCGCCACTCGATCTCCACCGTATTGTCTACATGTAACTCTATCTGATCCCCTGTGAAAGTTGGAACTCGCTGGTTTCGTCCAAGGGCTTTCAGCGTATTTGTTTACGGCCTATTTATTTCAATACTCGTTTTTCAGAATCCAGCTGATATTGATGAATTTCCATGTCAAGAGTATAGCAGTACATTTGAAAGGTTGGTTCTTATAAATTAGTTTTCTCAAGGGCCAATTAAAGCTCGGGATTATTAAAAGAAAGAAAGGCCGGCCTGATTTTTTTTGAACTCTCATTTTAGCTCTTCCATAGATCAGCGTAAAAATCAAACAAAGGTTCTTTCAAGGCTTGTGAGTTTATCTGTCAATTCATGTTAATTAACTGTTATGTTATGTATTGAGAGGGCTGTCAAAGGTTGGAACACACCAAACGAAACAAGTTGCAGCAACACGTCGGGTGACAGATCACTCTGTGTGTGTACAGGTCAGGTAACTACTTGCAGCATCACGTTGCGGCGATCACAGCAACAAATCATTTTGTGTGTACTGGAGAATTTTTGTGAAAATCTTTGTCTGTGCCACAAAATTTTGTTGCCACAACAAGTCGCAGAAAATCAAATCAATCTGAATTTGTGCAACTTGTTGTGGCGACAAAATTCTTTTGCAGAGAAAAAGTTTTCACAAAAATTCTCCAGTGTACACGAGGCGACTTGTTGCTACGATGCATTGCCACGACATGTTGCTGCAACTTGTCGCCTAGTGTGTACCTTTAAGCTTTTAAGTGGATCAGGTCCTCAGGGAAGGTAGCTGGTCATATCCAACAAATCCTCCTATATTTGTCATGTTTGACTAATTTTCAGACTGACAGAAGCTGGCTGGTGTTGCAGTAGCAAGCTAAAAAGGCCAGCTGTCAGCTACCAATGGCTGCTCTGGGGGTGCCACTGGCACTTTGGAACCCTTGGCCTATACCAGGCCATGTTTAATGCTTACTGCAAAATGATCCCTTTTTCTTTACCAAATTCCATTTGATTTTCATTACCTATCCTAGACTCTACAACTTGAAAACCCTACCCTAGAGAGTAGCACACACCTTTAAAGTCTGCATATGGCTGTGCTGCCCCCTCCCTCCCAGGCCTAGCATTTATATCTTGGAAATGAACCTTAGCATTAAGATACAATAGTAGGGCTGTCATTAAGAGCAGGGGGCTGGGGATTTTCCGGCCACTATGAGTGTGGCCCCCGGCTACTTTCATTGGAAAATAGAAGAAAGAAATAGAACCAAAAGAAATCCCTAGCTGTTTGATTCCCCGCCTACTGGTACTTGTTGTATTTACCCAGCAACTTGAAATCTTAGTGACCACCCTGCAACAGTATATTGGGACACTTGCCTTGGGAGGGGGTGTCCATTAATTTTGGTTCCCAAGTGGTCACAATGGATCAGTTTAAAGCAGCTATCGGAATATTTTGATGAGTGATAATTTATATTATTTCCTGATTTTGAATGAATCTCATTTAGGGAAGAGGATGAAATTGAAGCACAAAGAGCTGTAGATGAGGTAGGTGAAAAAAAAGGTTTAAACCTTGTAACATTCACACAGTGCAGTGGAGTCCACATCTTTTAAACCTCCTGGAGAAAAGGGAACTAGTCTGAATAATCTGGAAGTTCAACAAATTTGGAGTACAAAGACATACACTGTTTGACTCACTGATTAAGAGAGGGCATTTTTGGTTAAAATTATCAGGACCTTCGAGAAGCCAAGTGGCAAGGGTTTTAGAAATCAAGAGTCCACTGTAGTTCCACCAGCATGAAATAACTTCATGCTTCCTGATCTACCCTGGGAATCATCCATCTCTTCAACATAGGAAAGGTCTTCAGTATTTTGTTCACCAGTCTGAGGTGATCATCCTTTGACACCCAGCAGCAGGTTTAAGAGTGGGTGAAAATTTTTTGCCCCCATTTTTCCCCTGAATCCTTGCTTCCCTTCTGTCCCAATGATGATTCCCAGTTTGACCACCAGTCTGTTGAACTTAAGAACCAAGCCTCCAAGTTAAAGTTTTTGCTTGTTTGCCATTTGGTGACCAATTCTTTTGGTTTAGGGAGACTTTTTTACAAATCAAGTTGCCGGCTTCAAAATTTTAGGCACCATTGTGACTAAAATAGTCAGTACTTGGAGGGTTGAGAACACACATTAGAAGCCTGACTAACCACTGGCAAGTCGAACCAGTGTCAAGATTACTGGGGTAGCCGGCATAGCAGGCACATGAAGTAAAAAGGGTGTAAGAAAGAAGGGGCCACATGAGGAAGACCTGCAAGCTTGCTTCTCCCTTGCATGCCCTGTTCTTTGTTGCACCCATATAACTTTCAAGCACCTGCAATGCAAGCTATGTCATAATTTAAATTTCTTGCCAACTTGTCTTTTTCATGTTTTATGTTTCAGTATTTTTCTCAAAGCTCCATTGTCCCATCTCCATGGACACCAAACCATGCTGCAAAACATGTTAAATTTTCCCCACTGCCGCCATCTACTGCCTGTAAGTATGATCCAATGAACAGCCTGACATGAGACATCCATGCATAACTAGAACCAAGTTGTTGTTGTTTGTGACTCTAGACAAACAATGTTTTTGCTCGCCATTTTATTTTGACTCTTGTTGCTTCAATGTTGTCTTTTTTTATTACAATATACCGGTTATAAGAAATATAACAAAGGCAAGTTGCAGTATTTCTCAGTAGATTGAATACTTGTAGGTCCAGCACCCTGGCTCCAAGGGTTTGTTCTCAAAATGCCCAGAGGATGAAATAACTTGTGTGCATGGTTTGATAAAGCTTCGCACCTTGCTGTTGGGGCTTCATTGTGAACTATCAGGAATTAGGAACGAAAAAATCCCCTAACACTTAGGGTATAGGTCCAGCAACTCTACTGAACGTTAAAAAATTTCTTATCGCCTTGTTATTCACAAGGTATTTTTTCACTTTGTTTAATAATATAATATTAATTACAGTAGAAGACTAAATTGATTTATCTTTCACTTTACTCTTGATAGATATTGAAGCCATAAGTTCTGCTGAGTCTTCCTATTCATCTCCTAACTCATCAAGTTGCAAAGTTAAAGTAGATGGTAAGACAACTGATTTTCTCAAATATGCTTTTTGAGGCAAAATTGCAGCCAACAGGAGAAGGCAAAAACTTAATTGTCATGCCCCATCCAAATCCTGAAACTTGAAAGAAATCTTGGCCATTCACTTTTTTGAACTGTTTCCTTTCTGTTGCTAAGATTAATTCGGTGATCATGACGTAATGGTCATAAGAAATGTCAGTGATAATTTGCTTCAAAACAAATTTTAAGTGTCATGTACATCCACAAAAAGAAATGAAAAGGAAGAGTTGCCAAGAACACTATCATAATGGCAGACTGAATTGCATGATGTAGCAAACATTGACTACATAGTTCATATGTAAACCTCTTCTTTGTATTTTTACTTTCAAGCAAGCAGCCAGACAAAGCTATCTCTACCACCAGACTTTGATCTGCAAAGTCATATTGGTAAGTATGCTACGATCTTGACAAATTTACAAGTTAAAACTAAGAAAAGAAAGCATCCTTCACTTGCTATAGATGCTGCTTAAAGCAAGATATTTAAGACATTCTGTTTGGTACAATTCTGTATCATAACAGAATTTATTACTAACTGAGTCACTGAGATATCTAAAATAACAAATCTGACAATTATCATAAAGGAGACTGACCATCTTTGCTTAAGATTTTCCATACATGAAAGTGTTGTAGGTCAAAATTGAAGTTGGGTCAAAATTTTTAAATCTAGGTTGATTCTCAATTATTCCTTTGTCTCCCAACCCTAATTATTCACGAATTAGGGTAAGGACACCATGAAATTTAATTTTGATCTAAAAAATGTGTATGGGTATTTTTTTATCAACTAGGGATTCATCAATTTCAGATTGTCAGGAACTGAAATGTTTTAAAATAATATTATCTTTCATGTATTACAGATCCTGCTTATTATAACCAAGATGGCCTTAATGGTAGTAAAGACATGTCAATGTCTTCACTAAGAAGAAAGTTGTTTTCTCAAGCAGGAACTGTAAATCAAACAGAAAAAGCCCAGCTGGAACCATCACCTAACATCAAGTAACTATGACACCTTACTACTGCATACAAGTTTCTATATTGGCTTGTAGAGAGAACAAAAGGGTTTGTAGTGATGCTAATTTGCACAGGTGTTCTTTCTCCTGAAAACAACATATTTTTCTACTTTTCGCCTGGTCCTGTCCCGAGACCTTAGACTTAGAGGACCTTTCTCATAAGTCAATATGGTGGGTGCTCCAAGAAGTGCAGACGTTTGCAAAGTTCTGACCCTACTTGGAATTCCAATTTCCTTTTAGCCCGTGTAGCAAGCATTTCTGTTTTGTTTCGGAGCAAAACAAGACTGAGGAATGGGATTTTGGTTTTGGCCGCATGAGAATCAGAACGAGAACCAAAAAAATGAAAGAGGGGGGAGGGGAAGGAAGGAAACCCTATCTTAACTTTCTTCCCCAACCCCTCCCCGCTCTTTTACTCATGCCATTTTTCTCATTCCTTCTCCTTCGCTCCGAAACCGTACAGAAACACTTGGAGCGATGGGTATGCTTAGAATTGACTGGGCCATTGGCTAACTTGGTTTAAGGGTGGGGGAAGATGTAAGGGGGATCTGAAAACAGCAAAATGAAGAAGGAAAAGGAAGAAACGGCACAAAAAACGTCAAAAACTGAATGCAGCAACCAAAATTACCAAAATTTTCTAAAATCTGCAAACTGCTTAATCTTGTAAAACCACAATTTTATAAGGGTCACTTGAAGGAAATTAGCCTGCATAGCCCATGTTTATTTGTTCTCTTTTGCCATGTCTTATGGTAAATTTTTTGGCAGTACTAACCTGCAGTCAGGAGGTCAGTTTTTCTTCTGAAGGAGAAGGGGGCAAGTGTTTCCTTTCCTCCCCTTCCCATTCATTTACGGTTTTCTGAAGAAAAAATGAAAAATGACTAAAAATACTTAGCGAGGGGTATAAGCACTCTGAGTCATATTTGTAACGAACTATTTTGAGTTATGTAAAACTCCTCTGTTTTTCAGATCCATCCTCAAAAGTCCCAAAAGTCCTATTTTGGTGAGTTTAAAACCTGATATAATACAGAAAAGAGTACTCTAGTTAATTTAATCACTTATTTATTTAAATATCAGATGATGATTTCCTTCGATTAAAACTGGAAATCAACTTTCTGACTTTCAACTTCCGGTTTGAACTTTACCTTAGATAACGTCAAGCCCGGTGTCTGAACAGTCCACACCAAAGCACACCAAACACAGACACTCGACTACCAGTACTATGTCAAGTCCGAATATCTCACCTATCAAGCCAGTAATGTCTGTCCCGGAGACACCCACCTCCGTTAGACGTCCTCGTTTATCCAGGCACAGTTTTAGTCCCATGGAGTGCTCAGTGAATATACTTGAATCTTCTGGGATTGAAGTTATTGGGGACGCACTCCCGGATCTGTCTCCAATAAAAGGGCCTGAAGAAACAAGCATTGGTCGAGTTCAGAAAATGGACATCGACAACGGTAAATTTCGTAATTTAAAGAAAATTTTGGGTCCAAATGTTAGCATGCATGCATCGTTTGGGAGCACGTGGAGCATCGCATGCGCGGGAATCAATTTTTGCGTTGTGTAATGAGCATATAGTGTCTGGGTGAATAAGGGAGTCTGGGAAAGACAACAATGTCACGCTTCAATTCCACATAGAGTGAGTGCTCTTTTGAAATGGCGTCCTTGGTATTATTGTCTTTGCAAACTTTCCAAATCGTTCTCAAGAGAAATAGTTTTCTTCTCAGTGACTTTTAACAACATCGTAGAAACCTGGGAATATTTCAAGGAAATATTTTTATAAGTAGTTGCACGAGGCCCATGGTTAAATACATCGCGCATTTAAAATGTCGGAAAGTCTGGAAGTCGAGTCGCCACATTCCACAGGTTCGAAATTTTGATTCTGTGATTTACACCTTCGAGTTTGATTTGACAAAAGTTAGTGCACACGTGAACTTCAGATTTTCAAATGTTGTTACCAACGGTCCATTGACAATACTGCAACATACATTGACCTGCTGAACTCCAGCAGGAGATCATTGGTAATCATTGGTAATGAGGATGAGAAAAGTGAATATAGAAATTGGGAGGCAATCTCTCTTTATAAGAAGACCAATCCTTTGGGATGGCCTCAATCACGAAACAAAGATTCAAGATGATGTAGCTAGATTTAAGGTAGCCTTAAAGAAATGCAATCTGGAACAAATTAGTTTTATGAAGGGAACTTTAAATTTAAATACAAATTTAGATGATTTCTTTTATTATTAATTTTTAATTTTTAACCTATGATGCTGTGAGGATAATGATAATTTTAGTATTACTTATATAGTTGTAATCATCTGTTGTATTGTAACTTTTATTTTTGTTCAGTTGTAGAAATTGTTTTAATTGTAACCCATTTAGTATTGTAAATTATGTTTCTGATGTATTTGTGTTAAGGTCCACATCAGCCTTTGGCTGCCAACTATTGACCTTTCAATAAAGTATGTATGTATACTGTCGACTCCTGATAACTTGAATCTTCTAAAAATCGGAAGAAATCAGGAGTTCGAAGCAAATAGTCGGAAATAAGCAAATGGATGGGGAGGGAATGACGTTATCATGCACACTTCACTTCAAGGGCAGCAAGTATATAAAGATATTTTGAAAAAGGAATTTAGCAAACAATCTTGATTATGTACAGGTATGGACACTCAATTTGAGCTAGAGTGACAAAAAAGTAAAGACAAATAAGACACGGTTGTTTTGAAATACAAAATATTCAATGTTTTGGACTTCAGTATACTGTTTTTTTTCCGAACTTGTCAATGCACTTAAAACATTGTTCAGGTTATCGAGGTTAGAGTTATATAGAAATGTTCAGGAGGGAAACAAAAAGTACTTCAAGTTAGCGGGATGTTCAAGTTTATACCAAGGGTAAAATTACAGTAAATGCATGAAGGAAATACAGGGGAAATCGTCTTTGGTTTGAGTTAGCGTGAGGTTTGAGTTAGCGAAGGTTCAAGTTATCGGGAGTCAACTACGGCTATGTGGTTGCTGGTCTCTGAGAGCTTATGATTGATTATAATTCATACTTTATTTTCCTGGTACAGATGACAATGTTAATAACTCCCTTGATGATGGCGGTCCACTGGAAGTATCATCCCTGTCTGTGAAGGATGATAACAGAGATGAAAAAGGGGAACAAGAGGCTGATTATGATGATGACAATGACAAGGGTGATGATGGTGATGATGATGATGAAATGCCACCGAAGATCACTATGGAAGACTTAGCTGATGATTTAGACTCAACAAATGAAAGCAGTGCTAATCACAGTGCAGATTCTCCTGGAATGGAGTTTGCAGAGTTAACTCCAAGGGTAAAATCAGATTCTGAAAAAATTGAAAAAGCTTCTGATGACAAAAGGAAAGAAGAAAAATTTGATCATCCTAGTTCTACAAAGAAAGTAGATGTAAAGATGGAAGAGAATGACTCGCACATCAGTGATGAGCACAGTAATAACACACACTATAGAAATGGATATTCAAGATCAAAAATAGATACACTCAATAGTTATCATGTACCATCCACTTCCAGCCAAAGAAGCTGGCAAATGAGAGACTACAGTACAACAGAAAGCCATAAATATAGTCATCTCAATGAACTTGACGAGGATGTGATCATGATGCGTGCAAAAGCTGCACTAAGAAGAGCCAATAGATATTCACCACCAAAAGGGAAAAAAGGCTACTCCTTTGATCCACAAAGTTTGTCACTTTCAGATTTGAGTTTAAATGCACCATCTGCATGGGAACCAGTCCGCATGTCAACGCCTTTGGTTCCACAAACTTCTGCATCCACAGACTATAGAAACCATTCAAATCATCACAGTCACTATGGTTACAAATCACTTAGTGGCTCTCATCGGCATGACTTCGCTGATGCTACATATTTTGAGGAATCAGGACTTGGAAGGAGTGGTGGTGAAATGGCATCACGTCGTCATCACTATTTTAGAAGGAAATTGTCCCCTACTATGGAAGATATAACTTGGCAAAGAAAACCTCATGGAAGTGCAGAAGGTACAGTGTTTATTCCTGTTTCATTTTGCATTGGCTACAGTTTGTATTTGTAGATGAATTCATCATTCTTTAATCTTAATGCAAAACAAAGAACTTGTCCAATCTTTTTGTCTCTTTTTCGAACTAAAGAACGCCGACATGATGTTTTGCATCTGTTATTTCTCGAAAAATTAGGGGAAAATAACGAAAAAAATACAGGGCAATGTTTTTCTACTGCATCAAAGGTCACATACAAAAATTCAGGCAATTCTGGCTAGAATAGAAAAATCGACATAAGGCAATTATGTATTCTGCTCTTTTTTGATGAAAGGTTTAGAAGCTTCTGTTTCATATAGCATCTTTCTGTTCAGATTATTAAAGAATGGGTCATCATAATCCTCCTTTCTTGTACACTTTGATGACCACCCTAGCCTACATTGCAGATGTAATCTAACTCTAGTTAGTATCACCTGTGAAGCAGCAGTGATATCCCTGTTTTGAGCCCCCAACGGACTCGATGAATTGCCAGAAGTGCGTTTTAAGTTTCCCTTCAACCTGATTGGCAAATAGACAAGTGCATCGATCATGGCGAGTACTCAAATCCTGGTACACAGGTGGGTGGCCCAGGAAAAGGATTTTTTTCACAGACAGATCTAACCAGAACTTTAGTTCCCTCTGTGACAAAGCAATGACCACCATTAATACCTTTTTTTTGTTTTTACAGGGAAGTATCCATTTTCTCATCCTTGGAGGAAGCCAAGTTCCCCATTGTATGACAGTGACTGGAAGTTCTCTCAAACTCATCCCATGAGTTATGTAGAATGGAAAGCTCTCTACTGGAGGCCTCCAAAGGAGCCTGTACTGTGGAGAAATAACCACACTCATCATCACGCAGACCCATACTCTTATGAGCCAAACTTCAAAAGGTGTGTAATTTTTAGACCCAAGTGACAATCTTATTGTTAACACCCAACAGCCATTTGGGTGAGCAAATAAAGGCCAGGGGTGCACGGAAAATAGCCCCAAGTGACCTTTGATTAGCTGAGAGATTCGCTTATCCAAATTTTCTGATAAGTAGGCATATTAAGTGGGTAAATTTTAGAGAAAACGTATGAGCTTTTCATCAGGACGAACGAAACTGTGGACATTGTATACGGTTGTCCATAGGGTGGGTTCCCATAACTTTCATATTTTAATTTATAACTATCATCATTTGTTTAAAATTTTCTTACAGGGTGTCCTGGCCACCTAGACCTCTCTCATCAAAGCTTGCCTATGGTTCACGACCACTGTCTCCCCCTGTGGCTTTCCCACCGGCAAAGGTTCCCAGGGCGGTTTCAGGAGGGTATGCATCAAAGATTGCCTTACCCTCATATCAAAACAGCAGTGATAGTGGGTATTCAGATTGGCAACGGAGTGCTAGCCGATGGGAAAACACAGGAAGAAGTCAGCACAGTTCTCTAGGATATGACTTCAGATTCTATTAGAAATCAAGCTTCATCATCTTAGAAGGATTCCTTCATTCACCTTCACTGTGCTAAGAGAGAAATGTTATCTCTAACACTGGAAGAGGATTCTTGATAAATCATAGCCCTAGACCCGTGGGGCTACTCCCTACTTAAACGGGCAGGATACTTGCCTTTTATTATATAAACACCAATGAAATACCAGTTGAGCTTTCATGCAAAAACATGATATCTTCACACGTGAAAATAACATGTTTTCATCACATGTGAAAAGATCACCATTGCTATGGCTACATAATAAATCATACCTTTCACAGCAAAAAGCTATTAAAGTGAAATGGTTTGGTGTTTCATTGGTGCTTATAAAATAAACAGAACATTAAGTGGTCACTTGGAGATACGAACCTCAAAGGTTTTTTTTTTGTATCTGTGCATGGCCATGTAATATCCTCTATTTCATGTAAGGGTGTAAATTGCAGACTTTGGTCTCACGTACACTGTAGTGTGTTTAGAGTGGCCATATTAGGCATCATTTAGGGCTGTTCATGGTGAAGTTATGAAACCAGAGGAGGAGAATATTCAATGACAACTTTGTTAAAGCAATTTTATTTCAAAAAAGGTTTACATGTTTTTTTTAATAGTGTTTGTCAGTTTTAGATGGGTATCATTAGGGATCAAATTAAGATTGAGCCATGCCCAGATGGTCTTGTTTTGAAGTTTAATTCTCATTTTCTTATAAGTGCCTGCACTTTTGTGAGGGAGTCCTCTCCCAGTGCCCTAGACTGAAAATGCCATTTAACAGAATGTATCCAGACTGGTTGCCTCATGACGATGCAGGGTCACTCTTTCATGAAACTCTTGGACTACTAGCTGGGTAAATGCAGTTAGTCTGATAACTTCTTAATCATAACAACTCTAGGAATCCAAATGCTGCCCAAAACAAAGGGGCTTGTTGTGTCATAAGAAAACAAATTTGTCAGACTCCTTCAAAAAATTTATACTCTTCTCACGCGCAGTGGTAGAAAACATTTCTTACAAAAGAAAAGAAACTTGTGCTGCATCAAAATATTGATGACCATGTGGAATGATATGGAGGTACACTATCAGTTTCGTTGTTTTTCACTTTGTTTCTTCATTAAGTGTTTTAGTTTTTTCTATTTTTACCATATATTTTATATTTTAAGTTTGTTAACACTTTTCTAGAAGATGTTGCAGGAAATTAAGTGTGTAAATAGTTAGCATACGTCTAGAAGAACTATTGCCTATTTGTGAGCAGATGCAGCATAACTACTGTGTCAAAAGGAGAAAGAATATTAAGCCTTTAAACCCTTAGTGCTAGTATTAACATCTGTATTCTCCAAACTGTTCATACATATCCTTTGGTGCTGATGAGATCAATCAAGACCTTTTTCATAAGTTGATCATTCTCGTTAAAGGTTGGTTCCTATTAGGGATATAAGGTTTAGGCAAAAAACAACCAATCAGAATGTTTACAGGTCAGAATCCACTGTATTCCTCAACAATAAACTGTTAACAATTCTTTTTTTTTAATCAGTTAAGAGGGAGAGCTGTCACTCAAGACTAAGGAGAGTGGGTGACCAGAATAGGAAATGGGGAATTTGTGTTTTCTCCCCAATTTCCTTTGGTTCCTTTTTCACTCATAATATGATCGCCCACACCAAAATCCTACGCTAACAGTTTACATGGGAAATACTAGTACATGATATATTTATTTCACTAAGTTTGGTATTTTCACTTGTCAAAATTTTGATTGGAGCTTGCTTGAGATGACACATTTTTTATGATGCCTTTATTAATAACTTAGAATCAATGACTTATTATTTTATGAAGTACATCCATATTCTCATAAGAAAATTCTCTTTGCCACTACTGACATCATTTTACAATCAATTTTTACAATGATAGTCTTGTACTTACTTAATAATACTTCCCTAAGTATTATTATTTTCGCTTAAAAAGTTCAATTTATTGTTAAACTGTAAATATGTTTTTAATTGTCACATATTTATATGGGTGTTTTGAGCTTATGGAGTTCTTGAATTATTGACCCTATCATTAAACATCATTTACATCAGTATCATTAGCAACAAGGGAAGGACATGCAAATGCAAAATACAACCAACACACAGCATTGTGTACATTTCACCCATGCTCACAATGTATAACGCAGCACAATAAATTAATTCTTACGCATCACAAACAAAATCCTTGTTTTATACATTCCTTTGCCTAAGTTATTGTGTTGCTTTGTTGCTAATGCAAACCACACCTTGCTATGAAGATTTTACTGTACATTTTTTCATACACAAAGTAAATTATTAAACAGATTCAAACTATAATGACATTGTACAAATATTATATTAAAACTGGACAGGTTCCTAAAAGATCTATTTTGAAACATTTCATGATTTGATTCAAATTATTTCATGCTAGAGGTAAAATTAATATCCTACACTTGTATAACTATACAAAGTTTGTAATAAAGTATGTTTGTCTTTTGATGGTTTAATTTATTTACCAGTTTCCCCAATATTCATTTTGAATTTTAAAGACTATTTAATTTTCCAAGCTAGGACGTGAATAGAAGACAAAGACTTTCTTTTTTTCTTTTCCTGAACTTTGATTCAGTCAATTAGAATTCAACTCCATAAAAATTTGCCAGCATTTGACAAATTGAAAAAGATGGAATAAGCTCAAAGTTTGAAGCAGTGTAAATTCACTTTTGAAGTGATGTTTTTGTAGTCGTCACTGTCATTGTTGCTTACACTCCAAAATGATATAGTTAGCGTAGGAAAGGTTGTGCAATGTGCTACACCAGTTTCAGGTCCCTCGATCTGTTATCCTAGACAGTAAGTAAAGCCATCAGAGACAATTTACCAAGTGGTAAAGTCCTAAGGCTTTTACTTGTCTCAGATTTGCGCAGTGTTTATCATCATCAACTGGTGAAAAGCACGTGCTTTGAGAGCAAAACTTAGACACCTACCGATTCACGATACTTACAGCATAACAAAACATATAGACACACAAAAACAAAATATAACGTCAATCTAAAGTCAAGTTGAAACATTAGAAGTTCATTGCGGAATCTACGAAGGATCAGATCGAGTTTGTGAAATTTCAAAGAAATGCATGCATGTCGTCTTTTAATTTGATTCTACGCCGATTTGCTATACTATAACTGACCATAACCCAGTAAACGCTAATGTTTCAACTTGACCTGTAGTATTAACGCAAACCAAGCATAACTGAACACAGTAAGACAACACTGTCAGAACGCAACACAACAAAGGCATCGGCGTGCTGTTTTTGTCTTCATCTCAAACCAATGTTTGATCCGATAAGGAAAATAATGACTACTTCACTTGCCTTGGTAACAAAACAACCACAGTCACAGATACACGTAAAGATGTGAAACAAAGAATCAGTACAAAGTCCTCGCTCATCACTGACCAAGGTCTCAGACTTAAACTAAATGAGTAACGGAAAGTTGTGGACTCATTCATCATGGAGGAAAGTATCTTTTGTGGCAGGCGAATCTGGCCGCGGGGAGACTGGATCGAATGGATTTTTCAGATCCGCGTACATGAATAGAGCTTTAAAATTGGAGAACGAATTTCTCGCCCATTCTCCAAAAATATGCACCCCGGAAAGCTTCACTGTACAATTTGAAATTTTTCCATTTTTTTTCCCATTATTCCTCTGTTCAGATTAGTTCTCAAAAGAGTGCTTCAAAAAGTCGCCGTAAAAAATTTATCCACCAAATCGAATGCTCAATTATTGGGAATTAAATTCAGATGTGCTTTAATGCGACCGTCCAGAGCATCGCTTGCGCATGCAACAGTTAACTTGATCAGTTTGCACTGAGTCAGTTGTTTTAATTGGCTGTACATCTTTCAACTATTGAGTGGAATCATTTGCAAAATACGCGTTAGCTGTCACATTTGCCTGCTGGAATTTTTTAATTGTTTTTAAGCCAGCCTTTAAGGTTTTGATTGCCACATTACCAGTTCAAAGTTTTTACGTTTTTTCTCAAACTAACATGTAAAATTCAGGTCAGAATCTTCCCTGCAATTTGTAATGGGTTTTCGATCTATTTTCTGTATAATTTTTAACATAACAGTGAAAAAAACAAACAAAACACATTTTAAAAGCTACTTCTTTTGATGACTGTAGTCTTTTTGTTAATTTTACATTAAAAGGATCAAAGCAGTGTCCGATAAAATCGTGATAATTTCCAGGATCATCATAACAGCAACAAAATCCTGATCTGACTTTCGTGATAAGAAGAAAACTGAAACTTAACACATTTCTAAATCATCCTGTGACTGAATTGCAATTTACCGCATCCACAAAATATGTCCAAGTGCGGGTGCAAATTTAATTACAAGATATTTCTTTATAAGAAGAGAAGATTAGTGGAAGCTATATTCTTCATTTTTTAGTATGAAGAACTTAAGACGTGATCCTGGGAGAAGAACTCGAAATCTACTCATGTAATTATAGTAAAAAAAAATTAAGTATTCATTTCAGATTTCACAAATCAGAGCAAATTCAGTGAGCTCAACCGTGAGCTCTATTTAACGCGGGGAGTACTTTTCAAATTGCGGAAATTCTGCCGCCAGACGCGCGCTTTCTAGAATAAACTTTGAAAATCGCTACTTTATTATTGTTTAAATGAAAGAGTTTCTTTTTTAAAAATCATTGTGTGAATATTTGAAATTTCAAACAAAGCGATTGTCTCTTTCTGCCAATCCTTTATTGAATTTTCGAAAGCGAAACGGTGCATCTGAAAACGAATGTTTGTCTTTGCTTGTGTTTTATTCACAACTCTTTCGTTATTGGGGAAACCCACCAAGACCCTAAACAGCTGGTATTGAAACCCATAAATGGAGGCAATCTTGCCTCACAGAGCATGCTCAGTCTTGGGTTTAACCGTTCGATCGACCGGGGAATATGGCGGTAACAACATTTTTGACATGAAAGCAAGAGCTGTGAAATTGCCAGATCTTTCGTTCAGCAAGAACTGGCGAGAATGGAATATGAAAAAATGGAGGATGAAAGGTAAGACTCAGAAAAAAATCGTGCTATGATAATTTTTAAATCGCTGTTGATTTCGCTACTTTTTATGTTAAAAATACGAATATTATTTGAACCGACGACAACTTTGAACACTTCACCATTGATGTACTCCTCAACCGATGTTCCTTGTTCCCGATTTTTTGAAAATATATGATATACTTTCCACTTAACAAACCACTGTGGATCAAAATCGCTTAACCAGCTCTCAAGTAAAATCTAATTATTTTCTCAGTATTTTTTGCTTTTTAACGAGCAAACTACTCGCTCGTGTTTACTATTACAAAAAAATCACCTGTTTATAGACTTGCTTAGGATTCAAATGGTTTCCCGTGAATGACGTCACATTCAGTATAGCTCAAGATAAATTGGCACTTCTTGTCAATCGCTGATCCCTTACATACGGAACTTATCATGATGGGGGCCAATTTCGGGGCTGAATGTTAAATGTTGTGTACAATAATATGCTAATTTTGACCGGCTGGCAGCAAAACTGTATAAACCGAACATTAGGAAACTTAGATGCAGTCTGCATAGCTCAGTAACTTAGCTTTCTAACTGTGTCTTCCTACTCGATCCGATTCTGTCAACAGAGAAACAGAGAATCTGAGATTTTTTGCGGAAATGGAAGTGTTAAATTTGCTAATGTGCCTTAGAATATTTAATATTCCACGTCTCTGTTTATATCAAAGCAAGAAAACTTTTCTTCTCTGACAAATATAATTAGCTCAGCAACGAATGTACAGTTTTATTATAGCGAGCTAATTTTATAGCTTTAAAGCAGGATAGCGCGAAGAAAAGCCGCACGAATTTTTACTAGTATGTTATTGAAAATTTTATGTAGTTAGCTAGTAATGAACTTAACTTATTCGTCATCGGAGTAACTGATCAAGAAATAGCAATTTGCATTTCAAATTAACCTAAAAGAAATAAAGCAAAAAAAAAACTGCTCAGGCGGGAAAGATTGCAATTGTTTCCATGTCTTTTTTAAGGAAGATTTTTGTAAAGAATTTTCGCTAGTTCGCCAAAGCTACTTAATTATAAAGCGTGCTTTGGTTGAGTGTTATATCTTATTTGTCTTGGAGGAAGAATAATTGCAACACTGAATTGAAAGGAGTCTATTATACTTGTGCCCGGCTACGCTTGTTTTAAGTAAACTTCCCGCGTTCTATGTTGAAAATAAAAGAAACCCGTATAAACATGGTTGGATTACATTTCAGTGACGGATCCAGGAGAGGCCTCCCTCCCTCTAATTCTTCGACCAAACTGAGGCCTGAAGGGCCAAAAAATTTATTTGGGAGACCCCCCCATCTCAGGGTCTGGATGACCGCCCCCCTTTATCTTAAGGTCTGCATTTACAGGAATATTCCTTTCATCATAGGCTTCATCAAATAGACAACACAACTGTGAGAGAATATAGCTTATTTATACTGAGTCATCGGAGGCCGCCATAGCTTGCTATAATTCTGTTAACGAGCTTGTATGCATTTTGGGTGAATAATATTCGTAGGAAGTCTTACCGCGTTTCTTTCCTATTTTCTCTGGAAAGACTCGAACTGACGGTGTATCAACGAGGCAAGTTCGTTGTCAGTTGCCATAAATGAGAGCGCTGAAAGGAATCGCGCGGGATGTACTTGCTCATTTTCCCACAGTAGAAAGGGACCATTCGATGCTGAGTGGGACGGTCATATCTACAGATCTTCTTCTATTTTGTTGTTTTTAGTGATATCACCAGGTGAAAACACGTGGTAAAGGTCTTGCCCACGCCACGATGTCCCTTATTTTGATAGTGCTTCCCCCGGTTGGGAAGACTAAAACTTCGACTCCGTGCAAGGTCCGCGCATGGGGAGGGGCTGGGGGGGCAGCTCCCCCCCACCCCCACCACTTTTTGAAAAACAAAAATGTCAATAAAATTAAGTACAGTGGAACCTCGATATGACGAAGGGCCAAGGGACTGGCAAAATACGTTCGTTGTAACGAGGTTCGTTTCTGACTCAATATAAGTTAGAGGTTCTTTTTCATATTGCCATATATTTCACCATTACTGGGGTTAAAAAACAGTTCCTTATCCCGAGGACTTCGTTACATAGAAGTTCGTTATATCGAGGTTCCACTGTATACATTTTCACTAAAAAGTATCTTCGCTGGAATAAGAATCTTCCAACAGCTAAATTTATTATTGGTCCGCCGTTTCGATCCTATATATTTCTGATGCGTAGCAGCCTCAAAACGCCTCTCTTTCTGCGTTTTCAAACCAGCAAGGCTATATAGCATATGCCGTGCGGACTGGAGTCTTTTTCGATGAAGGTTCTCGATTAAAGATCGACTACATCAGGAAACTGTGGTTTCTTGAAACGAATTATATCGGCTGATGAGGTGGTCTCTGACCCATTTTAATTAAGCCCAACCGGAAATTTAAAGTTTTGATCAATGGTTGTGATACATGTTTCGATGACACACTGGACAAAATGAAGGAGTTACAGGAACTTCGGAAGATCATGATTTACGATCTTCTACCGGTGAATTCTGCATGTGCATGCATACAGGTGCAGCAGGAGAAAGGTACTTTTCAGCGGCTTGAAATTTATCGAAACATGGCTCCGCTCAACTATGACTCAAAAAAAGGTTCAGTACTTTTTCACAAAGAGAGAATAGGCAAATTTGCTGATGTGTGAGGTATATTGGTAGGCTATTTGCTCCAGTTACCGCAAAGCTCGAAGTGTGCCTGCTCCGCGAAGCGCTCCTGGTTCGGATCGGAATACACCCAGCTCGAAAATACTCCGGCACCCTCGAGGTGCAACTGGTTCCCATTGCGTTGTACATATACATGAATATCCAGCTAACAATTCTCACCTCTAACTTCTTCCATACATAGGTAAATAAATAACGAAGTTAGACAAAATCTGCCCTGGGCTGGTTGTGTCCCATCCCTTATCGGCGTACACGACATGTTAGAAATCCGTTTTCCTACAAACTACTTTATCAGGCGTTTTCCGATAGATGCACTTCTAGCCCCTTAATATTATCAAGAATCCTAATTTACAACAATGATAACGTTGCAATTTTAACTCCTGCGTATGCTAATCTTTCGATTCTCAATCTGTTGTAATTGAATATCATCCATTCATCTTTGCTAAGTATTTCTTGTTGCCCTTATCACTTCCTTAATTGAGCGCGATTTTGATTCTGAGGAAGGAAAGTTATCATCAGGAACATGAAAAACTGTTAAATTATATCACGTACCGAAAAGCCTTGGTTGTCAGTTTGATGTCAATTCATTCATCACTTGGGAAAGTCACCCCAAGGGGGGAGGGGGATACTCCGAATTTCAAGTGACGGGGCTGATCGAAGGATTTGGTCTTGAATTTTCAATTCCGGGATTTTTGGGAGGTAGAAAAATTTGGCAAGTATTTTTTTTGGGTGGCTTGATTTATAAAATAGGATTTTTGGGGGGATTCAAAACAAACTGAAGACTCGTGGTAGTGCCCGCGTATCCCATCCGCAAACACAACAGTCATTCAATTTCTAATCAGGTTATTTTCGTGTTATATCATTTAATGCTTTCTGGGATGTTTTGGGGATTAGTTTTTGGTTCAGGGATTTGTTGGGGTTTTGATTTTTGCCCTCATTTGATCATCTCCGTCACTTGAAACCTGCACCTCCCCCACCCCCTCTGCGGAAGTCACTTGAGACTAAGACCGCTATTATTCGCTATTGTCAGGAGCCTATCAAGAGAACTTGGAATGATTTTCTGAATAAGTCTAAATGCAAATTTCAACCGACGTTTATTAGTCTTTGTGCGTTTTAGTGCAAGGGCCTCCGTTTTATAATTTAGTGTTCTTTGCCACGAGGACTTTGCAAGTACTTAAAAGACGGTTAGCGGATTAGAAACACATGAAACATTATTTTGCATTCCAGTAGAAAGTCGACAATAGAAAATCAGCTTTTTTTTTTTTACTTTTTCATAATGTTTCGAACCATGCGTGCGATGTTATCTCACTTTTTACAGACTATAAACAGACAACGCTTATTGTTTTTTTTTTCTTTTCTCTTCGCTTTCGTACTGAGTTGAAGCATCTCATAAAAACACTAAGTCCGGCGTATCCACAGTAAGTGCATAAGTCATGGTTGATAATTTCTCTGTATATCAATATGATGTATTTTTTTTTCTCCCATCCACTGCACATATTGTGAATAATTGATGATCTTTAACGATTAGAACTAGCCGTCCAACTTTTCTTTCCTTGAAAACTTGAGTACCATGATAGTGTCACGTACTGAAACACTTTGAATCTGACTTGTAGTTTGCGGCAGTGAACCTTGAAAACACATGTGCTTTTTTCATTCAAAGGCTCTGTTTTCGTCTGGGTAATATAAATTTTTGGCAGAACTCGTTCTTAAACTTATCTTTTAAATCTTGGAATAATATTTGGTAATAAATTACCTCGAATCTCGTTGTCACGTGGTTCCTGGTGCGACAAGAATCATAAGTGACGTCATGATTCGCGGGAGCTACTAGCTATGTTGGTTGCTTTGGAATGGAGTTCTACGAAGAAAGTCTTTAGTAGCTACATCACTGGTAATGGCACCACATTCGGGTGTCAATGGCGAAAACAGAGGAGAGGAGAGGGGCGATAGTCTAACGTAAGCAAATGATCCTTGAATTTTGCTTTGCGATGATAATTAATATTCTTTTGAAGAACACAAACACAGCATAAGCGCCCGCGTGCGTTTCAGTTGCTTGATCATCTTTAGAGTACAGTGATTTAAGACCTCCAAGTGCTCAATTTCGGGTATTTCATTGGTTTCCGAACTTTTTATGGTGCCTGTCAGTTTTGCGCTCTTTCGACAATTCGATGAAATCCTAACCGGCATGTTTTATAGCGGTTTGCGGTTGTTCAATACGAAAACGATTTTCGTTATTTGCTGATGGCAGATAGACCGTAACGTGCAACACAGAAACTGAACTTTGCTGGTAAATCATTTTGTTTATTGTGATCGACTCGCGTCCCTGCCATGCAGGAATCTTTGTTCAATATTGTGTACCTATGGATTCGTGACATAGGCAAAACTTTTTATTTTGACCGTTTGTAATGATTTGTATAATTTGTGCTTACATACAACAAGCCATAAGCGTTTCGTGCAATTGAAAAGGCGTGACTTCTCTACAGATTTCAAGTTTGTAATCGGCATTCTTCGGTTACAAACTCGAAACTGTCTCTTCGTGGAACTATTTAACGCTTGTCTTTCCTCGGGAAGTGAAGTTTCACCACTATGTAACAGAAGTGAAGACGACAATGATAAAAATTGTGGTTCCTTGTGGATGCTAAATTAAGGTTTTAGTCTTCACACTTAGCTTAAGCTTATATTGTTATGTTTGTGTTTCTTTTGGACAGTTTTAGTTTTATAGCTGTACAATCGACTTGTTCATGCGATATGGGATCTTTTGTCCTCTCTGCTATTCTCAAAAGTTGATGGGGCGTAGGATTCCATAAATAGAATGAATCATCAGGAAATGAGTTTTGACCTTAAGTTCCTTATGCATCAGCCAGAAAAAATATATTCTCGAGTTCTTATTCAGTTAGGTTTAAATAAGAGGAACCACTTGTATAATAAGCACTCTCATGCATGTAGTTTATTGAAAGATACATGTCTTAACACTTTAGGGTGTTGTATAAAAAGAACAGTAATGTTGATATTACTATGTCATGGCCAGAGGCATATATTATTTTGGTCTTGACAAGTTGTGCCTGAATTATGTAAAGATGGATTTTGGAGCTTCACTTGCCCTTGTATAAAGTTCGGTAGACTCAAATTCTTGACATTGATCATGGTACTTTTGACATATTCTTAGGGTAATTTATCTTGAGCCAAAGCCATTATAAGACCTATTTTAAATACACTTGTTTAGCTTAACCATCAATAAACAGTGAGGCATACAGAGAACAAAAGTAATAATGTGATTTTTGTTTGAAGCCACTTGCATTAAATTAGTTTTGAAAATGGTTGCAAGCTCAGAAGAGTTAACTGCCATTACACCTAAATACCTTAACACGCTATATATTTTTCTCTAAACACACTCATATACTTACAATATAATATACACGCCTTTTTTCTTTATTTTTTGATGCTGCCTAGTATTTAAATTGCCTGTGGAGGGAAATCTCTATTCCTCGTAAGCTTGGCTTCTTGGAGATTTCCCCGCCACAGTCACTCCTTCCAAGTTGTATGCTAATTTTTAATTTAATGTCAATTAACCTATTTTCTATCTTTTTTTTATCCTACTAGTAATTTATTCTGTGTGGCAAAATACTAGAATAAATTCCTTAACACCTACCTTTTGAAAGCAAGAAATTTATTTATTTATTTTTACTGGGACAGAAAAAGGAGCATTTCATTCCAGAAGATGATTTTTCTGACCAATTTTCAGAATCATCTAAACTGTAAAAGTATTTCTAATGCTAAAATTCTAAAATTAAGAAATTGCAATGCAGTTGCAATGAAGTTGACGTTGAAACGAGAAAAAATAGCTAAAATTAATAAGAATTGATAGGCATTTATACTATTTTTGAAAATTGCTGAAATGAAGCCTGTTTTCCGAAAACAAGGTAATAGATAGTTTATTGAAAGTCAGTCAAGCCTATTACTGAATTCCCGTAATTCTCATTTTTATTTGAACATTAAGGCAATCATGTTTTATAGTTTAAGAATATTTGACCACAAAATAATATTTGTGTGTCTTTTACCCAACTTCGTCCTTTATACCTGGTGTTTATTTGGGTGCAACATTATTTTATACTACAGTAGATCGTAAACGACCACCTCATAACTGACCGCGGCCACTTTTTCAGATGACCATTTTAGATGTTTCCATTTATTTTTACCTCTACTAAGCAACCACCTGATAAAATGGTTTGATCCTTGAGTTCACCATATGTACTAACACTACTCAGAGAATGAGAAGAATGTTATTAGACGACAGTGATTTACATATATTAATAAATTGTAACCTAAAAATCGTATGTTATACCTTTTCTTCAAAAAGTAGATGTGTCAAGACTTCTCCTCATAAAATACCTCCTGCAATTCGAATCCTTAAGTGAAATCCTCCTGTAAGCAAGCACTAACTCTTCACATTTGGTTGGTTGCTTACGGGAGCTTCGACTGTCGTTAAATACTATGAGTATATCTCAGTTCTATTTTGTTAACAAGCTGAACATCATGACCTGTTAAAGGTTATTGCATCCATAATCATAACAACCTTTTCTACTGTTATTTGCTGCAGACATCAGGGGGCTTCGCTGTACGATGTTTTGGGTGTTGACAGAAATGCCACCCAGGAGGAAATTAAGAAGGCCTATAGAAAGGTGAGTTTTGGAGGATTTTAGTGTTAAAGTGAAAAGGGTGTGTGGATTAAAGCTAAAAGTGGCACTAACATTATTTCCAAATTCTCCATTTGTTTCACAAGATAATATAGGGAAAGTGAGAAGCAAGATTTAGCAATTTATTGAAAGTTACTTATATCTCTGCAGTTGCAGGCTATATGCGTGTATAAATACACAAAAATTCAAGGGCCTTGATTCCAGAGAAATTATGTCATTGTCAGATATCAAAAAAGTGATTTACATGGCACGTCATTCCAATCATCGCCGAAAATAAATCGCATGCACATCACAAGAGCCATTTACATACAGTGACAA